TGAGGTGTGCCCAAGCACACTTTGGTATTTTGGAGAGCGGCGCAGCCTGGCATAAGTTTCCCCCCTCCCTAACTCAGCTCCTCCCAGCGGCGTAAGTAGGAAAGAGGGAGGGGAGAAGGTGTGGATTGGGTTTAACATAGCCGAGTCCTGTTTTCACCAATCACATCAGCTCCTCTCCTTACCTTTAAATCTGCTCCTAGCTCCTATACAACAGAGATTTTAGCAGGCCCCGACAATACAGGAGACAATATAGGAGCCTACAATAAGCTCAATAACTATTAACTATTATAACTATTGTTATACTGTGGGCTTTTTCTTATTCCTCCTCTGAATAAATTTAGATTTGCCACTAGTCCAACAGTGTAAAGAGTTGTAGGACAAATCATATATCAATATGTGCAGTTTGGTCAGGATTGGTGTGCTATTATTCTCTACTGTATGTTAAGTTTTTGTAAGTCGCAAAAAACTGTTTAAGTATTTTAAGTCAACGGGACAAGGTAAAGAAAGATAAAAGCACAACTATTGGATGTAAAGGAATGTTTGTTGTAGGTGTGTTCCTTGTATAAAATATCACAGTTGTATTAATAGTATTAATTGTTTGAAATCTCTAAAGAGTCTCTTCATAATGTACCCTTTTCGGCAGGAGACCCCATAGCCGTTTCAAAACTTCCCAGAGGGAATTTTCCAGTTTGTTTTTGGTTCTAATGAATTTTCCACAGTGATCTTCACTTGTGTGCAGGTGAACATTTTGACGCCCATTGTTCTTCAAACATGGTGTGGAGATAATTACTCTGATATTTTCCTAAGAGCGGGTGTGTTAGATCACTTTGATGACTGGCTGCGGTTTAATGAAGAACTCTTAAAAGAAACCACCAACAGCATCAGGAGGATGCATCAGGAGGAATAATGTTTGAATTGAAGTTGGCTTTCTTAATCTGAATAACAATAAACAATAAAAAGAAAATCAACAACCTTGCTTAGAAACTGGAAGAAATACAGAAGTGGGTGTAGCACTTCAAGATTAAGAGCAAAGTAGATTTTCCCTACCTAAATGGCCAAGGGGGCTTCTGCTTGGGTGTGTACATTATGAAGGGATTGTAAATACTAGTAGCACTGTGATATTATGTACAAGGAGCACACCTACAACAAACATTTTTTGAAACGTATTTCATGAAAAAATCTGAGAAAATAGCTCACAATCCCGATCAAACAGAATGTTTTCACATATATTTTATTAACGCTGTAGGACAAGTAGTGAATCAAAATTTGTCTGGAAGAGGAATAAGAAAAAAAATCCATGGTATAACAATTGATTAGGGGTCTGCTTTAAAGTTTATAGAATCCTTATTGTATAGGGTCCAGTGCCCTGGTGCATTTGCCCCATGGCCCTTATATTTGAGTCAGCTTTTTATCGTTAATCAAATTGCTCTGAAAGTGATTCGATACTGCAGTGGTATCAGAGCAGTCCTTAATTAGAGAATTGGTCTCAGCTGTGGGCATAGCCTGAAGATCACAGATTGCCACTGGAACTTGAACATTTTTTTTCAGTTTGCACAAGCAATTTAGCGCTCCTTATCTGGGGTCTTAGCAGATCAGGCCCTCAGATATCAAACATTTGTCCAACAGCAATATAGGTTGTGCAATGTCTTGATAAACAATTAGACCGGATTCCTCATGATGAATTACACGTAACAGAAAACAATAAATTTACATTTATGAATAACGATGTAATCTGGAATATTAGACTGTTCGTTTCTGCTGTTGTATTAAAACATTATTTGCTCATTGTACACTTACTCCACTGCTCCCAAGGCAGGTCAGTGTTTGCCTCTTTAGCTTTGTGCATTGATCTAATTACTCCCCACATTCACATTTTGTTGCACGTGTTAATAAACTACAAAGGCAATCAGACCACAGATCCAACATAGGCACAATAACAAACTCTCATGAGCAGTTTAGTGAGCAATATGGAGATGACCTTGGTTGCTGCAAAAGCACCATCTAGGGAAGATTTCCTCTGAGAGAAGTTGATGGCAATCTTAAAATGTTCAGCTGGCATGGTCCTCCATTTACAGACTCATATGCACTGATAACAAACATAGATGCTCACCACTTTTTTCAGTTTTTTTTTTTTCAACCAAGGTTGGGAAGGAATTTCAGACTCTATTTGACAACCAAACAAGTTTATTGACTTTGCAAAGAAGACGTATCACCTGCTCAAATAAGGTCAAATTACCCGCCCCAAGCAAACATACCCTGCTTCCATCCTGTTGTTCCTCCTTCTCTTACTCTTCCTCTTTGCTATTTTAAGAATCACTATGATGGTATCCATAAACATATGCATGGATCTAAATTTTAAATAAGAAGTTATCAGTCTTTCAAATTGACATTTCTGATGTTTGTGTCCCCACAGTTTAAGTAAAGGTCTCCACCTCCTCAACATAAATGTCACTCATGTCAGTCAGAGGGAAATTAATCAGTCTTGTTTGATCTTAATTTGATGGTATCTATTATCCTATTTAATCTTACTTTATTCTCAGGCTCCTCTCAATCTACAGTTAGGAGGCTCTGAAAAAAAATCTATTTCTTTACTGTAATACATACATCTGAAAATGGTCTTGAACAGTGTTTTTTTTTTTAATCCTGAGAGACAATGGACTTAGAATACGCCAAAATGACCAATATATTTTTAACTGTTTGATTGAAAATTAATATGAGGGATGGATAAACGTTTTCCCCTGATGTTTCTGTCAAGACCCCATGAAACAGAGCGGATGAGGATGTCTGTAAAGTAGCATTGGCTTCAGATACTGCTTTCTTCATCATCACCCTCCAGTCACTCCTGCATCCCTTAAGAGGTGTGTGGTTGACAGCCCCCAAAAGCCCCAGCATCCCACCTTAACTGGGTAGATGGTGGTCTTCCAGCCAGCTCTGTGACTTGGCCTTCTAATGCTCGAAGGCAGCCTCTATCCCTTTCTCCTGTGGGATCGTTAGCTTAATGATGTGCTCCAACCTTGCGTTGGTGGACCAAATAACAATGTCAGGATGGACAGACGTGGTGCCGATCTCTGTGGGGAACCAAAGTTGAATGTTGAGATCAACCCTCATGTCCTACTCCTGATCAACAGAAAAGGGTCTTGGTGTTGCTCTTGGCCTAGTGTATCTGTGTTCCCCACCTCAGTGACAAAGTTGATTTGGTTCTCTGCTGATGATGACTTCTGGTTGTCCTGTTGGTTTTGGACATCTATTCAGCACCTTGGCTAGTTTAGTTGGGCCTGGCACCATCTGCAGCACCTCTGAGAGTGTGCAGTCTTACAGCCTGACAGAATGTGCATGAGGCTTACATTGGGGGCATTGCAGAGGTAACAGTATTCTTCATTCCCAAACCACAAGGACAGAGAAGTGTGTTGTAGGTCGCACGAATGACGAAGCTTAGTTTTGCAGATGGAATCTTCTACAAGTCTGACCAACTGATGTTCAGGTTGACAACTCCCTCCCAAGTTGTCCAGCTTCCTTGAGGACCCTGGGATACAGCCTTGATCTTGTGGTGCTCTTGCTCCATCCTCATCAACTCCACCACCACCATCTCCTTCCTCTCCTTGTGGTTGGCTTTGGACCAGAAGAAAGGAACCTCTCCCTTGTCCTTTTCCTCTTGTCTAGACTCTGCCAACAATCTCTTTATGTTGCAGTCTACCAACAGCTCGTTCAACTTTGGTTTGAGTGTTCCACTTCAGGCCCATGGGAACCTTGGTGTTTGCATTCCTGACTGACTGATCACTGGACTCTCTTAGCTCTAGAACCAGCTTTGTTTTCTCTTGCATGTTACCCTGTCTGATGGACTGCAGTGGCAATCGCAGTGTGTTCCTGTTTTGGGGACTGTGGGCAGCCCCAACCACTTACAGATGAGTGAACTGTTTTTTCTAACCAACTTACTTGTGGTGGATGAGAAGATATCACTCATTTTCAGGGGTGACATCACCCTCCTGTAGACAGTGAACTGCTAGCACCAGACCTTGCACTTCCCAGGGAGTTTGCTTTGGTCAATCCTTGCCAGGCTGTCTGTTAGCTGCTTCAAATATATCATTCATTGTTTTATCTGGAAATTGTAAAGACAGGGCTGTTTTCTAAGCTGCTGGGCCAACATCTATCCCCTCTGGTTTTAAGCATTAAAAATGACAATGTAACAACCACAACCACCGATCCTGCTGCTGGCTGGTCTTATTTGCTTTTGGGATATGAAAAGGCATCGGTATGATTTCCAGTCCATTTCAAACACCTAAAAGAAGTTCTCACAGAAGCTTTTAGGAATTATGAATGTCAGCAGTAGCTTTGATTACAAACGTCCAAATATATCAGCCCTTTTTTTCAGACAAGTGCAAATTATGCCCCCTTATAATTTTCCTTAATTTTTCTATTGTATTTTTTCCTTTTTTTTTTTCTTCAAAACTCTCAACTCTGACTCAAAACAAGCTCAAAGAAAAAGACATGACCACCCACCATATTATGCGACAGATAGTCTAATAAAGTAGCCTATACTTTCCTTTAGGAGATGGGAGAACACATCATTGACCCTCTGCCATGATTCACACTGGTTTTGTTTTTTTTATAGATCAGCAGTTCACATTATGAAGATTAAAGCAGAGCCTTCTGTGGGTTGGCTATTTTTACCATGGAAATAAAGCAATAGTTTTAATGAGTCTCTAGGTATTATCTCAAAATAAAGGTCATAAAAACATCAAAGATAGTCCATTAAGGGCAGATAGGCTCGGAGAATCTGCAGGACAACCTCTGCATGTTAATGTGTGGTTTATCTGGAATACTTAATATTGTTTGGACAGGTTCTCTGGGGTTCTCATAAAGGAAATGAAGTTTTGCTTCCGAGTGAGAGGTTTGCGTCAGTCTCGATGGTGTTTTCCAAAATTAGAGTGACAATGAGTGGGTGAGAGAGAGAAAGAGAGAGATGGGAACGGTATAGGCTGCATCCTCAACCAACGGGAGCTGGCATTCCCATGCAGCAGAGACAAAGAGGGGGAAAACGGGCGGAGGTGGGTGGGGGAGTAAAGCGCCGAGGAGTGAGGTGAGGCAGAGCTCATTCAGTGGGATCGTTGAGCTGCGGAGCTCCTCGGATTTTACTAACAGAAAATCCCTCCGTGTGGTCCGTGAAGAGCCCCTGTGTCCTGGACTCGTCGTGCGTCCTGCAGCTCGCCGTGGCTGAGGCTCTCTGAAGCGGATGAGACAAGACCCTGCAAAGGGACAAGACCAAAAACTTTTCTCAGTGGGGTTTTCTACAAAGGTAAGATGCTGTTTTGTGGTTATTCCAGGTTATCCTCCAGATCACATGATCAATACACGCGCTTCATTTGGGATTTTGACGGTGTTTATGGCTTTTTTTAAATCGTGACTCGCGACACAATATTTTTTTATTGATGCAGTTATCTTTATAAATTGGAAATAACTGCTTTTGTTGAGAATCAACAGCAGGTGCACCGAGAACCTCGTGTTTCCAGGAAAACCATCATTTTAAACACAAGAAAAACACAGCTCTCCCTTGAATTCACCATTCAGCTTTCTTGTGTGTGTTACTTTTATAATTCACCGACGCTCTTAGATTGAGACATAAAAGTGTCAACATGCGGGAGGAAAACGCACACCTCCAACAATAAGCTCGCGCTGCGCATTACGCCTGAACAAAAGAGCCGCTTTCACTCGCATCTTTAATCTAGTGTCACACGTTCCCGCCTTAAACGCTGACAGGTTCAAAAATGAGAAAAGTCGACTCTCGGTGTGCAAGAGATTAATGATCATAGTTCGCACCTTATGCCCTGTCAGTCGAGGTAACATCATAGGAAACAAAATGCGTCTCTTCATGTTTGGTGCGACAGCAGCCGCAGGCAACACTTTGTCACCAGAGTCTTAGATTTAAATCTTCTGGGACCAGACCTCCTTTACTTTAGATATTTGCCTTTCGGGATGTTTAATCCTGTCAAAAATCTTATTCTAAACCTAACCTTAGTTCAGTAAGACCCGCGACATCTAACTCCTCACCCTGATTGAGTAATTGATGTTTCAAGGAAAAGAAAGTTGCTGTACGTCAAGTTCTTCCGTTTTTCCCCCAACTTTGAAAGCATGTCTTTGGAAGAGAGAGTTCAAGTTGAATCAAGTTGTTGGGATTTTTGTGGTGTTTCTGATAAATGAGTGTGATAAATCTTGGTGAGAAAGGGTGGGGCTGAACTTATCAGGTCACCTCCACATGGACCTGCTGTGATTTTGTTGAGAACACTAGTCGAGCGCGTCTTGAGGCTTGGGCTGAGACTGGGCATTTTCCAGTATTTATTTTGAAGGCTTGTTTTGGCAGATTCAGCGTTTGTTGTGTAAGCAATCTTAAAGTACACGTGCAGAAAAAAAAAATCAATCAAAAGGAAAAAAAAAAAAAGAAAAAAAAATGTGTGCAGCAGGTTTGCCAATTTTTTATGATATTTGCCTGCAGCGGTGTCTGTAACTTTTTAGTTCTTGTTTAAAGTACCTCAATATCTGCATAAGTTTCTTTGTTTATTTATGTGCTTTTTAAAATTAATACTTATTTAGCTAGTAAATGTACCTGAGAGAAAAAACAAAACACCTCTGACCTTCCCATCCCCACCCACCAATCGAGCCAATCGTTGTAGCCCTTCCCCTCTTTCATATTAAACCTATACACCCGCTCAGGCATGCACACACACATAGGAGCACATGCTGTTTCCCAATCGCACCATCAGTGTCACCATGGAAACCAACTCTCTTGGAACCTTCACTTGATCGTCATCACCATTACTTTTGTCTTGACACTTACAGAAATGGCCTACAGGAAATTCCTGGGTATTTGTGTTACCAGCATGTTGATGCATGCGAACTTTAAGAGCAGGTGGTGATGCTTCTTGCTGCACATAAATGTTGGCCCATACTGGTTTGTCAGGTTTGTAGTCGTTTTGTGGCCTTCAGCTAGTGGTACTAAGAGAAGCTGGTTGTGCCACGTGTATAAAGATCTGGAGAGGTGCTGAATTCAGAGTAATTGCTGGGAGAATCCGTAAAATGAAAGTGTCCATGCATCTAATAGGTTTTGTCCTTTTCCCAGAGGCATCTGTGTAAACTACTGTACTGTGGCATTTACTGCTTTACATGAATGAGCACGACAGATCAGGCAAGCTCACACATGCTGAAAGGCAGCATGAGTCACTGGATATATGGGTGCATGTCTGTAGGGAGCATGTTTTTTTTTTCCTCGCCCCATAAGCAAGTCCATGTTTTTATTGTGCAGGGTTTACATGCTGCAAATGCAATTAGCGTTCAGATCTTATAAATTAGATCTCACATCCACATCAGTAGTAATCTGTTTGGGTGCATAAGCATTTGTGTGCAGAGGTGAACCTCATGAAGGTAGCAATGAGTTTAAGCTAGGTGGATGCCATCAAATAGGAACAGCGTTTTTCTGAAAATGGTCGAAAACATGTTTTCATTGTTCTGGGAAACAAATTAATTTTCTTGTGTTGTGTAGTTTTGTAATAACTAGCTCTTTTGTATTTTCATGCTGACATTGCTAATGAGAAATAAATGCAACTGGATAGTGATGAACTGAAATCCCTGTCTGTGATGTGAATCCAAGTCGTCATTGAGAAACCCTCCTCCGTGCACATTAAAGTCAAGTCCAAACTAAAAGTTTGATCTATTTTATATATAAATTACATGACTTTTAACCTAATTAAGTGAGCTTCAGGGTTCAGGGTCCATCATTGAATGAAATCGCCAGCCCCCTTCTTAACACACACATGCACACAGACAACATAGAGAGGCACCCACACGTCCAGACAAACCCTGCAGCATCGCTGATCGCCCACTGGGAATGAAACGAGTCCAAATCATCTCTCTCCCAGTGAATCTGTTCTGCTAACCATCTGTGAGGACGTTACTTTAATTAGGATAGACGTCGCTCAGGGTACTCAGGGCAAAGGAGATGTTTACATGAACATGTGTGTTTGTGAGTGTGCCTTTGAGTTTGATATTACGTGTTCGACACTCGCACACACTCAAGGGGGAGGGCAGTTGTGTGGAGGTATGCAGGCAGGGTGAATAATACACAAAGGAAGAGGAAGTAACCACACACTGGTTAAAAGAAAAAAAAAATCAATAATCTGGCTGACTGATAGCTGCTTTATTGGCTGTGCTTTGATTACATCTCAGAGATCAATCCTAACAATTTTATGGATTGATCAAAGTACTCTGCTGTGCTTGAGTATTATTAAGTGAAGAATCTCCTGGGTGGACTTATTGAGACAACTTATTTAAAACTGCAAAGTGGACCGGATAGAAAATTAGCCATCACCAGGAACCAGACAAGAACCGATTAGAAGAGTACTGCTTTGAGACTGAGAAGAGAATCCTATAGGATGTTCACATGTAGGAAGAGCTGTGAGAATTTAGTCTTGTTTTCACAGCGAGAATTAGTCATATGTATAAATAACGCCTGGAGTCTTTGTGAGCAAATCAGCAGCAAACAGCGCAGGCCTATTTTTTTGCTGTTCTCATATTTTGCATTCAAATCTATAATGCACTCCAGAGCAGTTTAACGCCTGAGAGACAATAAAGCCCAAGTACAATGTAGAGACACTTCTGTCTCAGCCAGACAAAGTGAGATTTTACACTGCTAGAAGTGTGAGAGAGAAAGAGAAGTGGGAGTGACGGAAAGAGAAAGAGATGGGGAGGACAGACAGTTAAACAAAGACTCTGACTTTGGTTGGAGATGGATAAACGTTCAAAGGATGGAGTGAGGGTTGCTTTTTTCTCCTTAAGGGCTGCACAAGCCGCCTGGAGTCAGAGCATCTGTTACCTGTCTGTGGTGGGCCAAGTCAAATCTCAACTCTCTCTGCTTCTTGAAGAGGCTGCAGGGATGAGGAGTGAGATGGAAAGAATGATAAAAATAGAGAGTGAGAAAAAGGGAGGCGGGGGGATCAAGGTGGGAAAGCGGAGAAATAAAAAGAAAGACAGGAAACACGCTGGAACAGCTGAAGTTGACTAAAGATAGAGGAGAGAAAACAGCTGAAACAGACGCCAGGATACAGCAGAGAGTCATCCGCACAGCAGTGGCTGTGCGGTGTTCTGCATGTGCGTGGTTGTGTGTCTCCATTCATGGAGCTTCTCTGTGGTCTTGCTGGCAGTCTGTGGCTGCTAGTGCTTGAGTAATCCTCCTGGGAACACACTGAAGCTGCCAAAGTACCATCCAGCTCCTCTTTTCAGTCTTTACCACCCTCATGCTCGTCTATCTATGTCTCTCTTTTACTCGCTCTTTCAATACTCCTCTTTTTCTACCATTAGCCGTTCCTTTCTCCACCTCTTCTCAATTAACTTAATAAGTACATCTACGTCTGCACTTGATTTTCTCTGCCTGCTCTTTATCACTGTACTCCTGATGTGAATCTTCTTTAAATGTGGGATTCATGCTCTTTTTTCATCCTTTTTCTTTTGCTCTTGTGGTCTGGCCCTATAGAAACGGTGTTTTGGTTCTCAGAGAGCAGAACAGAGTGAGGCCTTTCCCATGGGTTGACCAAACAAAGAGCCTGGCTCTCTTCACTTCTGTATGACTGCACAGGAACAGAAACACAGGCATTCACTCGGCAGTCTGCTACTGAGCGGCAAAGCGATAGATCTCCGCTGGCCCTGGTCAAAGCATTTCTTCAGTTTTGTTATGAGACAGCAGCGATCATTAAACAGCCCATAAAATCTGTGCTGATGGGCAAGGGGTGGAGCATAGACTGAAAACATTGAACACAGTGCGTTTGACATCAGATTAAAAAAATAATTTGTATGCCTTGTATGTAAAATTGATCAAATCCTATCTCATGGTCATGTTGTCAGATAATTACATCGCAGTGTGATAACTATCATTTAGCAGAGGTCAGTTTAAAGAGTAAAATTGAGCCTGTTTTATGCTGCATAACAACTTAAATGATAAAATTGCTGAAACAAACACAATATGTATAAAAGCAATACAATATGAGAGTGTTAAAACACACCTCAAAGTTCCAGAGGTTTATAACTTGAAAAAACTTTAGGCCTGTATTTGTAGGTGTTCATAAATGCTATATAAATTAAATGTAAAAAGGGGGTAAAATTAGTAAAATATCTTAAAATGAGGTTTTTCATGTTTTTAAATCAGTCTTCATTTATCAAACAATTAATCTGTACTATTGAGTGCCATTTCACAACAAAAGTTAACTCAAGACGCTTTACAAAAATGATTAGATGGCATGATTTTTACATCACTGTGACCTGAAATATCAAAAAAAAAAAAAATCAAGTTAAAGTTTAATTTCATTTGAGTGATTTTACTGGTGTATCATGTTTCAAAGTAAAGCAGAGTATCAAAATTTTCCTTTACCTAGAGGCAATCTAAAGGCTGCGTCAGCATTTTTGTTCTTTTAGTCAGAAAAAAAACCCACACATGCACCAATAATCTCTCGAAGTTCTACACATCAAAGAAATTTATTACAGAGTTAAAGGCAAGAGGGTTGGGTCCACAGCCTGTAACATACAACATGTGTATACTTGCAGATTTAATAACAGGATTAAACTGATCTGGGTAATAAAATTCAGTCAGTGTTTTTCCAAACGACTCCAAAGGATTCAGATTCAGCAGATTATTTGCTACTAACGTTTGCATACTTGGTTGAGAGGCCCCAAGGGGATTGAACCAGTGTCAACTATGGAACAGTGACAGCCTCACCCCACCCAATTCTTCATAACACCCTCCACCCGAAAAAAACCCAAACCACCCACATCACGTTGGCACCTGCTGCATTGGAATTCAGGTCAGCAGGGGGAGTCACGAAAATTGCTCTAAGTGATTGGTGAAGAAGAGAAGGGGTGCACAGGGGATGGGGGTCTTGTTTGGTTTTGTTTTGTTTCTTTTTTTCTCTTGGCACCAAAGACCATGCCACTAAGAACAATCATCCCATTGTACTCCAACAAAGGAATCATAATTGAAGCACATTGAGTGACTCGTACAAAACAAGAAGCAGACTTCATGTGAACAGTTAATGTGAACAGATTCGCACTGGTGATCAGATTGAGCAATCTGTGCTAATGCTGTTGCTCTTCAAAACTTTAATACAAAACAAAAAATCGTTAAGATAATCCAATAGATTCAATGTGATTGAAGTATTTGGCAGTTTTATAAACCTTATTTCATGAAGACAACTAAAAATCATTCTTTTAACTTGTGTTACGCTACAAAAGAATCCACTTTATTTTGTAGTTGCTCAAACTGCCTCCCTCCTTTGAAGAGTAAAGCTTTCGTGACAGTTTCATAACGAGGATGAAGAGAGAATCATCCAATGAGGGATAAAGAGGAAGAGGATGGAGAGGTAAATGTTGGATTTGATGCTGCCCAGAGTTTCCATATGGTAAGAAAAATGAGGCTTGATGTATCACTTACATTCGTTTCTTCAAGCAACATCTTAAGGTTGACCTGGCCATGGACACAGTAAAAAAACAACTTTTTAAGGGTGAAATAAAGGGTTCAAATTTAAGTAAATCTTGCACCTTTCCCCACTTCACCCACTTCCCCTCCACCTTCCTCTTCCTTTGCTCTCTTTTTGCTATTCCACAAATCCTCAATTAAGTGCGTAATGGGCCTCTGAGGCAGGTTTGTGTGCCTCTTTGTTCAGCTCAGGGAGATCGGCCGGCATTAATGTTCCTCTTGAGTATGTAAATAGCCCGAGCTGTGGGAGCGCAGAGCGGAGCTGCCACTTTTCCACTTAATCGCAGAGAGCTCCATCACTTTCGGACATCTTGGGGAGCCAAAAACGGGACATGCATGAGAACTCCAGCACTAGATACAATGCCCACACTCGGAGGAGTAACCTCAGCACCCATGTCCGCCTCCCACCGCTTCCGGAATAAACCCCGTTTGCTCTCTCACCCTCAGGACCCTCACCCCTCCTACTCCACAGATCCCCTGATGAGTCCTCCCCCCTGCATGTGTGTTGCTCCCCTACAGCTCAGCCTATCGCATCCCCAGACCCTACAGTCTGTTTTGTTTACCTCGCCCACTTGTCCAGCGGAACACACAACAATCCCCTTCATTGCATGTTTGTCAGCCCCCTTTTCAGGAGTAAAAGAGGAGAGAGGAGAAGAGGGGGGAGGGAGGCGGGGGGGTTACAAAAACAAAAAAAATGAAGGAAACAATTAAATGGCCCCTCCTCCCCATGAACCCCGTGCTAGCGGTTTCCCAGCTCGAGATTCTGTGAACTAACTTGGAGGCCTGTAAAGTGGCCCATTATTCTAGTAGGGGTGGCGTGTTCCAAGAGCGGCCGGCCTCAATGGCTGATGAACACAGAGAGGGTTTTGTTTGTGAGTTTTGGCTCACTGCATTATGCACTGGTTAATGAGGAGCTGCATCTATCTATCTATCTATCTATCTATCTATCTATCTATCTATCTATCTATCTATCTATCTATCTATCTATCTATCTATCTATCTATCTATCTATCTATCTATCTAGTCATTTTCTGTCTGTTTGTCTGTCCATCCATCTGTCAGTGTGTTTGTCTTTCTGCCAAAATAGCAAGTTCCTGTCAACTAGTAAGGAGGTTCATGTTCTTATGTTACCAAATTTATCTATCTCATTTATTACATAACATTTTATATCTAATGGTTTCTTCTCATAACGCCATTCAAAGTAAATACATGACCTCCCACCAGAAAAAGATGCAGTTTCATCCGTATTAGATTCTCCGAATTGAATGCTGGTATAAATCAATTTAGATATATTTTCTATATAAAAACCAAAAACTGAATCCCGTTTGATCCGGATGGATCCTGTGGTGACAGAGAATCCATGTTCGTCTCATTGTATGAGGATTACAGAGTACCAGGATTTCGGGGAATTTGTGTCGTATTTCTTAAATCTGGACTGAAGGGGGGGTTTACCACCCTCTGAGCAGGCTGAGATGAGCGTACTCAGGGGATTTAGCTGTTACTTGGATCAAAGGGAGGAGATGTGTAGAGAATGCTTTTGCCCAGAGGTTCTGATAATGATTGACTGTGACTGCAGGCAGGCTGTCATAATTAGGCAGTGGAGAAAGCTGAAGCGGGGATACCAGTGCTGCATGTGACTGAAGAAATATTTACATAGTTTGACCAAGTATGCTGTGAAGAATGACGTGGAAAGAAAAACAAAGAAGTGAGGATTGAGCAGCAGGGGTCCCACTGGGGGCTTTTCATATGTAACAGCTGTAGGTAATAGACAACAACTAGCTCTGATTTTCACATCTATTGAGGTAAAACTTTTCTGGGTTTATTTTCATGCATGTGGTACTGAAAGAACAGAGTCAGTGAAGTGGTCCTGAAAGGAAAGCAGACTTGTATTCACACAGCTTATAGCACAGGTCAAGGCTTTGCTTTACTTAGTCTCAAAGGGGTTTCCTTGAAGACAAGGTTTTCTGTCAAAGTTTTTGCTTTATTTTGATGATTACAATTCTCATCACTAAACTGAAACTGTTAGGAAACACTCAGGCTCTCACTAGGTTGTTGTACTCCACCATATTTATGTCTTCTGTTTGTTTTAGTGTCTGAAAGCAAGAGTTCAGTGTGGTTCCATAAATCTCTCTGAAAATATGTCAGGATTGCTTAGCAGAGAGATGAAAGCAGGCTTTTAGGTGAGGCGGTGTATTGTAGAAAAGAGTCAGGAGGAAACACACAAGTAAAGAGGAGGAGAGCGAAAAAGCAAACATAATGAGGAAGAGAGAGAACACATGCGTCCACAATGAGAAAGAGTGACAGCTCTGTCACACTTCCCTGCTCTCTTGATATGCTTCCCTATTGTATTCTGGTCTGCACTGATGTGAAGCAGTTTCTTCACTGCAGAAACACAGACAGGGAGTGTTGCAATTAGAGAGAAACACAATGCACACAGGAGGTATTTGCATCAAAACTAGATAATGGTGTAACTGAAGAAAAGCATGTGGCTGATAACATCACTGTGAGCCATGTCTACATATGTTTCAGTTTCTGTTACAGTAATAAGCATAGCATGGCAAACAGACAGTAATGACCATATGGCATATGTCCCATATGGGAAGTGCCTTGACATAACTTAGGCACTATACCAATAGAGCAGACATGACTTGAATCCAAAAACCTCAAGAGTGATTTAAGCTAAGCATTACAGTGTAAAATTGAATGTCTATGTGCTGTGTAGAGAACTGAGACAGAATACACAGTAGCTACACAGCTAATAAATTTCTCGTGCATTTGTATAGCATAAGAATTAGCAGGTATCTAAAATAGTCACCAACAAATATGAACTTAATAGTGCTAGAAAGTGATTTCCCCCCAAAATGGTACCATAAAGAAGAACATATATCTAATTGTATCCTGTAGCCTTCACTTGTCATGTTGAAGACTCGTCCCAACATGCCCTGTGGCCACTGAAAAAATTACATTGACTGACAGCCTATAGGATTTGGTGAGTCATGTGCCAGAAATGTTCATGTATTTGCCTCCATGTGTGTGCTGCTGGTCATCCTCAATGGCTGATGTAACGTGCCGTATGTGTGTTTGCATGTGCGGGAATGCCCTTTCTGTCAACACTGTGGGGTGGTGAAAGGGGAGCAGGACAGGGCCGTTGCTGCAGGCTGTGCTCCGTCCCTGCAGACCTCAGTGTTTAATTAGTGAGAGAACATCCATCCTCCTTAGTCCTCTTATTGGCAAATCCAGAGTGAGACTGTAAAACCCCCTCGCCCTGCCTCCAAAACCACAGGACTGGACCAGCAGAGATTTATGACTGCAGACAAGAGTGCGATATTTCCTGTCTATGTTTGAGTTTGCATGCTTGCATTTTACTCTCAAAAAAAAAAAAAAAGCGAGATTGGGGCCAGACGGTGGGTGCATCTATCGTTTATGTATATTCAAACTTTTCAAGTGTGGCAGGTGAGTTTAGTGATGTATGAAACATAATTTGCGCAGTAATCCCATTTTGCGGGCCAGCTGCCTGACACAGATGTCAGCTCTTCATGTATCCACACATAACCTGATAACACAGAAGCCCTTCATATGCTGGATGTGTAGGGACATGGGCAATCTCATTCTCCACTTCAATTGATTGCTTTAATCTGACCTTTGTCCCACCCTCTCTCAGCACTTCCACTTATTTTCTCATCTGTTTCCCATTCCGTGTCTTTGTCTCCATCCCTACCTTCATCAGCCACACCTTGCTTTTTCCACCCTCCCCCTTTTTATCCTCCACCCTTCCCCCATACATTGTTACACATCTATCTTTATATGGCATTTTTCTCTCTCTAATACACACCTCCCTCTCTCCCCTCCTCTGTCATCCCCCTCTCGACTAACGGGTGTACTATAGTGACGGTTGTAACAGGGGGGTTGGGTGGTCCTTCCTTACTGGCAGATTTAATGAGCTCCTGTGGGGATCGGACCAATGCCATCAAAAGCAGCATTCAGCTATAGCAGGCTCTGTTAAACAGATGCGCCTTTGCTTATGATAACAGCTTCATGTGCAAATGGCGTGAACACTGAGTGGCAATAGAGAGTTGAGAGAATATGAACATGTCATGTCTGAGATAGGTGTGTGACCACTGGTTAGAAAGAGAAGGATGCGTGAGGAAAATATCCAATGACTATGGATGGTCTTTCCTCTGTTGACCTTTCATCCCTGCTGCTTTTGATGGACAGTGGGGGCTGGGAACGAGTAGTGAACAAGAAGAGAGACAGAGTCCTTTTGGTTACAGCCGGTTACATGATTTGGTGGAGAAAAGAGTTCAAATCTGAGATATTTCACATGAATGCAACAGATTCTTCAAGTGGCTCACTTGAAGTGAAGAAAACAAAGAGGAGACCTAAATTTGGAATGAGAAAGATGTGCAGGCATGAATGTGATTACATTCGAGTGTAAGAATAGATGCCATCAAACTAAAGCCCTCTGCTGATATTATCTAGATGAATGGGAATCATCCAATTCAGCTTTGCAACAACCGCTTCCCAGCATAACAGGCTGTTAGCACATAATTACAGTGGGACTGGTCACATCTGAGGGACCTATGCAGATTACAACATTGGCCTCAGGATTCCCAGAGGCTCTCTCTAATGACTGCCTCATTACGGACACAAAGAGTTGTGTCAAACAAAGGGGTACCTTAGAGGATGCTGAGGGACAGACACGTACAGTGTGGTGCAGTCATGCATTGCCAGGATGCTGATGCACCCTGATTGTAAAACAGAAAAGTAGAAATGAAAACTGTAATGAGAGAATAAAGAGGAATTTTCAGTGTTACGTAATGTGCAGAGTGCTTTTTTACAAGTTGCAGCACATAATGGGCAGTAACCAAAGCTGAGAACTGTTTTTAAATAGAAATGTCATTAAAAAAAACAAGTCTACCCTCTGACATCAGTTAATGACAAGCATTTGTTCCTGTTGGCTTTATTTTTTTGTCTCTGGGGGCACATGCTAATCCAAGGATTACCTAATACCAGTTGTGTTTAAAACCACTGGTTTAGCAGTACACTTAAGGTCACATGAGCTAAGGTCAGAGACTCTAGGTCGTACACCGAGCAAAAGGTATTTTGGTGTGCAATGCAAGTGACATTTTTGTTTTGTTATTTTTAAGCATAGCACTCATGTTGTGCCAATGGTGAGTCAGCTTGCTTCTGAGTCAGTGCTCATGTGAATTCCCTGCAGGTGTTTATCTGACATCGAGGTGTGGTTAAGTCAGGGTCACGACACTTTCCTGCAATAGAGATGGCACTGTTGGACACAAGAGTTTGAAAACTGCATTTTTTTTTTTTCTTCTTTTTGCTTATTATGCAAGAACAATGACACCCAGCAGTGCTCCAATTCACAACAAAATATCTGTTTTTTTCTGGTGCTGTAAAACAGAGTTTTGTTTGGGACAAAGGCCTCAGATGATACAGCTTTTTGTGTGGGGTTGATCCATGGATCCCAGAGAATGGGACACCATTGATATCCCTGCTAGCATACCTGCTTCACCTAAGTCCAAAAAAACCCTACAATTTAAGAAATCATCCAGCTTTCCATCATACACACTGTCTTTGATGCTTGCTCTCTTTAAAACACATGCACACACAACTGTATTTCCTTTTTTCTTTAATATAATAAACTTCAATGAAAGTCTCTGTACCACAGGCCATAGTGCCCACAGATATCATTTAGACTAACAATGCAGTTTAACACAGGAATAAAAATCAGTTAACAACAATTTACTTTACCTTGATGTAAAATACAGGGGATCGTGTCCAAATCTGTTGGCATATCCTGAGTTGGAAATGGTTCATGCACTTTAGCTGCGATGCATTGTGCATAAATAAAAGCACCTTTGTAAATTTGGAAAGTCCCTGATTATTTTTCCTTTGCAGGGGTTTAAAAACCCTAACTAATAACTAATACGAGAGGAGAAGTCAAATTTGCTGGTCTAATTGCAGTGAGATAGAAAGACTGTAATCCTCTGTGTTTGTAGAAACTCAGTCTGAACTCTTGCCCCCCCTGTGCCTCACTAGGTCTCCAGATTGTGGGCTTCTTAACTGACAACATGTAGTTTCTCTTGGCCATGTAGTTTCAAGCATGTGTTTCAGATCCTCAATATGGGGCCTTGTGTCACTGACCGTGGTGCTGAATGTCTGCTCTGATACTTTATACTTGTATGGAAGGTTAAACTACCCTTCAAGACCTGAAAGCCCATTGTGGAGAGCTAAATGAAAATATGATATGAAACTGATTGAATAAAATGTATTATGAAAAGTTCAATGACAGTTTTTTTAGTAATATGAGAGATTAGCTTACACTGCTGTTATGTGTCTTTACTCATATGCATTTACATCTTCTGACAAAAAGCTTGTAGTTTGTAGTAAGAGGCATTTCTTTTGGCTCTGTAGAATAGCTTATTGATCTTAGTTGCCTGATGCTGAGTTCATAGGTCACTTCTCAAGGGAAAATAAATTCAAACCACTGTTAATGATGACTAGCAAGTTGTTGTGATGGCGCCCTTTCTCTGTGTGGAAGTTTTATCTTAAAGAACAGCAAATTAACGTATTTATTTGACTGATGTTAACCCAGTAATAGGCATGTTGGCATTACTCCCCTCTTGGAATCTGTAGTTTGTTTTGAATCCCTTGGAATTTACCCATGTGAATACATGCAGCTTTTTCAACAGTTCTTCTAGCTCTATGCAAGTATGATCAGAACATGTCATCAGTCCAGGATTTACTTGGATAGACCACTGAATGACTCTATATATAGACATTTATTCCTGTGCAATTCCTTAAACTAACTGAACTACAGCTCTTGTGAGGACATTTGAGCTATTCATGAAACAGACTGAAATAAAATTGGATGCCTCTAAATGACTCTTAAAAGCCAATGAGATAAGTTGTCAGGGTAAATCAGAAAGTATGAATTTGCATACCCTCCTGCAATAATCTTTTATGACATTTTCAATGACAGAGATTAATTTTGAGTGACTCTTGAAAGATATGAAGATGAGATTTTTGACAGAAAATCTTGTTTACATGTGATTATAACTACAAAAAGGTAGGACATTGGCTACTGCCTTGTTAGCAAGTCTTGTCATATGGCACAAACTAGAAGTCCCCAAAGGAACCTTAAAAAGTAGGTTTTGATTCACCTGCAGTGACATTCATGTTTTCTTTTATTGCTGATGTAGAACAGCCGGTTCTTGGCATGTATGCCCAAGAGTTTTTGTCTGTACATCAAAGGCAGATATGAAACACACGTAAGATATGAAGACAGGATTTTCCCACCTGACGACATGACTCTCTTGGGGATGTTCTCACTGAGTAACTGTTGTTGAAGTGCATGCTGGGAAAAACAGACAATCCCAGTGTTTATTGTGGTTTGTTGTTTGAGTTGAATCTAAGCAAAGTTTTGGGGTAACATGGGGTAAACCAACCGATGGGAATGTTTTTCACCCCTTACTCATAGTGGATGTTGTTTTTTTAGCAAGAAGCACTCTTTAAGAGCGTCTTCTGTTTAGCTGAACTACTGGGAGGCTGTAGGTTAAACTGCTGCTGGAATAATCCAATTGGAATGACAGTCCACACATCTCTCTATTACTATCTATCAGGGGAGACATTCATCCCAACGACCATCGAGGGATACACCACTGAGAGGTGTGGGGTGACAAAGCTCCTCTTTCTTCTGATTCTGGAATTTATCTCCCACTTCCTATGCACAGCACAACCTGAAGTGTTTGCTGAGAGCTTCGTTTGGGTGTGGGGTGGTGGTAGGGGGGCTTTTCACAGCTCCCAGGCACCCAGTATGTGTGAGCCCATTTCTTCCCACTGCATGGCAAGTGGCTGTGAGGCCCAAAGGGGGCCAGATATATCCGGAGCCTGGCCCTGCTCCAGTTGTCTTTACCTCACAAGTATATTGTGATGCTCCAGTCATGAGAATGGGAAGCGGGCCTCTTCAGGGACTAGTGGCACCCTCGCCTTCTCCCTTATATCTTCCTCTCTGTAGTAACGTGGATCCAAATAAGTCGAACTAGACATGTTTAACCACGTAGCTGGCGACAAATGTAAACATTTAATTATTATGTAAGCACATGTCGTGAATGTTAGAGCAGCTCTGAGTTGAGGCACGTGACGGCAGCTCATTAATTATGCACAGGAGTCCCAAATAAGCTTAATTAAAATTGTCCTGTGAATTTTTTTGTGAGGTTTTGATGACTTTTAAGTCTATGACATGAAATTGTCTTCGATGGGGAACGAAGATTTGATGTGTAATTCACTTTGTCTCAGAGTCTTTTATGGTGTGTGTTTGTTTGCTGGGTGTGTGCATGTGTGTGGCTGCGAGCTTCCTCTTCCCTCTTGATCCCCTTCTCTCTAAGCTGCGGATCGTTGCTAGGACAACCCCTCGTGGTCCTCGCTGCATCGCAGCAGCCCTCAATGCCAGCACTCAGGGAACCTCCTCGCACTGGGAAGGCAGCATAAAATCGGGATAATCGCTGTCGATTATGGGACACAATGGGCTGCCGCTTGTGAAAGATTCATTCATCCTGGAAAAAGAGACTGTGGAGGGGGAAAGAGAAAGGGGCGCCTTGGTCCCTCCGCTGCTCTCCCACGGTGGGCACAGGCATGACATCAGTGGCCTGAAAGAACGGGCATTCTGGACATGCCCACTGCTCCCCCTCCCTTGCTATACCCTCACACCCCCCTCCCTCTGGAACCCCCTCCCGTCTTTTCTCGCCCCTGCCAGTTTGGATGCAGCTCTTGGCTGGGCGATTTGGGGCCACTGCCACTGTTTGCGTGTGAAACAAAGCCCCTCAGAAGGAAGAGAGAGGAAGCAGAGAGCTTCACATGGTACCAGCCAAGAGCAGGGATGGCTGCCTCGGCCTTCCCCTCACAGGCCCCCTTTTTTGGCTGAGAGGTGCTGCTGTGACCCCAGTACCCCCATCTCCCCGAGTGTCCCTCTTCCTCCCCCTCTGTAACCCCTTCTTCTCTGTCCGGCTCTCTCTCTCTCTCCCATCCCTTAAAAACTCCTCTCTCTTCCCTGTGAAGGCCCTTTTGAATGAGTATGACATGTCAAGGGATTTAGGATGAGTGATTTCTCATGACACAACCTTTGCCGACAGAGCTGGGATTCCTCTGGCTTTTGTTGTGCAGTTGGTTGTTTGTTTGAAGAGGAAATAGCTTTCCAACACATTTCCCTAATTAGAATAATGTGATACCGCTCAATACCATGTGAAGTCCCATGCTGCTGGGAGACTAGAGGGAAACCAGCGTGACACCATCCTCACATGAATCACGTTGGTCATTTGTGTTGTGGAGTCCAAGGCTTTGGAGTTTCACTGAATTGTGGGTAAATCTATACATAAATCTATAAGACTTACATCTGTGTATCTTATCTTGAAAGCATCTAAATACATGTACATATTTTACATTTTCTCCTGTAGATATGTATTTTTCAGATCTTTGAGGGCTGTAGTTGCATCTAATGATGCCATTGCCCTTTACGGGTATTAAAGTATTTGCTTGAGAGCAATACAGCGCTGTAACCTAAAGAGCAGTACATATTAACGCCTCATCTGCTGTCCATCAGGATGACCTGTAACATGATGGACGCTAAATCTTCTGTTGCTTTTATTCCCCTGTAAGAGAGAGCACCACTGTCCACATAGTGCCATTAGCAAGCATCATCATGCTCATCTCCGAAGGCATGGCCTGGCCCTTGCTCTCTCATGCATCTGGATGAGTCCAGGAGTTTGCTCTTTCGAGGGATTACACCATCCAGGGAATAGAGGGTCTCTGAGGGATTTGACACTTAAGCTCAGATGTTGACTCCTCCCTCTTCTTCTTGTGTTGTGTTTTTTTTTCTGGGATGATATAATGCATTTGTGTATTAGATCTGTTTTTGTGTGTATGTGTGTGTGTGTGTGAATCGGGGTGTAGCTGGTTGTGGGTGGTGGGTGGTGGCAGAGTCAGGGGTGGGGGGTAGAAGGGGGTTTTGCAGACTTTAGGATGGGGCATTTCAGGTTGCTGTGGCTGTGACGGGGGTCTGTGTTGACGTGCTCCTCTCTGGATGCTGTGAAGCTGGAGGACAGCGGGGAACTGATTGCTGTCCGCTGAGCTCCATTTTTTTTTTTAACTTTGGACTTTATCGAAAGACCTGATAAACTTTTTTGATGGAGCAGTCCTGATCCAATAACTCTGTCTTGTGCTGATTAACTCTAAATACCAAAGTCTGGAGGTCTGATCCTGGTCAATGTATATTGCACTTACCTCAACTCCACCAGAAATGAAGTAAGTACGGTGCAGCGCTTTTACACTTGTGGGAATAATTTAGCTTGACCAGTTTTACTTCACTTTTCCAACCGAAGGAACTAAAAGTATTATTTTGTATGTATGTATGCATGTACTTGACTTTTCTGGCCTGATCCGGTACATAAGTGAATTGGTAACTTTGGTTTGGCGGAATATTGAATTCTTCCTGTTTTTTTTTGTTCGTAATCCGGTTTGACACCAGGTGTTATTTTATTAAGACCTTCATTAATTCTTCATGGTTTAATGGTGCTGTAATGCAATTAATCTGACTAAGCTGGGGGCCAAGATTAAGCTCTTCATGAGATGATCCCATTAGGAGACTGCAGGGAAGAAACAGAATGTGTGTGTGTGTGTGTGTGTGTGTGTGTGTGTGTGTGTGTGTGTGTGTGTGTGTGTGTGTGTGTGTGTGTGTGTGTGTGTGTGTGTGTGTGTGTGAGAAAGAGAGAGGGAGAGAGAGAGAGAGGGAGGGCATCTGTGTGTGTCTGAGCATTTTTGTCTTTTGAATCAGAAGGTTCTGTCAGAGTTTTAAGCCATTTAAACTTTGAGACGCTCTGAGTGACTTTTTTTGCTTTCACATCTTCTTAAAGGAGGAGCTCTGCTTCAGTTGAATTATTGAACACAGTGGGGCTGTAGGCCAGAGAGTATTAACTCTAATCTCATGTCATGTTAATGAACGCTTAAAATATGTGCGGAAAAGATAATTTTCTCTACAATAAAATCATTTGTTAAAATATAAAACATATTGTGATACACATCATGTTTGCAATGATAGCTCTCTGTCGGAGCTTTGTGCTTTAAATGCACTATTTCTTCTGTTAAGCACACGCTCTGCACCCACATCTGTCTCTGACTTGGTGTGAGAAGTGCTAATGAGAAGACCATGACAGAGTAATATCCGACTTCTGTGATGTCTGCTTCCTCTCGCTCTCTGCGGGCTAAAAATAAAGGAAGAGAGAGAAAAGGGTGAAAATTTAATTAACAGGATTCATCACTCTTTCGGAATAGGATTACATGGTAATGGTAGTTTTTTAGCTTTTGATCCTGGGTTTTACTTATTCATACAGCTCTTATCTTTGGGATGAACTCACGCAATGTAGGATGCAATGAAGGCTATTGTTTTTCCTGCTGTTTGCGTGTTTTTTTTTTCCCCTTGTTTTTCACACTTCACTTTGAAATTAATAAGAGGAAATAGGACCAGTCCATCTGTGTGCCTGGAAGCTGACCATTTGGTCTTTGTATAGCTGAACGCAGTAATACACCAAAGCTGGGGGGAGGTGTGTGTAAATGTGTGAGTGTGTGTTCATGTGGAATTATTTGTGACTACTTGAAAAACAACAAAAGCACCGTAAGAGTCTTTGGATGTGAGGAAGTTTTCAAAACGTGGTCTATTGATTTGAGCTCCCTGTCCTGCCTTTGATGCAGTTTGGGCTTTGAAAAAAAAAAAAAAAAAAAGACGTGACAGCCAGCATGATTAATTTCTATGGAGTGTTCTGACTTCATCGTGGAGTAAAGGGGGAGGGTGTGAGAACAAAAAAAAAAAATAACACCACCATTGAGGCTTCCGTTTGTGAGTTTCAGGCCATGAACCCCAGGGGTGAGGTCAAAGGTCACAGTCACATTGTTTCATCTTTGCCTCTCTTTGTAATTCATCACAGCAGACATTTTTATAGGCTTATTGCTGATGAATGGCAACATATGGACCCTCTACTTCCTCATAGACAAAAAGGATGTCAAACCCAGCATGATAATTTGATCGATCATCTTTACCTCTTGTTAAGAAAAGCTTCAATAAAAGCCTCTCCATTTTTTTTCTTCCCATTCTCACCCACTCTGTGTGTTATTGAACACCTGACAAACAGGCATTTGATACACACAGCTGGCTCTCTTCTCTCCAACAAACTCATGCATACCTCAATGAGATGACAGGAAACTGCTGTCCGTAATGGGAAATCACTTTACATTTAATAATGAGGCTTTGTGACTGAGCCTCGACTTCACACTATCAGAGGTTTTGAGAGCTTTGGAATTTACTGTCGCACAATTGTAACTGAATAAAAATAATCCTTAACAGACAAAAGGTTTGCTTTTCTTCTACCTAACTCGTGCATTTTTGTGCAGTCAAGTTGGCAGATGTTGCATTATTTTTCATTGGGGTAAATCATTGTCTCAAGTTTTTTTTTTTTTTTTCACGGGTCTCTACCCTGCACACGGTATATAACAGTAATACATCTCCCCAAACAGTTATCTACCTATCTATCTGTTTTGAGTCCTATTTTCATATTTATTCCTGCTGTTTGTGGTCAGGCAACATGGAGGTTAATTCTTATATAACCCAACACCAGAAGTTACGACACACTAACGTCTTTACAAATAATCTATAACAACGTGATGAACTTCAAAGATGCACATATTTTGATCAAACTGAAAGTACTGCAATGTGCGAGCAGCAGCTTGCAGTCTGCTTCCATCTGTTTGATGCCATAGAAACCAGCGACACTTTTGATGAGTGACAGCTTGGCAGCACATGTCATCGCATTGCATTTTGCAATTTCAGTTTTCTTTTCAACTCTAGTACAGTTTCTAAAGGCATGATGAACATCTTATCTTCTATGGTTTCTGCATAACCAACACAATGCCTTGAGAATGCTCCTTTGGTGTCTATTTATACCTTTGTATCTGGTTGATAAGTGTTTAATCTGTTTTTTCTTTCTGCCGCAGTGCCAACAGTATGCCTAAACAAGTGGAGGTGAGGATGCATGAGAGTCACCTGGAGCCCATAGAGGCCAGGCCTCAGTCCAAATGTGCCAAAATCTGCTCCAAGCTGTTCAAAAACCTTCTGCTCACACTCACTGTCCTTGGTAAGTTTCCTGTGTATTTTTCTTACCTTCTTCCTACCAAAACCCACTGTGTGCTAAAGATGGACCCTGACCATCACTGGGCTCTGTGTGTCCTGTTCACTCTGAACTCCATCATGTGGCCCGCTCTTAATGTGATGAAGAGATGCCATCTGTGCCTGCTCAGTGCAGCAGACAGTAAAATGACTGGGTGTTCTGACCTTCCCCAGCTTTGTGCCACCTGTTGCTATCAAAAGCTTTCTGCAGCAATGGACACTCAAACAGCCTCTGGTAGTGCATTAAACAAACTGTATTATCATAGTGGATAACTGTGCCACAGGAGAGGAAGGATCAAGTTAAAGAGAAAAAAGGGCAAGAAAGGAGTAAAGCAGCTTGTCTTAAATCTGCTGTTTGTACACCGTAGATAGACCACTTCACTTTTGTACTGTCCATCTTTTCAATACAGACTGTGAAAGTGTCAAAGCTGTTCAAATACATATATAATACAAATGTGCACATATTCTGATTAGTCATGTGCTTTTTTTATCTGTATCACCCTTGCATGGGTTTCTGTGTGTGTACATCTCACCCCACTTGGCAGGACTCTCTCTAAGCTAGACAGCCAGCATGATCATTGATCATCTGTCACTTGGCAGATAAGAGCCTGAATGAGAACTTGCAAATGGGCCAAAGAGAAAACAAACAGGAAATCAAGAGGCTTCCAAAACCATTGGGTGTACAGAATCCACAGGATGCTGCAAGACTGCAGGATAGATCAGAGCACTGAGGACAGCTTATGATTCAAAAAGAAAAGAAAAAAAATAAGAGAGAAAGTCTGGAGGACTTCTGATCACAGTGTGTCATTAAACACAGCATCTCGGGCTGTGTGATCTTTGGCAGTGGTGCGGTAGTGGAGGAAGTGCTTTTGTATGGTGTGAGACAGATGGGTGCAGAGGCTAAATATCAGGCCTGGTCGACAGGGGGGTATGAAGTACCAAGAGTTCCCTTTTTTGGCAAGGAGACACTCTGAGGGGCATAAAGATAAGTATTTAAAGTGGCACATATTATTTGCAAGGGGATGGTGTTTCAAATGTCACTTTTACCAGGCTCCTTGTGAGTAAATTGAAAGGTTATGTCAAAGAGCCCACTTAGATACCTGAGTTGTCACAACCAAGATTACAGCCAACAACCTCTTTCCCTCGTATTAAGTCCTTATATTACGCTCTGTTACTTGATTTGTCATAAGTATAAACATTTGGTTTTCCAGGGATTATGTTTTCACTATCTCACTAACTGCCTCCTCTCTGCTTCGTCAAAGAGATCTAATCCTAAACCTCCGTGAGCTTTACTCTCACTTGGCAGGTTTTTCTGTTTTATCTTCTTAACACGCTAGTCTCTAAGGAAGTAACGTACTGCCATTTATGAGTATTTCTTGGAGAAACTGTTGTTTTACAGATGTATTCATGTTTTTTTTTCTAAGAATACAGGATCACTAGGTGCAAAAAATCTATAATTTAGAGGGAAGTACTCAATCTCATCTTCTGTGTTTATTTACTGTTGCTCCTGTTTGCTCCACACAGGTGTTATCTTGGGAGCTGTAGCAGGGATGTTGCTCCGCGTTGCCTCCCCCATTCACCCTGATATTGTCATGGTGATTGCATTTCCTGGAGACATACTTATGAGGATGCTGAAGATGTTGATCCTGCCACTCATCATCTCCAGTTTAATCACAGGTTCTGTGTTTCTTAATCTTATGGAAAATATGTCATTTTATGAGAGTGATATTGCATATTTCAGACATTTTGAATTTTAGTCCTTCAAACTGATTCTGTGAGTGATCTAAATTTGATCATGAGGATAAACACACCCTCAATCCTTCATCAACACCTATAACTGCTGTGACACTGCTGAGGTTGACACAATAACCAAAGGTATTTTATTTTATTTTAATAGCTGAACTAAATATATATCAGATAGTACAGATGAGAAACTAACATAAAACCCTTGTTAGTCTTCTGGGTTTGTTATTGTGTTTCACTGTATTATGTCAACATTTCCAATCAGGAAGTTCCAAGTAATAACCAGAGAAACACTGTCATGCTTGTTTTGGCTGCAGGTCTTGCTGGTTTGGACGCCAAATCCTCTGGTCGTTTGGGAACCAGAGCCATGGTCTACTATATGACCACCACTATTATTGCTGCTGTCTTGGGAGTCATCCTGGTACTGGTCATCCACCCTGGTGACCCCAAACTGAAGGAGAATCTGGGCGAGGGAGAGAAGAATGATGAAGTGTCCAGCTTGGATGCCTTTTTTGATCTGATCAGGAATCTGTTCCCAGAAAATCTGGTGCAGGCTTGTTTCCAACAGGTAATGAAGGACATGACTGTACAGAAAGCTTACCGCTCAAGCTTGACAGTCAGTGTGTGCTAGCTGGTCAAAAATTCTGTTTTATTTTGAAAAGTCTGTAATCTTCTCATCATGGCATCTTCAGTCTTCAAACAGTGGATTACAAGTTCTAGATTTGAGCTGGGAAAAAATGCTGTTTGAAAAATCTCTATTGATATTTGACCAACAGGAAATAAAAATCTGATCCAAGTGTTTACCATCAAACTCATTACTTTAACCTTTCCCTCTGTCACCTCAGATTCAGACTGTCACAAAGAAAGTGGAAGTGGTTGTTGAAGAGGAGATCAACGCCACCACCGTGGAGGGTCTGGTAGCTAACATCACTAAGGAGCCTCAGTTTGTGATCAAAAAGTCCCTGCAGTTCAAAGGCGGCATGAATGTCCTGGGTATGTGACCAGCATGAACAAGCAATACCTGAAGACATGTTTGAGGCACTGTTCCGCTGTACTGATAGCATGACAGCATGCTAACTATTACTTTTCAAATATGCTAGTTAGCGCTTTTAGCGAGTTTGTCATCTTAGATTGGTACGTCAACTAGCTAACGCTTGGTATTGTGTATGAAACAGATGGTAAAAGCAGCATGACTGTGACTGACAGATTCATGATCCAAAGTAAAACTGTGTTTACCATGAATCCTTCTTTTTTTCTGAGATAAAAAACATCAACATAAATCCTCTTGGTTTATCCTCTTGAACGCTTAGGCTCTCCCCATGACATTGTTTTTGAACAATGTGTACTTCACTGAAGAGTTACACTAGGAGCCTGCTGGTGTCATTTGGGTACAAAAGAGAGCTACAAGGTTCATTCTCTGGGCATCATGAAATTATTCCTGAAATTTCATGCTAGTTCATCTCATGGGTGTTATGTATATTACAGTGTGGACTAAGAAATGGACCAAATATTGTCCATTTCCATGTGTAGCTGTTATGCTGTGAGAATGGTTAAACACATAAAAAATATGTAGTTTTACTTGTGCCAAATTTCCCCATAGCAAAGTTGTAGGTGAGTGGTTAAGAATCTCATCTTCATAGTATCAAGTCTCCCATGTGGCAGTCATCTCACCTGTCCACACTGGTATCCAACGTTTGATACATTTATGATTTTCTGTCACAGGTCTGATTGGTTTCTTTATTGCATTTGGCATCTGCATGGGCAAGATGGGAGAGAGGGCCAGACTCATGATTGAGTTCTTCAACATCCTCAATGAGATTGTGATGAAACTTGTCATCATGATCATGTGGTTAGTATCACCTTAGAATCTCATTGACCCATTTGCAACCCAGTATTTTTTTAGTAGGAAATAACTCTAAATAAAAAGTTATTTCTTCTGTCATTACAACATTTAAAGAGCTGCAAAAAGCAGAATTTGGATTTCTTCATTTGACTTCTGTAGTTAGAGCTTAATCCGAGACATAAAAAGCTCTTTTCTCCTGTTAGGTACTCTCCCTTTGGTATTGCCTGTCTCATCTGCGGTAAGATTATTTCCATCAAGGACCTGGAGGTGGTGGCTAGGCAGCTGGGAATGTACATGATCACTGTCATTGTTGGCCTTATCATCCACGGAGCGATCTTCCTGCCCAGCATCTACTTTGTTATCGTCAGGAAAAACCCCTTTACTTTCTTCCTTGGCATCTTCCAGGCCTGGATCACTGCTCTGGGGACAGCCTCCAGGTCAGAAATTACAGAAAAGGACTTTTATTTACTGATTTTTGTACAAATCACAGAAACTTTAATCCAGCCTTCCTATGCTTGACCCTCTAGTGCTGGTACACTACCTGTCACCTTCCGCTGCCTGGAGGAGAACCTGGGTATTGACAAAAGAGTCACTCGTTTTGTGCTCCCAGTTGGTGCCACCATCAACATGGATGGTACTGCTCTGTATGAGGCTGTTGCTGCTATCTTCATTGCCCAGATGAACGGCATCCACCTCGACCCTGGTCAGATTGTCACTGTCAGGTAAGGAAACACTCTTGATTGAAGCTGGATGAAGTTTTGATACATCTACATTTTCTGTGTTTCAGGGATACACTGGTAAGACAAGTTAGGCATGCAACTTAAAACAACTTAAGTCTTCTCTGTAAATAGCAACACATTTACCAGCAGTCCCACCTGGCTTTTAAGGCAACAAGATGTACACGTACAACCCAAATCATACCTTTGAATAATCAAGGAAACTCAATACAACCTATTTGCATTCTGTGCCTTACTCAGAGCCAAGATTCTGGGCCGTTTATCTGACAGCTAGCGGTTTGACATGCCCTCATTCATTTGTGTTTTAGACTGTGAGCTTTGATTTGTTTAAACAGGGCCCTTAAATTTTAAAGTGATGTGAGGCCCTGAACAGATTTCCCCTCCAATTCCACCTGTCATGTTGCTAATCCACAAACCTTGATTGCGTAGATATCTCAGTAGATATGATACCCTGTCATATCAGATTGCATGGTACTGTATTGTATCACCTTTCATTGTATTGTATCCTATTGTGTTCTATCATAGCTTGTAGTATCCTATTGTAATGTGCTGTATTGCCAACTGCATTGTACCATATTGTACCATATCGTCGTATCGTATCGTATCAATCGTTACAGGCCCCAGTGGGCTTAATATAGCATAGAGTATGTGTCAAATGAAACAAAGAGATTGGCAGATCTTACACATTAATTTACTACCTTGTCATGTGGTAGGAACAACTATTGAATGTTTTTATACATAGTATATAGTACAATATTAGCAATTCCTCCTTTTCTCCTGTATTTGGATATATGTTTTTTGTGCCTTTAGTGGATAGGACAGTGAAGAGAGACAGGAAATGTGGGAGAGGGAGAATAAGAGGGAGGACATACAGCAAATGGTGAGGGCCGGGACTTGAAACCGCAACTACTGTAGGACTATTGGACTATAGTACTGTAGCCTCCATACACAGGCCGCACTTACCCTCTAGGGCTAGGCTATCTGCATGATCTGTGTATTTAGATAATTTTTAATCTAAATGGTATAAGAATAAGAATAAGAAGAACTTTATCAATCCCCGAAGGAAAAATTCAATTGTCTGTCGTCTCATTTGTCATGTCTTTAAAAGTCAACTACTATTTATAGAAGAGTTGTTAAGTCTGATGGCTGTAGGTACAAAAGATCTTCTGAATCTTTCTGTCCTGCAGCGAATAGAGAGGAGCCGTCCACTAGGTGGAATTGGTGCCTGCAATTAGTATCTGTTCTAACATTAAAACTGAATCCTCCATCTTCACCCTGGACAGATACAAGACATAAGTACAGCTAAGTTTGATCATAAAAGTGTTGTAAAATGAAGATAACTTTAATAGTAGTTTGCAGTCCTTCTTTAATGGTGGCCCACCATTTAAAATGGTTTGAATGGGACCTTAAGGATCCCGTTCAGGAAACTGTCTTGTCTTTAAAAATGTGAGTCGGCACAGCACCAATGTAAAGACATTAATCAGTGCATGGGTAAGCCCCTTTGCAACAGCTCCAGAGCATAAATTCACAGTGAGGCGAATAAACCACAGAGAGGACGCCTCAACATGTGCCAAAGCTGTTTTTCAGGCTGAGCGGGGAAGACAAACACCATCAACTGTGTGTCTGTAACTATCTTGTCCCTACAAGCTCTTCTGTTAATGAAGTGAGTCAAGGATGGACGACCTTTAGTCTGACATTTTTATGGCATATCAATCCAGGAACCCTTAAAATAAACATCCTCTATCTCACATTTACACCTCTTTAAATGAGTGATAGAGGAGCCACTCCAGTGCTCTTTATATGAGTACCACAGAGAGTAAATGTCGGCATTTGTAGCTGTGCTGTAAAGTGACTTCTGGTTCTGTTGTGTCTGAGGAGCTTAGATGAAGGGTCATCTTCGGTCTGTTATGTAAGTTTGAAAAATGTGACTGAGTGCTTCTTTACTGTGTTTTTATCCAGTTTGACTGCCACCCTGGCCAGTATTGGAGCTGCCAGTATACCCAGCGCTGGCTTGGTGACTATGCTCTTGATCCTAACTGCTGTGGGCCTGCCAACCCAAGACATCAGTCTGCTGGTTGCTGTTGACTGGCTGCTGTGAGTCAAAGAACAAAGAAATATTTATGTTCAGTTTGATTTTTCATCCCTTTGCTTCTGGACTATCCTTTTGATTTATGTTTCTTATTTAATCTAGCATGCAATACCAACTTTTCTCTCAAACTTCCTTTTCATTTAGGGATCGATTCAGGACCTCAGTGAACGTGGTGGGTGACTCCTACGGTGCAGGCATCGTGTACCACATGTCCAAGGTGGAGCTGGATGAGCTGGATGCGCACGCGGCCAAATCGGACGACATTGAAATGATGACAAAGACCCAGTCTTATTACGACGACATGAAGAACCACCACGAAAATAATTCCAACCAGTGCGTCTTACCCGATACCGCTACCACAACTGCTACTGCCACTGCTAACAATTCTGTCGTAGTAGATGAATGCAAGGTACAATTAATGCTTACGGACGTAGAGACTTGTATATAACCCTCTCTGTTGTTGCATGCTCACTCTGTACTTTTGCACGATTCTTTTATATTTATTGCTTGTTTTGCACATGACCATGTAAATACACCCACAGTTATTTTATTACAGAAGTGAAACAGGAGAAGAACAGATGCATGAGCACGTATGTATTTTTATTTTCCAGAAATAGCAGCTTTTGTGATGAATACACACCCAAAAAAAAATAGTCACCCTTGCCAGGAAGATTTGGAAAACAAACAATTCATTATTTGTTTATTTAGTTAGTTAGTTTAATTTTGAGTGTTGTGCATCCGCTCTCAGCTTTTTTAGGATAAACGGATATCTGTAACCTGTTGGGAATTGGGGCTCACTTGAAAGGCAGTGCCAGATAATCCTCATGGCCCTGAGGAATTATTTAGCAGTCTTTCCATCTACCTCTCTCCAAAATGAGAAAAAGATCAACAAAGCTCCCTCTGGAATATTGTTTTTCTTGATCTACAAACACGTTAAATGCTTTGCAGGTCTATTTCCTAATGCCAGCCTTTCCTAATGGGTTTAAAATTCATGTTAGGGAAAAGCATTCCAGCTAATTAACATTTCCCATAAGCCCTACTACAGGCATACAGTACATCTACCAAGCAGCCCGTGCGTCATTCACAGCCTTTTTTCTACAGTTTAACACCAGATATTTCTGCCAGCTAGGAGAACTGTTCTGTGAAATTCAAAGCTGTGAAGTATAGCTCCCATAATGTAAAACATAATGCCCTTTGAATCCCATCTTTGAATGCAGTCAAGCCTTGTAGAATAAAGTATGGAAGTTCGTACACACACACACACACACACACACACACACAAACACATCCACACACACACACACACACACACACACTGAGACAGAAAAGGTCTGCTGATGAGCCTATTCATTTATTAAAGAATGAAGGTGTTGCTTAGCAACGCTGGCAGCCTGTCACACATGTTATCAGTCCATAGTGAAAAGTTGTATTGTCCCCCCTTCATCTATGTTTGTCATCAGACTTAAAAATGACACAAAAGCTGCTATTTCCATCCTGACTAATTCATTTTTGTTCATTTTTTCTTGTCAGTAGACTAACATCTTTAACCCTGTTGTAAATATTAAACCACTGTAGAGCTTGCAAGCTAGTTATAACTAACAATGCATTCATTCATTAGTCTTTGTACCTTGTTTTTATGCATTCTTTCTGTTTTCCCATAAGTTATTCATTTTTATTATTCTTATTCTTTATAAGACATGTTGAGTTTTTGTCAATCTTAAACTTGTGGTCTGTTTCAGGTCAGTATAAAGGGACTCAGCTATTAAGACTACTAAAAGCATGATCATCTGTGGTTGTACTGGATTGACAGTATTCTGTCGATATATATATATATATTTTTTTTTTTTTTCAGTTTTTTTTCTTTTGCATGTTGCAAAATAGCTATAACACTTAAATGGCTGTATTTTAATTGCCAAAGTTACCATTGCTGCAGAATCCAAAAAAGTTCTTAATAGTATTCTGGTTTTAAGGCTTTGAGGTTCAAAATGTTTACAGATGCATGTGTTAAAGGTTCAGAACTGTGCATAGCTGTATTTATTGGTAGCGACGCTTTTTTTAAAGCATAGCAAGTACTTAGTAAGCCAGTATTGTTATAAAAATGTGTATTTGAAAATGATGGTTGTCTGTGCCTTGGATCAGCTGTTTAGTTCTCCATGCTAACGTCTTGCAGGTAACCTCAGCCACAAATGGCTCTGCTGCGGAGTGCACGCTTGTTGAGGAGGAACCATGGAAACATGAATAATGGCAGCACAGAGATCCCCTGCTCCTGGGCTCCACAAGCTTTCCTACCTGGTGATAAAAAAACAAGTGAATGAAAAAAAAAAGTCACATGAACAGAACTACTAATTGTTTTGGTTTTTTTTCTTTTTCATGTAGTTTAGTTTTTTTTTTTTTTTAAATTAGTCCCTTTAAAACTTTTGTAACTGTCTATCTGACTGATATGTAGTACTAATTCACTTAACCGTGAAGTGATAACAGAGGTTTACTTTACCTGTTAGAGCACAATTATGTCCTCTACTATCATAGCAGATACTTGCACAACATACTTCAAGGCTTGGGGAGGGAAGGAAGAGAAAAACACTTTGTATAAGCTGTTTCATGCAATACAAGATGAGAGAAGAAGTGGCTTGAAAACATGGGATGCACTGAGATCATTTTCCAATTTTCATGAAGGTGATTCATTTTGCTAATGCCAGAAGAAGAGTGGGAGTTAGAATATTGAACACGTCAGTCAACAAACTGTACCTCCTGCTTTACATCCCTGTAAGTAACACCATGTGTCAAAAAAGCCACTTTTTTTCCTTCTCAGTTTGGTCTCTCATCTAATTACATCCCTTTTAATTCGTCAAGCCTCTTTCTATCTGGCTGTATATGCCCACTGTTACCCACTTCCCTAAGGTTAAAAAAAACAAAACGCTAAAAGCACAAATCAAATCACGGAGCCCTTTCTTTTAAAAGAAAAAAAAACCCTTTATGTTTTTTTCCTTTTATATCAACTTTAAAGAAAAGGGACTTTTTTCTTTGTGTCACTTGTGATGATGATGATATGATTACTGTTTGTGTGTGTGCTTGTGTGTGTGTAAGAGAGAGAGAGTGTGTGAGAGCTGGGGTTAAGAACATGACCAAGTCAATGATAGGGACCAAACAGGCAGATAATCAATCATTTGAACTGCCTCTGAGATATTAGCAGCACAGCACATTTCTCAGATTTGCCACATAGAATTCTATTTGTACCTGAAAAGCACCGCCGTTCATACAAACCATTTTTCTAACAAAGCCTCAAAACTTGAAGCAAAGAAAGTCACTGCCCCAAATATAAACTTTTTACAGTTCTCTTCCCTCAAGCTCCAAAAGAAATCAAGTTACTGATGCCAATAAAATTAGAGTAAAGCACAAAAAAGAGCCTGTATGGAGCACAAACAATAGAGCACAAGTAAAGCCAATGTGGGTAATTTCAGTCGATGGCAAAGTCAAAATTTTGGGTTATGGCTCATACTGGCACAAATGATACTCTAGCTTGTATGTTTACTATTTACAGGGACGTGAAAGTGTCATCATGACATGTTTACTTTTTCACTCTGAGAAAAATGGCCTAAAACAGCACAACCTCAACAGCTTTTGACTTTGATGATTGACTGCAAAAGTCAAGAGATTCCACAATGTGACGTTACGCCAGCAAGGTTTTGTAGCACATATGTAAAGCACACACACGTACACACACACATATTTAGAAGAACATTCCAGTGCTCATGCACCACTACCTAAAAGCACATTGCTGATGAGAGCACATAAGGTGTACCACATGAGAAATAAAGAGAAAAGAAGCAGTCCAGCTCTCAGCTGCTGGATGGATTCTTGGCTTGCATAAACAAAGGCAGATCATTGATAGAGGACACTGCAGGGAGGCCCGCCAGCTTCTTGTTTAGCCAGACCTTCAAAAAAGTAAACAACAATATACTTCAGACACCAGAGCTCAAGACTGTTTCTACAAACCCTACATGCTGCAGCAGTGTGTCCGTATTGCAGTAGAACGAACAATGGACACTTCACATGCCAGAATGTTGCCAACTATCAGGTAAAAACATCAACAGTATTTTCCTCTCATAGGACCAAATGGCTTGAAAAGATCTGCAGACACACAAACGAAAGCCAGACTGTTGGCTGTTAATCTTTTTAGCCTGTGTGAGTGAATGTGACGTGGGTGCTGATTTGATTTATCAGTATTGTGACCTTCTCTTCTGTCTCGTCTCTTCATTTGTGCTATACTTTATGCTCAACCTTGCCTTGGAGATGTTCGCTGAAAACAAATGCCAATTAAAGTAACACTAGGAAACTAAACTAAACACGTAGTGCGCCACTCTGTCCTAGTTCCTGAAACACACGCTCAGAAGATGTCTTTCACTGTTTTGATTCCAGCAGAGAGTATGATCCAACATCATGCACGCTCTGCTGCACACGCTGCGCAGACTTACACACACAAGAATAAGCATGCACACACACACTCACCCACCCACTGCACGGTTACAAAAACACACATGCAAACACTCCTAAACCTCGAAGGTCGCTATATTTCTGAAGGCTGCAGAGCCCAGCAGTGACACCCCTAACAGGCCCCTCGAGTCTGACCATGTGATCTTCAGGAAAATAAAAAAGAAAGGCAGACCATACAGTGTCATCTAGGGGATTGAGTGTTGGACCAATATCGTGTTCAAACTCACACTTTTAGAAGCATGAATAAAAATAAAAGTATAATTATTTTTTTTTTGCACCACTATCTTAAAAGCATGATATTTTGAAGTGCCTCCTTGCACTTTGTGTATATATTGTAGGTAACAGATGTTTTTTTGTTTGTTTTTTGTTCCTTTTTTTTCTTTGGGGAGGGGGGCTGCTGGAATGGTATGTAGGATTATAGGTTCATTGCTGTGACATTTTTAATGTAATCCTCTAGAAGAAAAAACATCATCTATGTCCTGAATAAAGTTAGATTAGATGAAAATGTATAGAGAGGGAATCGTGTAATAAATTGCTTGTTTTTTTATTCTTTACTAGCTGTTAACTAGTTGTTTTACTTACCTGTCACACACCAATATATAAATATCTTTTTTTTTTTTTAATCTAATGTAAGCGTTCTGAATGTTTGTTCCATGGAGATATAAGCAGTGTGAATTCATTTTCATTGTACATAAATAAATATATAAATGTTCTGTTCAGTGGCAATGCAGAATTTTCCGGAAATGGCAGTGTTCCTGAAGCAGACACTGTTTGCATGAAGAGGAGAATGACACAGAGCGAGAAAGACAGAAGGAAAGAGAACAAAGGGAAGTTTCTGGTTCGTTAAAAAGGGACAACATGAGTTATTTTGGCAGGAATTACTGTGGTAAGGTTGCTGAAAAGAGAAAGATAAAGGATAAGGTCACATGCCCTGTATGTAGGATAGAGTGAGGAATCAAACGCAGCTTAGAAGACACTCGAGAAGAGAGAGAGATGCATTCAGATGCCTGTGAAAGTAGGGAAACATTCCTCAGGTGACTCATCCGAACCATTTTGTCTTTTCAAAGGAGAAAACTGGCTTTAGTCTCAGGCATCACTCTTCACCTGGTGCATGCCATTTAAAGCTGCAGCACATGAATATCTACATCTTTATAGATTTCATGCCACGTCTTGACCTATGACCTGCCATCTGCATTATGGAGGTTTTTCGTCATTCCACTTGGTAAACTGCCTTCACTTGACTGCCTTTTCTTTGCTTGTACACAAACAAACTTAATGCACAAACAGCCAGAACTAGTGGAGTAAAATGGTTCTGATTAAAAGGAAACTGACTGACACCGTATTACAACAAAAAGCCAGTGTATCTTTGAGCGTATCCTTTTCTACTGAAATGTGTCTTTCTGAAGAAACTTCCCAGACAGAGCTGATAACCTGCCTCACTCCTGCCTACAACGTGCTTTCCTGACCTTACTTTTCTAGGCCTTCCCTCTTTGTAAAACTGTTGTAATTTTGATGTAAAGGCAGAGCGTATGTGTGCAGGAGATACACCATTGAGAAAAAAAAAGACAAAAAAATACAAGAATTCTTTCCTCGGTCTATGGTATACATAAAGATAAATCTGTTTCTACATATCAATAAGTGTTGTACCTTTGGTGTACATATACAAATATAACTAATAAATGTTGATTCATAACTAAACATGGCTGCTCTCTGTGACTGTGTGAATCTGTATATCACATTTATACAATGCCTGTTTCTGATGTTAAGTTAATGTAATTATGACCCAGAGCCAGTTCAGATCAACAACCTCTATTAATTGATGCTAAAATATACTAAGCTCAAAGCATTCAAAAATCTGTACTCGATTACTAATTAAAACTTCAGAAAAATATCAGTATTATCACAGCGCCCCCTGTGGCAAAGATAGGGTTTTTTTTTGCTGAATTTGTACATTTGTAAAGGTAGAGCTTTTAAATAGAAGGTCATGTCTGTTTATCCCTTCAACATCTTGATTATTAAAAATGTCAGGAAAATTAATACTGTAGCAGGATGCTGCTCTCAATTTGTCTAACATCAGCAGCAGAGGTTTCAGACACTGAAGATAACACTGAAAAATGAAGATACATTGTCTTTGAAGACCCACTCCGATGTAAAGCATGTTTTTCTTGTCGTCAACATGTTCATATAGCATTTTTCTGATGCTACAGGAGATTTGAGGAAAAAAAAGTGCGAAACTGCATTTCTGAGTATTTCCACATTCAAATCGCTGTGAATCTCTAGCAGACCCAAACAGCAGGTTCAGACACAGTGAGATTTCATACGTAGCAAATCCAAGCTCCGTCCCCTGAGCTAATGCAGGACAGACTTGGAGAAATAGAGGACAATTGCGGAATAAACGTGTGCGTTAGCGGATTGCAATGCTTTTAGGAAAGCTAGTTATGATACTAACTTTCATCATGCCCCCTAAAGACATTAGTATCCGAGAGCTGAATAGCTCCAATGTTACCTGTTACTTCTACTACAGCGGCAATGTTAGGCTACAAGCTAGCGTAAAGAGGAGCGTGAAGAGGAGCGTGAAGAGGAGCATGCAGAGCAGCGCTGTCTCCGCTGATGACTCAGAGGTGAATTACTGATGAGCTACTGGAGCTCTGCAGAAGAAAAGTCCTTGAAAATGACACAGGTAACGTGATTTTGGCTAAAAACTTCATAATCCCAATTTAAAGACCACTGAGAACACTCATAAGCCAAGCAACGCTATATTTAGCTAAATGAGGCTAATTTAAAAAATGAATAAGTCTTGGTGGACTGAGCCAAATGATCTGGCTAACTAAAAAGAGCCGTAACTCCCATCACTAGCCCAGGTGCTTATGATCTTATGTATAAATACCATACCATATCTTGAATTAAAAACTTTTAACTGGATAATCAATAGTATGGTTATACCAATATGTGCGGCAACAAAATGTAAAAAAAAAAAAAAAAAAAAAAAAAAACAGTTTTAAGTGAACCGTTGGACTTGTCAACATCAACATGTTCTTTTCATATTAACATATTTTTTCGTTTTTTTGCATACAATTAAATCATAATAAAAGTCAAATAATTTTCCAATAAAAACAAAGAAATGTCAGAGTAACTTGTAAGATATCATTAAGGTGCAATAGCAGCATTAAGCAGTTTAGGAGCAGAATTTATTGGCTGTGTGTGTTGCATACTTAAATGATAATAAATAATCAGTACTCCTGTATTCAGTGTTTGTCACTGAAGACAGTTTGATGACTCCAGCAGACAAGCGCTTGATGGTAAAATGCCATCACTGTCTTTCAAAATGGCCGTCATTATCTTAGTCTTCATTTCCTGCACTGACATATCTCAGCATAACAACCCTGCTGCTATGGAAACATTTCTTTCTGCCATGTGAGGGGTAATGTAACCACTGTCACACGCTCACGTTTCTTCACACACTCACACAGTGAAATTGAAATCACACCACATTCCTGCACATGTCCTTCTATACACGTTTATTTTTCATAACTTTACAAACCCAATCAGCAACATCTCTTGTTAATTTGTCATAAAAACATGTCTACACTAGTACGTCTGCTACATGTCTTAACCAATCATTTCAGAGCGAAACAGGGAGAAAATGGAAAGTCAGAAACAAAACTGTTGGAAATGGTTGAATAATAACGTCCAGCCTTACACTGAAAACCAGCAAATTTAGCAGTTACAGATTGAATAATATTCATAGGACACTTGACATGATATATTTCGCCAATGTGGAGGTCAGTAGAAAGAAAAAACACAGCATTGTGATTCCATGTGTGAACATACAGAGTGACTGGCACTTTGAGGCCTTGGCAAGCACACAGGATTCATTCATAGAAACCCCTCCCCCACAGTGTCACAGCCTCTTTCATCCAGAGGAACCTTTACACTGGTATGTATTTACAGCACATGGGCCCCACATTACCATGCAGCTTATTATCCAAAGCCGTCACTTCTTTGCCTCAGTGGAGTTTAGATTTAGCATAAAATAATAGTTAATCTGATGTTTCTAATCCTTTATTGTGCTGTTTTTCACCATTGCAATTATTGTAACTCCTGTGTACAGCCTCTCTCCTCAGAATAACATCAGACCCTTCATATTATCATAACCCTGGTTTAATACAAATCTTTATGAACTGACTTCAACTGCGCAACAGTTTCACAGTTTTGGATACGATAAATAAACTTAATTCATCGAGTATCAACCCCTCTTTCAGTACCCCAGAGGTACTTTTTCTACTTAAATATCTTTCAAAGAAATGACACATTCCTTTATCTAAAAAAAAAAAAAGAAGGATACAAAGCCCCTTTTTCTACCAAACAACAAAAAGCACTGCCAGCTACTGCTAAGGCATGTCCATAAACAGAAACTTTATATACAAAGACCAAGAAAAAGGGAATCAAAGCTGCATAAATTAAAGCAGTGACATCCCCAGATTTCTTGAAAATGGAACAAACCACACTCCAGTCCACAGGCAATGTCTGAAAATATACACAAGGGTTACACAAGAAGAAGCAAACATATGAATGGAACGTACAGGGTATGTAAAAGGTTGCTTTGCTCAGTTTTTGTCAATATCTGAAACCAGATGATCCCATTTTATTTCATTTTTAAAGGATGAAATTGGTTCAAATTAAGTTCAACAGTTTTGTTAAGAAAGACAATCTCTCATTGGACAGTTTGCAACCCCTTCTTTAAAAACCCCTGACCATCTAGGCCTGTCATCGAAAATTGTACAGCTCGAACACACACACACACACACACACACACACACACGGACATGAATCACACCCACACTCCTTGCATGATGCCGCCACTATGCATGACCCTCTGACCGCCCTCCTGACTCGACCAACCCAGTCTAACACACAAAAAATGCTGCACGTGTTGTTCGACAGACATGATCCCAACAGATTCAGACCCAGTACAACACTTTGTACCTCAGTTAGATAATGACACACATGTACATCTTTACTCAGTGTAAGCAGTATTTACCCCCAGTGCTTGGACCCCCATCCCCCACCTTATCGATCTCCCAAACATCTCCTCATTCTATCCCTCCTTTCCCTCTTTTCGTTCACCACGCTCCCTTCTCATGCCAGCTGCTCCTTGTCCGGCGACTCCTCTAGCGTGATGACCGTGAACTCCTCCGTGTTGCCGTTCTCCTGGATCTTCTCCTTGTTCATGAGGGTCACCATTTCCTGGTCTCTCTCATGGGCGTGGGAGCTGGATGCAGATGCAGCTGCCCCATTCCCCTCGCCGCCATCTTTGGGCGTTATGATCAGGGTTTGTTGTTTGCCACACAAACTGGAAGAAGCATATTAAGGCACATTTATTTGGTATTGATTGTTTTGCCTGCTCTGAGTCCGCAGCAACGTATGTGGAAATTGGAACGGCGTCTATTGACTACATGTCAGAAAGACAGGGGGAAATACATGACAGCTGTTTAGAAATGTTTAAAAGGATGATACAAGCCTTACGTTTTTCTCTTGGCAACAGCTGCACACACAAGAAGAATGGCAGCGACTGCAACAATCACGCAAATGATAACCAGCCAGTCTGGAGGGAGAAACAACGTAAGACATGAAACTCATAATACAAGAAGTACTATCAAGATTGGATCAAAACAGAAGGGAAATTTCCCCAACTTACTTGTTGAATCACTGCCGTCCTTCTGATCACGCCCACCCGCATCAGGACCCAGGACCTTATCTTTGCCTTTAGGTTGTTGTGGTGGAGCTAAATGTCAACAAAACACAAGGCAAACATTTAAATAATCACAGAATAGGATTTGTCTCCTGGAAAACTAAGAATATTATTGACTCCCTGCCTTCCATACGGTGGCCCTGAGGTGTAAAACACAACGACAAATCAGAAAACACAATGGCAAAACAGAAAATACAACACAAAAAGAGAAAACACGATGGTTAATGTCACTGTGTTTCCTGATTTGCCATTGTGTTTTCTCTTTTTTTGCTGTGTTTTCTAATTTGCCGTTGTGTTTTGCGCCTCAGGGCCATCGTACTTCCCTGCCTGTTTATGTTTTAAGTTCAACTGTTAGGAGGTACATCAAAAAAATGCTTACACCTGTGTAATATCACTCTTAGTTGCAACTTTCATCATCTTTAAGTAACTGATTCATGGGGATCAAATTTCTAACTCTCCACATATATGACACTCTGATTGTCATAAAGCACCCCACACTCGCACAAAAAGAAAAAAAAGAAAAGAAAAAAAACTGTCATGAATTATAGTGTCTATAAACACTGAAACGATACGCAAAACTGTGTACAACTAGTACAACTACGTATATGTAACTTTGTGAGCCGTTTGCTTTTCTTCAACAGGAGAGCTGAAGACAGATGGGAAATGTGGGGGAGGGATGCACTGAGGGGTGAAGGCTGGGAGTCAAACCTGCGTGAGAGACCAAAGCCTCTTTATTTGGTGCGCCCGCTCTACCAGCCGAGCTAAACTGGCATCCTAAAACTCGATGCAGTATATTATATTTGTGTCAGCATACACAAAGACATCCTTTTTCATGTGTGTCCTCCAGTCATTAGGTTATACTTCTTCATCACTAAGTGAGGCTGAAGTCTTTGTGGCAGCACATACTGTAAACTACATGATGAAAGTCACTTTTAACTGCACAAGTGAAAACTGTGAAGTTTTTCCAAGCTTTTTAGTCAGGCTCGTTTGATGCATGATCACTCTCTGAAACGTCATTGTCAAGGCCAGCTCTGTCACAAGTTCTCTTCACTTCCAAACCCAACACAAGAGGGCGTCATGTGTTCTTCAAGTTTGTTCAGTCCTCCCACTACCTGTTGCACCAATGTCAGAATAAGCTGCACTTAGAGAGCATTTCCAATTGAAGAGGAATTATTATTATTATTTTTTTTAAATGTCTTATTATATTTGTTCATTTTGGGTTAGGTTACCAGAGTGGAGCAGATAATGGGGAATGTGTATTATACTTCAGTTCAAACTATAAACACTCCTATCTCTTTAAAACAACCCTTGCATTACTGTTACTGTTCAAGCATCACTGAGCTGCTGTTTCTTAAATTGAAGCACTATCCATCACACTGTCTGGTGTAGCTTTTCAATGAAAAATGTGTCCACCAGTGTTTGCTAGGCTACAATTTGTGTGATTGTGGTTTGTTGTGATTTGTGGTTTCCTTACTGTCTGTTCCAGCACCTTTCTGTCCATTCTCAGTGTAAGCTTGTGTTTCCGCTGACTCTCCAACAGGGGCCGTAGGAGAGACTCCCTCCGGCTGCATCCCAGACCCAATGGGTTGGTCGAACTCTCCAGCAGTGAAAGTGGTCCTCCCCTCGGCATCCCCCTCAGCCGCAGGGTCCCCTGTAGAGGCCCCCGACTCTCCTGGACTTAGTTCTGTGGGAATAGTAGTGACTGATGTGGTGCTCTCTATAACACCTCCTGAAGCATCTTCCCCTGGTGTTACCGCACCCTCAGATGCATCCTCAGGTTGGTCTGCTGTTGTCGTCTCTGGGGAGGAGTCAGCAGATTGACAAACACAACTTTAAATATGTTTTTACTTTTAACAAAAGAGGGATTTTTTTTTTCTTTTTCAGTCAGTTGTTGTTAAAATACTTTACATTTTCAGACCTTAAGAATGCCGTGTTAGTATGCATGTTATTTAAACACTTTGGGTTGTTCTGTTGATATTTTTATGGGCTGTCAGTTTGAATATAAAGCAAGACTTGGAGCCTTCGGACTGGAAGTGCCATTCACACTGTTTGACAGTTTCTTTCTCAGCCCGTTCTGTTGCTGTGACTGCTCCAGAACATTATACCTGATACATCAGAGATGTATTTATCAGGGGTTCAGGAAGAAGAAGAGCAAATAGAGAGTGAAAGTAGCTCCAACTCCATGAAAATCTGCAGTGGGGTCATGTATAGAGTGACCACTGCTAAAATCTTGTCCTGACTGCGCAGTGTGGAAGAAGTACATTCATCGAGCTTTCAGTTTGTTTAGCCAGGAACACTCAAGGTAAACTTTCCCTGTTCATCAAAGCAATCTTTTACTGATTGTTCTTTGCATGCTTAAGTAGTACATATGGACAAAAATCTTGTCCTGCCTCCTCATTTCAGTCAAGTATATCAACTATTGGGGACATTGACACTTGATGTGGAAATTGTACAGTGGCCCTGAGGTGCAAAACAAAATGGCAAATAAGAAAACACAACAGCAAATAAGAAAACACAACAAAAAAAGAGAAAACACAATGGCAAATAAGAAAACACAACAGCAAATAAGAAAACACAACAAAAAAAGAGAAAACACAACGGCAAATAAGAAAACACGATTTAAAAATGGAGAAAACATTAAAAGAGAAATCACAAAAAGGGAAAACAAAAAGAGAAAACATAACGCAAAAAAGGGAAAACACAACGAAAAAAAGGAAAACACAATGGCAAATCAGAAAACACAACACAACAAGAGAAAACACAAAAAGAGAAAAAAAAATCAACGGCAAATCAGAAAACACAAAAACAAAACAGTAAACACAACGGCAAAAGAGAAAACACAACACAAAAAGACAAAATACGATGGTTAATGTTGTTGTGTTTCCTGATTTGTCGTTGTGTTTTGCACCTCAGGGCCACCGTAAAATTGTGATACTGGGCTGCTTCTTCAGCTGCTTAGCTGACACTTACCCCCTTGCAACACTTTTAGGCATAAAATAACAACAAACAAACTTTCAATCTTATCCCTGATGGTCTTGTTTGCTTTTCAATATCATGAAATTGCATCAAGATGAATTTTAGTTTATTTTATTCAATCGTGTAACAAAAAAAAAAAAAAAAAAACCCTCATAGGAGCTTTAATTGATGTACCTGTGTACAGGTGTGGTTCCAGTTGACTGTATTCAATTGATTAATTCCTGAGCACACAACTGGTTGCTTTTTTTATTATACATGAAAACGTTTTTTTTTAAAAAGCATCTTGGACTAACCTGGTTCATCTGAGGATGAGTGCCCACCTGATGGAAACTTCTTGCTACAGTTCTTTCCCGGCTCAGCTGAAACATGGAGGAAAAGGAAGAGGAAGTCATCAAAATAAAAAACACAACATTTGTCTATGTGATGCAGACAGTACATCCTAATGACAGGAAACGTGTAATTCAGTACTTCGTGTGCGTTGAGTCACCTTGTTCGTCATAGCAGTAGGCATCAAAGAGATCCTGAGCTTTGACATTGTGATTGAGAATGAAACCTGTCTGGTTCTGTGCACATTTTTCATGTTCCCTGTGTCTGAGGATGGCAGTGGAATTATCGCTGGTCCAGCCGTATCTGAAACAACAACAGTATCATGAGTTGGACATTTTTGAACTGAGAATCTTAACATGCCTCATGAAAAAACAACGAGCAGCAGGCACACAAAAAAGAAAAAAGAAGAAGTAGCAGCGCTGCAGTTGAGGACACATGGTGGTTTCTTTCACTGGAAATTCACGTGGGTCTAACCACATGACAGAAGTAGAACATCTATGACAGTGAGAGAAACTCGCCCTCATTTATGGTTTCAAATCCCCCTTTATAGTGGCGTTTCTGACCATGAGTAGATATGGCATCAATTAAACAAACTGCATTTTAAAAATATGAAAGGACCCCGACTCATTAGATAATCTCAGAACGGTGTGGTTGATTTGATTGAATCTTTAGTATTTTACAAGAACTACGGGGATCTAAATGTGCCTAAAACAATGAGTTCAGATTATTCATAAACAAGCTTTACCTGCATGTCTGCATGGACATATTGAAGGCCTCACGGAGTTGTTCTTCACTTGCCAAGGTGCTCTGTAGCTGCTCACACACCTTCACAGCCATGTCAAAGCTCAGGGAGTGACGGCTCCCTCCCTCAACCAGGAACACACCGCTGTAGCTGCAGCTACGGGAACTCACTGTATGTGGAAAAATATGTTCATACATTGTCAGTGTTTCTCAGGATTTATCACCAGCAGATCAATGTCTTCTTTTCTTTCCAAGTAACACATTTAACACTCAGAGATGTTTTCCATAATTTGCCTGAAAGTATACATGAATGCATTCCCAGACGCTCCAACTTATAAGTAAAACTCTGATTGAAACTTGTGCAGTGCGTTTAGTATCAATATTCCAGTTTGAGTCACAAGTTCTATCAGATGACTTCTCTGAGAGAGACATGCCGCCTGTTTATCCTTAGCTTCAGGACCTACAGGCCTCACTATGGAGTCCTTTATGTTGTACATAAAGTGTACAAACAAGTCCATAAACATGCACAAAGTTAAAACTGTGTCTTTTCACTGTACTGCATGCACTGGTAGCCTAAAATCACATATAATTAATTAATAATAAATTAGCTATGATTCAGTCAATTGACAAACTGTAAATGAGAGACTTTTTATGTTGAAATCCCCCAAACCTGCTTGCTGTTGCACAGTGATTTGTTGTGATGCAAAGTCTATTTTGCTTAGGAGAAACCTCACCCCCTTTGAACCCCAGTGTTATGAAAATATACAAACACCTTCCCCAAAAAAGCATTTGAATGTGTATTAGATTACTCCCATAGACTGTATATACTATGGACAACTTGGTTCCGCCTCCCGCCTGTATACGGTTTTGAAGCCAAATAGCTCTCTGTATTTCCAGGATTTTTCTTCATTTCCTGAAACCAGCGCTGCCCAGTAGCGATGCGCGCATTCGGCCGCGCATTCGCAGAGAGTCGCTGTGATGACGCTCGGCTCAAACAGCGTATCCCCTGGGAGAGCTACGCAATCCCTGAACGTCCATAGGCTGTATCAGGTGTCAATCATAGAAAACATGAACCCCCTAATAACTTTTAAAAACGGAGCTTCACAGAAAAAAGAGGACTTGAGAACAAACCCGTCTTACTGTAACTACATGTCAACATCGCAACCAGGGGGAGAAAAATTTATATTCTGTGTAATAAATTTATAAAGTTTGTCCACAGCTCCATAAGCTTTGCTGACGGAGTAGGGATTTATGACCTATACTGCAGCCCGTCAACAGAGGGTGCTGTTCTCAGAGTGGCTTCACCCAGCGAGGAGGCAGATGCTGTCCATTCTATATACAGTCTGTGATATCTCCCAGTTCACATAGGCTTATGCTAGAGGGCTGATTGTTTGAAGTGAGAATGAAAGGCAGAAAAAAAAAAAAAGTGAGTCTGCGAAACACAAAAAAGTTAAAATACACTTGATTCCTGGTTGTCTCTGTCTTACCCTTTTTTTTTTTTTTTTTTTTCTTGAGGATATTTTGCTCAACAGAAAGCCAAAGAAGACGCCTAACCCACAAACACATGCGTCACACGGAAATGTACTGAAACTGTTCAGAGCAGAAGAAAACCTCTACCTGTTTTTGCATGTTTGGGTGTGCTATCATGGTGACAGATTCACAGACTGTGAAAGCTATCACAGGATGAATCACTCAGAAACAACACATATGATCACAAAACACTACACCTAACACATACATCATCTTTGGAATCTGAAATCTAACCTGCAGTGATTCCTCATGCACAGTTTCAGAATAATTACAATAACTCCACTCAGGTCTAGTTTAATAAACAACACCCACTAACCAGAATACCGTGTATTCTGTATACACTGTACAGTGCCCAGCACAAGTCAGTACATGCCCTATTCAAAGTAATGTATTACTCAATATCTAGATTAGCAAAAGTACAATTTCCAAAGTTTTGACAAAGCTGAGTTTAACCTAACATTTTATTTACCATAGGATGAAAATAAGGGTGATATGGTAACTAAAATTTAGCTTTGCTCCCAGAACTTTGATTGGGGTGTACTCATTTTTGCATTCCCATTTTAAATTGAAAAAAATAAATATATATACTTTTTTGTACACAACTTCAAAAATCTTGTTTGCGAGCAGTGGCCTACATTTGGGGAAGTATTTTTTCGTATAGTCTGACATAGAAAATCCTGATTTTGAAAGGAAAGAAGGTTTTCTGACAACTCTGAAGGAGCATGCTCAATTATGCTGAGCACTGTGTTTACAGTTTGCATCAACAGTGCTCAGTAATACTGGTTTTTAAGATGTTTTTATGATGCTGGCCACTATTTAAGGAGCATCTAAACCAAGGTTAGAAGGACAGCATGGTCCAGCATTTGCTTTCTCTTCTTCTTTGTATCAGCCTTGGGACTGTAAAGATCATGAAAACCTCTCATTTAACAATCATACACCCACACACCAACCAGGAACACTGTATGTACAATAGAATGTCATCTTGATCCTGTGACCCACAGTGAGTATACATTTGTAAAGCTCCATTCAGACTGCTTCAGAAAGATATCCACATTACTCTTGATGGGGTCTGTGTTGCTGTTTTGTATCATACAGTACAGTATGTACTCGCACAGCTATCACATGCTCCATAGAGTCGGACATATTGTTGAGCTGGCCTTGGAAAAAAGAGAGACTTTCATTGTCTAACATGTCTATCAGTTTGAATCCTGCATTTAAATGCATGCAATAATGAGACGTGATGAAGAGTACACAGTTTTCTCTCACTAGAATGTCCCCATACAGATATTTTTATCCCTGCTGGAAAAGCTAAATATGACTCCACTTTTAAGAGGAGAGCACACACTGAGAGGGGAATACCAAATTGCTGTTTGTTATTTAGTAGCTCTGTTTATGAAAATGCTGCGGAGGAAGCCGACATCTATAGAAGGGCTTTTTTTTCCACTGCCTGTTATGAGTAAACACAGATCGAGCAGCAGGAGGAAGTTGAGCTCTCTGCCGTTAGTGGCGGTTAGGCAATCAGGGCGGGAGAAAGTGCCAACACCTTTTTTTTTAATATTAGATTCTTTAAAATGTCTCCAGTCTCTCCCTCTCTTGCTCTCTCTCTCTCACAGTCACACACACACCTGAAAGGGGCTCAACACATGCTGCCACATGGCACAGAGTCCTTGCAAGTGAAAGGATGAAAAACAAGACAACAGCCCTGGCCTTGCAAACCTGCCTGTAGAGATCAAAGTGAGCACAGCGAACCATCAGTGAGCTGAAAAGCAAGCTGACATGAATCTGAGGAGCAGGCATTAGTATGCACAGGGACAGTCGTGGGTGTCTTTATACAGTGGAGAAGCTTGCTATGCCAAGGCACTGACTCTCCCAAAGGCTCCATTGTCACCTAATAGAGTTGAAACCAAGGAGACTGCAAAGTCTGGATGTGCAGAACTGGAGAGAAAGGGAGCTTAAACAAAGCCTCTTGCCAAAACCTCCAGCTGCTCTAGAAGTAATAGACAAGCCCAGCTCTCCACTCCCTCTTCACTTACTCTCTCTCTCTCCTTTACTTTTGTTTTATCTCATCACTCTTTGTTTGTCTTTTCCTTGCCAGCAATAAAGAGCAAATTACCCCCTGCATGCAGATGCGCAAACACTCAGATAGATCACGGATACACGTGCACACAAACACTTGATCAGGAGCTGAAAATTGCTGAAGCTCTAATCTTTCAAGGAGCAGGACACAGTGTGAAGGAACATAAGAAAGAGGCTGTTCTAAGTGTTCTGATCTTGAGAAAAGTAAGACACTACCTTATTTCTTTTTCTCAGTGTTTTTTTTTTTGTTTCCACTTGTCTAAGGAAAGAGATGTTACTGAGAACGTTCAACTAAATTTTTCTCATGCATCATGAGTGCAGAAATCTCGTGCTGGAAAAGAGAATCCACTGTAAACTTCTCATCATAACAGTAAAAATCCTTTAAGCCATAGTCATCAGCTGATTTCCAGATTCCTGCATTATCACACTCGAGGGAAGTTGCTCTGTCAGCAGGGATTTCTTTCTCTCTGCTGGTCTCAGGTCCAGCGGGCCAGTGGGACAGGTGAAACATGAGATCCGGTACGAACACCCACCCACACAAACATACACAGACTGAGAACACCACCCGAAGGTCACGTACAGGATTCTCACTATCTGTTTTTCTCTCTACTGTGGCATTTTCATTCACTACACCGAGCCTTTTTACACCTTTAACCTTGACATACACTTCTAAAAGCAAGCCAGTTTTCTTTCCAGCAGAAAGAGCAAGGGCACTTTTTCTACCTTTGCCTTTCATTAAATGTTAGCCTCAAAGCTCTCCTCTAAATTAAAACCCAGGTTTTAGAGGATCCAATAGATAATCTAAGATAAGAAACCTGACCTTCAGTGTTCTATACAGGCATTCAGATCTGAGGATGAAGGACACATCGGGGGAAATTACACATTTTATAACAAAAATCTCACTAAAGAAGTCTAGTTTACTTTTGTTAACACTTTCATCTGGCCATTTACTACATGCTTTTCAAGTTAAATGTAGTTTTCTATGGTACTTTCTATATATTTACATAAAAGATCTGGTTTTTAGCTTAGCTGCTAGGGTGACCATATTCTGAATCCCCAAAAAGAGGACATGACCATGCGGGGGCGGAGTCACAGAGTCACATGTAGTTGATTTTGAGAGTTTTTCAGGTCGAATTGAGTGTCTTTTATGCGCTTCTAACCCAGTAAGTCTACGTGACACAAACTCGAAACTTTCATACAAAACCCCGAACTTTAAACCCCGGATTTTATAAACTTCCCCATACAAAGCCGGTCAAGGCCGGACAGCCCTCCAAAAACACATGGTCACCCTAGCTTTGCATTTAGGCAAGTAGTACATGGGTAGGATACAGACAAAGCATGTACTTTTTCCACAACTGAAACCAAGAATTGAGTCTTATTTTGTCATATTTTCATTAAGACAACTTGAAAACACATTATCAAATTTACTGCTGACACTATGCTACTACTCAGCGAACAAAACATGAGTCAAAACATGGTAAGTCACATATGATGATGATAATTCTCTCATCAAGTTCTCTAAAACGATGGTTTTCATGACCATAATCTGCTGTTTTGCCTTGTATTGCAGCCAGTTAAGAAGTCTCATTCAGAGATATGTGTTATTTACAGAAATCTGACTGAGGAAATATCCCAAGGACATAAAGACTCGGTTGTATGAGAGGGCACACAGCATGTAGTTTTGGTAAGGGGGTATGAAACTCACAAAAAGGTTTCAAAAAGTATGAGGAAAGTTTTACTGAACACTAAGAAACAAAGTAGACCTGATCTACAAGAATCTCAAATCATTTATAAGCAGTTCAGCCATGTTTAACGGTTATAAGCAAAGATGACAGTATTCACAAGACTAACTTAAGGCCCTTTAGCTTCAGGGTGGTTGAATTCTAGAGGAGGGTACACTGGCGGAGAAGGCAAACACGTGTCCAGGAGTCTCAGGTGGCATTAGATGGTACTCAGAGCAGGTACAAGCACAAGCCCTCTTTGTCAGCGCCCAGTACCCCTGACCACCCCTCACCTTGAAACATGATACAGCTGCATGCAGGAGGGGGTTGTTACGCCAAGGAAGCAAATATGGCAACATTTGCAGGAAGTCTAGAGGTCATGTTGGACTGAGTGTATGCATCAGAGTTTGTGTTGGCGAGTGAAGGCGAGACTGGAAGAGAGAGTAAGACTAATCCCCTATATGGAAGGAGCAGGACTCAGTATCATGGCCACCACTTTTTCTAATGATCCCACAGAGCTGTCATATCTAGGCAGTCTGTATACCTTTAATAGCAGTATAAGAAATCCATCCAGTTTATCTAAATGAAGCAAGAGAGTGGAAGTAGTCAAAGGAAAGAAAATTGTGTGATATTATTTAGTAAAAAAAAGTCTTGCTGTAACATTATTATCAATGATTCTATGGCTGTAAGATGTAATGTTGAAATAGTATTAAAAATGTCAATTAAATGTATTAATGTATTAAAACTGCTGTATATAACGACAAATGATATTATTTTATGCACTGCAATGCTTTGTGTTGTGATTTACCATTATATAATGTGATCATATTATATGATACAATACAGTTTAACATGTTATGACTTTATGTGATGTGATGCAACATGAGATGATACGATAGTATGAAACAGGACACGATAGGATACGACATAATTCAACACAATACCATACCATACCATATAACCCAATATACTTTACTAATTTACCACTTGTTATGATACAGTAAAATGTAGAATGGCAGGGTACTGTATGATACAGTAGGGCTGGTAACTTGAAAGGGCAAGACATGATAGAACAGGAAGGAATACAGTATAAAATGGTAAGATATGAAACAGTATGAAAGGGTGTGAAAAAAGTATGAACATATATTTTAATATATAATTTGGTCCTATTGGATATTAGGATGGGGTTGGATAGGATACAACAAGACAGGCTAGGAATGAATATAATATGATACAAAGCAGTGTACATGATGATACATGATGAAATGAGTAGACATAATACAATAGGATTGGATGGGGTATGCTTTGATATGATAGGATACATTACAATACTAGAAAGGCACTCAGAGAGCGCAGACCTCCGCCAAGCAGCTCATGTCCCCCCTTAAACAAGAAATGCACTGACTGGGATTTGAACCCAGGACCTTCTTGCTGTGAGGTGACAGTGCTAACCACTACACCACTGTGCCGCCTATCTACACCACTGTGCTGCCCATTGGTTATCTTTCAGCATTGAAAATTCCAACAACACCCTTATTTTTGTGTGTTCTGGATCACAGTATCCAGAATTTTCACCACCAAAATTTAATGGGATCCTCCTGGGGCTGAGACGCACCTCTGGTGAGAATTTCAGGTCAATCTGTCTGTTACCTTCTCCGTAAAGTTGCTAACAGACAAACAAACAAACCAACGCTACTGAAAACAAAACCTCCTTGGCGGAGGTAATGAGACGATGCAAGGGGACACAAAACAATGGATCATATTCATGATATTTTTTCCTTGGTTGAGGAATTAGAGTCAGACTTGACTGCTGCACACATATGTAGTTGTCTTTGAAGTAGTGCTGATAAATGAATAAAGGAACCAACATTTAGCACAAGATACTAACTCAATGTAGGGCTTAAAGGCTCTTGGCTGGTGGGCCTAACCACAAGTTCATGAGACCTGCTCTTATGATGTGCTTCAGGAGAAACACAGCCTCAGTTTGAAAGTTGAGATACAACTTACACAGCAAATAAACCTCTTACCAGACACTCAAATAACCCTTAAAACTCCTGTGCCAAAATACACTTTCAAACACACACACAAAGGTTCCCTACTCCCTGGCACATAGGGAACACATAGTTTAAGACTGGTTCCTCATCCTACATACAGTGCACATACAAGCAGTCTGGGGAGCCACTTATTTGCCTTTAAACACTGGTCAAATTTATAGCTTGATTGTTTGTTGGCGCTGTACCACAGGCAGCCTTTGTGAACAACCCCACTACCACCTCCTCAGGGAACAGAGCCAGACGAACCCAGACCTGTTTGATTCAGTACCAACTACACCTCCAGAGATATATCGCTCCGAGCTACAAATCCAATCTAAAGCTTACACAGAAAGCACATGTGAGAAAGAGACAAAGAGAAAAGAGCGAGACACTGAGGGGGGGGCAGAGCCATTGCTAAACATCCTTTGTGTCAGAGAATAAAGCATTAAGCGTGGCAGCACAGACCCCGGCTGTAGCACTAAACTGTAAAAAGAAATATAATCTGCTTCTACCTGAAAACAGGAAAGCTACACGGATCATCTAAAACTACTGTTAAAAAAAAAGCTCACTTTTCTTGGGTGCGAATGTGTGTCAGACAGAGAGGGAGCAAGAATCTCCTTTGTGTCTATCAGGAGTCTCAGACTGCCAGACGTAAGCCTGTCTGCGCTGGTGTAGCACACTCTCTCTTTTGCCGGCATCCACTCATCCGTTTCACAAGCAGCAGCAGCAACAGAGCACAGCCTCTTTCTTTCTTTCACTGTCTTTTCTTCTCATGAATTCCTATTCAAACTGTCAAATCGACTCAAACAGGGAAAAATTACAAAGCAATCTGGTCCTGAAATCTGGAAGCAAGAGCATACTGTCAGCAATATGGGCACAATTAGGTGGGGGGAAAAATCCCAAAGAAGAGAGCAAGCCACAGCTTTAAGTCAGTACTGCTCACCTTGAAGTTGATCTGACCTGGAGGAGGCCAGTAATCCAAATGTGACCCCCAAGAGAAGCGTCCACATCCTTGGCAAAACGTCTGGCGACAGCTGGGTGAGTAAAGGTGTATAACAGTTCTCCAGTGGTCCTGTCTTCCCTCTGCCAGGAGAGCCTGAGGTTTGTGTGTAAGTGTATGTGTGTGTGTGTGTATGTGTGTGTGTGAGTATGAGAGAGAGTTTGAAAGAGAGGGAGTGAATGAGTGAGTGAGAGAGAGCTGTACAAAAAAAGAGAAAGAGTAAAAACCTGTCACTGGGGAGGGAGCTGCTGTGAGTGTCTGGTAGCTGCTGGAGCTGACTCAGACTTTGCTCCAACTTTTCAATTCTCTGCCTGAAAGACACAGAAGCCAGTGGCACACACATACATACACACAAGCTGAAGGGGAAGAGTGGTTCATGTGAGCACACACCCTTCTGCCTCTCCCACACTCGCCCCACCTCCTCTCGCCTCTCGACCCACCTCACACAGCCTCTCTTTGGCTCTTTCTCTCGCCTCTTCCTGCCTCTACAGTTTGTACTGGATAACAAGAAGGTGATCTCTGCTTCTGTCTGGCTGCTGATCCTTCCCTCCCTCCCTCCCTTTTCCTCTTTTCTATTCCTCTTTTCTGTCTGTCTGAGAGCCCATCTGGTCTTTTGTTAAGTTCTCACTTCATTTTTAATTCATCTGGATTCATCAGAAGGATTTTCTCTTTCTCTTTTGCTGTACATCTTAAGCGTCGCCATTCTAAGGAAGTCTCTTGAATTTCGCAAATAAAAAAAAGTTTTCCAGTTTTTACATCTGAAACATCAACAAAAGTAGAACAAAGCTCAATGATATTTTGCTCTTAAATTGACTTGTACTTTTAAAAATCTCTCTACCTCATGAGAAACTTGGCTCCATTCTTACCTTGGTTCAACATATCATGTTTCAAGCGGACAGATGGAGTCATCTCAGGTTTCTAGAATTTCCCTGGCAACAGTATCTCTTGTGTTTGCATGCGATTGTGCAATATTTCAAATAAACTAGTGTGATAAGAATGTGTGACGACAGTCTAATTCTGTGACTTTACTAATGTACCGTTAAGAATGTCCAATGGTTCAGCAAGGCCAGTTCCTCTGCAGTCACAGGGACAGCTCTTAACTTGTCCTTCACTTGGACCAATATTTCTCTTAATAGCTTGTGGCACTTAGCAGCATTTCCAATTCATTTTTGGTGCTTTCACAACTGTAGCTCATATGCGTTGTTCTGGTTTAGATCATATTATGATACACTATTGCATTTTCCCTCAAGGACTTTTTGTGTTCACACACTGGAAAGCTGTCACCTTAACCACAGGGGCTGACACCTTCAGGCCACAGACATCTTTAGCCACTGTGTAGGTAAACCGACACCATAGGTGCTGGTTGGTTTTACATAGTGGTACCTACTAAAACGAGCAGTGGGTTGACGCGGGGCAGCGAGGAGGTCCGATGCCTCATCCCGCCTGCCAACTAACCATATGATTTCATAACACATCACGCTGAGTGTTGAGTAGTGCCCAGCTAGGTAAAATACACAAAACCCGTACTGGTCCCACATTGTGCTCAAAGTTCCAACCCGTGCCCAATAGATGTATACAAAATTCTTCTTGAGCCAATGTAGACAACCCATATAGGCCCCCTACATGGGGCCTATGTTACAAAACCCATTTAGGTCCCTCATCGTGTTACCAGTTCTAATTCATGCCCATTCAACCCACATCTAGCTCTTCTGGGACCCATACACATAGTCCACCTCAAGCCCAGGCCCATTTGACATCCATCTAGTCCATAATCAATCCATAAGCAGCCCACATGTACATGCTGGCTGGCAAGACTTTGACCCAGAAGTTGAACAACATAAATGCATTATTCAAAAGTGTGGTGGTAAACAAAACCTTCACACAGGAAGGAACATGAAAAGGACAAAGCTCTGAGTTCAGCAGCTGTTGGTCCAGGTTGCTGGGTTGATTTCGTTTTCACTGATGACAAACTGGGTTTGTTTGGCGTAAAGCTAAGACCACCTCTAAAATGACCATGCCTCACTTGCTTTGTTCTGCATTAGAGTGAGATTGCAGTGTTCACATACATGGATACAACCCAGTCCAAGGTGAGAAACGCACATTTGTTTTGAACAGCCTTATCACCCTCTCAGTTTATCAGTACAAACACTTTTGGTAAAGTTAACAACATATCAGATTCACCTCTAGAGTTAAAATGACCAACTGACCAACCAAAAAGAGGCTGCTATTCTCATCCTTGTTGCTAACACGGCTAAAAATGCTAACATGCACCTGAATAGACCCCCTAACACAGCAGCACACATAATGATGCAAACATACTTAGGCAAAGGAAGAGGAAAAACTCATTGTGAAACAAGAAACTCTGAACAATATAGACTTACTCCCTGTGGACAGGATCATCCTGACCTGGACTTCCTTTAGCCTTTACTGACCTCTGTTATTGGGCAAACTGCTGTTTATAGGTCAGATAGCTTTACTACAAAAAACAGACAGCCTGAAAGTAAACACTATATATGATTTATATGGGTAAAATTTTGGCTTGGTATTGAATGAGTGAGAATTTTACACATGATGTTTGGAGTGAATCAAGACACAGATTCAACTTTCACACATCTAAGGGAGTTTACACCCACCTAGACATTTAAAAAAAGTGTTGAAACAGAAAACACCGCATTGAAATGATTCACACTTCTCTTCTTCAAGATACAAATCACTTCCTGTTTTAGCTGTTGCCATGGTAGCTCATCCGATGCAAAACAAGTGTGTTTACAGCCCTTGACAACATGTGAAACGATGACTCAAGTTCAGTTTTTCTCTGCAAAGAACATTTCGATTTCCCCCATGTGCATGTCACACTCTAGGATAATGATGTTCACTTTGCCTCGGCATATGTCATCATGCTGTATCTAAATGTTACAAAGATCATAAGAGTGGTTTAAAACTGCCAAATAAACATAGTAAAACACATATAAAGAGTGATAGATGGCTGGAAATACAAATGTTATGTGGAGAAAAAGAATTTCAGAAAGTTAAATTGTTGGCAGATGAAAAAAAAGTTAAAAAGAGATTCAGGAGACAAATGTTTTCTCAACAATGTCTATAGGAGAACAATATTGACACAGAAACAACACTTTTTTTTTAATGACTAGTTTGGTCAATGTGTGCCATCGTCTGTGATTGATGAATCTCTGCTCAAACAGCTAAGCATAGAAACATTCTTCTGTAGGCCAGACTGAGACATAAGAAAAGTTAATGGTCAACACTTGAGTACTCAGACCAGGCAGAACTTTAAATCACTGTCAGCCGAGTAACTAAACTTATTGACCTGTGTTCAACTGATACCTGATTGTCTCCAAACACCAAGTGTGAGTAAAATCATTCGCTTGTCTGAATTACATGTTAAGTTAATGCAAAGACACGATTAGACGCTCAGTCAGGTGAATTGGGTGGGAGCTGAAAATGTCTCAACTTGAGCGGATAGTCGCGTCGCAATAACTAATCAGCATGAAGGTTGCCGGGTGATGTATGAAAATGGACGGTTGTTCACTGGTATCTAAAATGGAGGACAAACTGATTGTGTCAGTGTGTGGGTGCGATACCTTACATAATATGTATATATAATAATAATACGATACCTTTTCTTTTAATTTTCTTTTAAAATCTAATTAACGAAACGGGGGAAAAAAGGAGCTTGTCTGGAGGCAAGTGAGTCAGGAGGTCAAATTACCTGGTAACTTGTAAAAAACCTTTGTATATCACTTGATCCTGCCAATTGAATTGGCAGGGATTATCACTGAAACTACCGTTAATGTGCAAATGAAGCAAGTAAATACTATTCATTCACGCGTCTAGTTTCGCGCAAATGAAGCAAGTAGATGTTTTAACTCATGCTTGGTGTGAGCGCCCCATAACTGTTTGTTTGAACCTGAATGCAGGTCATATTTTCATTCAAATGGTCTGAAAAAAGTACAGTAAAACCATCCTTTGTGACTTAATAGTTAACAGGAGCGCTAGGGTTATTATCTGCTAGCTTCACTATGTGACATTACAGTAACACAGTAAAGAAAACAGCTTTGTAACGGGGATGACTGAACCCTAAATTAAACATCAGACAGCTGAGTCAGCCGAGACTCAGCAGACAAAAAAAAAAAAAAAACAAGAAAAGAAGTTTTCCATGATGGTTACTAAGGGAGGACGTCAGACGTCCTTGTGGCTGGGAATCATTGTGGTGAGGCACCTCCTCAGCATTCTTTTTAGTCAGTACCTCTTTTTCCCTCCAAACAGCACAGTCACAGGAATGTGCCTCGAAGAGATTGCAAGATGTCCATATACGCACAGAGGTAGATGAAACCAGTCATCACAGTCAGTATGAGTATTTGCACAGATGTGGTGTAATGGTGAAAGCTAAATGGTTTTCAGTCACTCCTATTGAGTGTTTTGGTATAATATTGTCTGGTGAGAAAGACAACATTCAGTTACCACACATTTTTTTCTGGTTCCCTAATGGAAGACAAAGTGATCTCCTGGGACATATTGGACAGATGTTTGTATCTTCCTGTGAAATGCTGTTTCTACTTTCTGAAACTCCCTCTCGGCAGCCAAGGTCTGTTTATTCAGTTTGCTGAAAGTACTGAAAGTTTTTAAGAGGATGAAGAAGCAGAGCTGCCCATTAGAGGCCAGCAGTCACCTTACTCATGCTAAACATGATCACCAGTTTGTGATTTCAGTCTTAACACCATTTTTTTTTTAAAGAATAGACATTAATATTTTATTAATTGTTTCTTTAATGAAAAATAAAACCACTTGTTTCTTAATTTCTTCATTTTGGAAAATGTCCCATTGGCAAAATAGGCCAAACATGACATACAAGGGACAGCTTATTCTGGCACAGCTAACTAGGCTAGCTATAAAATAGCATGCTTGACATGCCAGGTACTGCACATGAATAGGGAAGGCAGGAGGATATTGAATGGGAGCTTGTGAAGGCTTAACACCCCCTGAAAACATCCTGAACAACTTTTTGGGGAGCTGTTTCAAGACAGACAAAACAGGTGAAGGCACTGATCAACTATGTTCAGAGACGATCTGGTAAATAACTCCTGAAACTTACACCATATTAAACTTCGCATACCTAAACTAAACACCAGAATTTAATAAGTAGCAAATTCTCAGAGTTCAAGTAAAGTGGCAGGATCTACGTCTGTGAGCCAGAAGTTCTTTTTCATGAAAGATAAGCTAGGTTAGATGTACAAACCTCTAATGGCCACATCAACCTTAGTAATTAGCGTAAGAAAATTAAGTGAATGTCAAAACAGCATTAAATACTGGACCTAGTCGGAGGTGATGATGCCCAATGATGGCAGTTGTCACATAAGAAGTGCTACTAAACTAACTTCCAGTTAACAGGGACCCCCATTTCCTAGCACCTCCTTGCTGCCTATCAAAGTGATTGAGTGTAACAAGAATTTTTCTGTATGAAGGCATGTTGGGATCAGCTGCATGCTGATATGAATCAGTTGGATTGAGTGTAGTAGTCCCATTTATTGATATCTGAGGCCCCGAGGCATTTCTGTAAACAGACATGGTCTTCAATGTATCTTCATCTTGTAAATTTTACTGACAGATGAGCTCTGCCTCACCCTGCAGTGTCTCAGGCTGAGTGGACATCATGGGAGCATGACTGGAGTGCTTCAAAAGGCCAGGCTTTGAGCAAGAACAACAGAGTAAGGCCTCACTTATTATTGGGTGCTGGGACAGCAGAGCAGGCGTGTTTGGACAGTGAGTGTCACAGAGTGCTGTATAGCCATCAGGAATGTCCTGCGTCATCCTCACGCCAGGCCATGTACTCTCAGACAGTGTGGTGTTGATAAAGTGCAGGTAAAGTCTTGGTGGGCATCATTTAGTGTTTAGTTTGTCAACATGTGCGTCCTTTGTGATTTCGTGCCATGTGTTGAGCACCGAAAGAGGTTTATCAGAGAAAAACATGATTGTCTAACTCAGACAAAAGAAGGAAGCAGAAGTACGAGATGGTAATTTCATGCATATGAGTTTGTCGTAACTTCTGTCTTCACAAAGAGGGACTAGCTGGTTTAATCTGACATGCCACTGCCGGCTTTTCTGCTTTCTTTGTTGAAATTTTAGATCCAGTTTCCCAGTCTAACCAGTAAAGTCGAAAATTGACAGGTAATCAAGAAAAGCATGCAATATAAAGATGACTGAATGGAAGAGCGCTTGTAGTGAGGAAAAAAAAGGAGAGACCAGAGGAAATCCTGCCAACAATGGTTGAACAAACTTGAGCGTGAGATAATGTGGATGAGAGCAAGCCTCTCACCAACCCTGGTTATCATTCACAAAGCCCGTTCACAGGGAGAAATAAGCATCTCAGTCTGCATGAGACTGAGAAAAAGACAGAGGAATTCTTCAGAGGCAAATCAGATTAAATTGGTTCATTACTGGATGATTCAACCAACTTTGAAGTCGAGCGAACTGATCATTTTTGATTTTTTTATCATGCAGCAAAACACTAACTTCATTTTAAAGAGAGATTTTTGATAAAAATGTACTTAATTACCTCCGCCAATGAGGTTATGTTTTCGGTAGCGTTTGTTTGTTTGTTTGTTTGTTTGTTTGTTTGTTTGTTTGTTTGTTTGTCTGTGAACAACTTTACAGAGAAAGTAACAGACGGATTGACCTGAAATTTTCACCAGAGGTGCGTCTCAGCCCCAGGAGGATCCCATTAAACTTTGGTGGTGATCCGGATCGCCTTCTGGATCCAGGAATTTTTTGATGATTCTTTATCATCGTGAGATAGGGCAAATTTTGGAATTTTTGCATTCAACTCTATAAAAATGGCCAGAGTCTTTAGTAAAAATTGACACAAAAGGATCTCAATGAGTTTTATGAGGTGTCAAAGGTTGATCCTGATCCAGACAAAATTCCGGATACTGTGATCCAGAACACACAAAAATAAGGGTGTCGTTGGAATTTTCAATGCTGAAAGATAACCAATGGGCGGCACAGTGGTGTAGTGGTTAGCATTGTCGCCTCACAGCAAGAAGGTCCTGGGTTCCAATCCGGGTCAGGGCATTTCTTATTTTAGGAACATTATGAACAGTGAACATACCAGTTTAAACACAAATAAAAGTTAATAAAAGACACGCAACAGTAAAAGTTTTGGTGTGAATCACAATATGAGGGGGACATGAGCTGCTTGGCAGAGGTCTGCGCTCTCCGAGTGTTTTTCTAGTTTCATTTGAAATACCCAGATTTGTTTATTTATAAATGACAAGCTACGATAGAGTCTATGAGTACTGGGTGTGGCTGAATAATGGTTTAGGAATAGTGTAGGATGCACGACACACCACCAGCTACTAGTTTTATTTAATTCACAATCCAGACTGGATTAGACTGGGTGTAAAGAAAACTCTCTGAGACCTGGACTTCAGTCACTCAGACAGCCTCTGCTGTTTGGAAAAACACGTTTATGAGATGCTAGATATGAAGGACATCCAAATATCAGCACAACAAAATTGCACACTCGCCCACTTTGGTCTCCATAGCAACCGCCTCCATCACTCTGTGCCGCGCTGAGTGTCCATGAGTCTGACCTACACACCAGCCTTAGCCCCCGCTCTATCTTCAAGACCCTGCGTGCAGTTCATCAAAAGCACGGTGGGAACAAATCTGATGCCTTCTGTCTGGCGACTCTCTTATCCAGCTGTTACACATAACAAGATTGCTGGGCAGAGACTGGCGGCCGTAGTCAGAGGCGTAAATGTCAGACTGTGACAGGAAAGCCTAGGAAATGTCAGAGTGTGGTTTGGTTCATTTGCAGAGCTGGTATTTGGAGGAGAATTGTTCAAGTGTTCTGTTTAACAGGTCTATTAGAGCTGATAGCAAAATGAGCTGCAGCAGGTTCAGTCTAAGAAAGGAACATGATTTCACAACTTGATATACAAACAAGGGTGTATTCGAGCAGAAAAAGGATATTGCAAGAAAAAGCAAGATTTGTGTAGATCAGCATTCAAAGAAGGTCTAGGGAATATTACCCAACACAAAAATCCTAGACAGGGTGTGGTTGCGGCAGGACTACTAAAAGAGAACTTACAGCAAACTCTAAGATAAATGAACCCATTTTATGGTGTACTCTCAGCATTTGGAGTTTCCTGTCACAGTGCTGCAACGGAAACGGATATGTTCAATAATCTGAGGTGCAGAAAGTACGTTATACCAACCAAGTGTGACTGCCAGACTTGCATTTACTTCCTGTCTGTTTGTGTGCTTTTTTTTCATGTGCTTAGATAACAGCAACTACGTACATCAGTTATGACTTTTAAGCAGCTGTATCAATTTCAGCATTCACTCTGATCTCAGGCTGGTCTGTAAAGCTACTGTATCTCTCCCCGGCAGCTGGTCAAAGTGCTCACAGATAGAGACTTGCACGACACAGCAGCTTGGCTCACCAAGCAGTACCACATACAGTATATATTCAATGAGGAGGAGATAAAGGAAAAGAGGGATGAGTCTGGTTTGGAGGTGATATAGGATTTGGTTTAATGGGTATAATCTACCACATTTTGTATTAAAAAACCCTAAAATATGGCAAAAGTGATTCAAAAATAATCTAAAAAGTGATCTTAACTCCCTTAGAGGCATAATGACAAACCTGCAAGTGAATACCACTTACACCTCCCACATTGTTGTGGTGCATAAATGTTAAAGGGCATTTTGTTTTGTCTTCCCTCCTCTTTTTATTTGAGTTTACCTTCTATCACCGTGGCAACTAGCCACTGGAAGGTGTATGTGTGGATCTGCAAATGGCTAGCTGAACAGTGGGCATACTGTAGGAAACAGCTGGGCTGTGCCAATTGCTCGAACACCCCCCCTGTATGTCTCCCTCCTAGTCTCAGAATGCACACATCCCTGTTGGACACCACAGCAACCACTGAACAAAATGTCCTTGCTCCTCAGTCACTGAAAAACCATTGAGAGTTTAGGGATACAGCAAAAGCCAATAAACTTGGAAAATGCAGAGTGGCAGAGCTGTTATTGGTGATAAGTGATTTTCATTGAAGCTCTGACTGTATTGGCATTAAGTGTGATGTAGTTCTTTCACCTGCATAACAACTACTCATCTTAGGTCATTGAAATTCTGAATAAAAGTGAAGAAAAATATGTCTTGTTAATAAGTTAATTCAGGACAAAAAAAAATCCAAAACAAAACATGTATACTAAAGTATCTTAAGGGCAGAGTTTCTGCTTTGTACGCTCTATTAAACACACTGCTATTATCAATATAAACACTGCCCAGCAAATGAAGTTCAAAAAGATAAAAGCTGTTGACAAAAATAAATAGGCGGAGATTATGGCTCCTCTATTTTAGTAGCTCACAAACTCTGGTCATTTAAACCAAGGATAAGTTGAGTCTGACTGGTGCTGATACACATGTAAACAGCTGTGCTGCCAACGCTAATAGCAAAGATAAACATCTGCCAGCAGAGGCTGACCTGTATACTCAGCCCTGCAAATTATCCTAATTGGCTTCCATGAACACATTTATTATGTAATCTCTGTAGATTCTAATTAAACAGAGAGTGACACACACACATATACACACATACATCCGTCATTTCCCTGCTAGCTGTTTAACACCATGGAGATTTTTTTTAAAGAGAGGCACAGACATATCAAGACTGAAGAATGTGCTTTATTTGTATCTAGAGAAACCAAACACTAACTATTGCATTTACTTTGTACACACATGGACTTGGAGATAAGGTTTTCAGGGATGATGAAGCATCCATTTTAAATAAGTTAAAACACTGACACTGGACAATCGACTTCCGATTGAAATTTAATCATCTGTTTAGAAGCTGCACTGCCTCTTAAGTTCGACAATAAATATCAATGACCAGCGAATACATTTTATAGAAGTAGTTGCGTGTGTGTTAATAGACACAGAGCAGATGCACTGGAACTAAAAAACAGAACTGGAAACAGAATAGACACTTTTTATGTACAACACCAGTGTGATATTACAGGATGTGAGAGTTTCCTTTTTGTTGTGGTTGCATTTCTGCAAGTGTCTTTCATTAAGAGAAGGCCAGTTAAATTCCTCCATCACAAAGCCTGGAGATTATCTGTCAGAACTGAGCCACAAACAGAACTTTATAATATGTACAAGCTTGACACCCTTTTTTTCACTCTTCTTTTAACCCGGGCTTTGTCATGGAGGAGTGTCTTGCTCAGTCTTGTCTTACTTTGCATACTTTTTTTTTTTTTAGGCTAGGGCCATCCTTTGTGGTTTTTCTAAGTTAGCCCTGAATTTATCTAGAAATCGTGAAGCTAATTCATCATCGACCAGCCGTCCGTCACTGGAGAGTGTAACTGTCATCAGCTGCCTGGTGCGCAGGGTCTGGTCATCCTCGCACAGTTGCAGCTCTGACCTGGAGGTCCCGACTGCAAGGATGCACGCCTGAGGGGGGTTGATCACTGCACTGAAGCCACTGATACCAAACATCCCGAGGTTTGATATACTGCCAGAGAGAGAGAGAGAGTGAGAGAGAGAGAGAGAGAAAGAAAGAGAGAGAGAGAGAGAGAGATGGAGGGGAGAGAAAGTAGATAATACATGATCAGTCAAGCTCAGCAAGGAGAACAATCCATAAAAGTTAACCAAGCAGGCATAATGATGCTACTAAAACCAGCTCCTTGACACAACACAACAAAGAGGGAGTGAATAAAATATGAGTGAGTGCATTGGGCAGAAACATACTAATAGCTGTAGACATCTTATTCTACAAATACAAGACTGATCAGTAATGATTCGCACAGCAGCTCCGGCCTCCAAATGTCTCCCTAAATGTTGTGTATGATGAGCTAGACTAACCCAGAGGCAGTTTGCTGTTTTCCTTAATGAGAGTTGTAGCTCAGGGGGATGGAAAAGGAATAGAGGAAGTGCATACACACATATATATCCTCAGGAGGACAAAGAGGGCTGCATCTCCGCAGGAATTCATCGCTCCTGCCTGACACAGAAACCCCATTTATGTCTAAATGACACCATTAATTCTAATGAGTTGAAAAGCCTGGCTCCCACTTTATTGCAATTGATGGCACAGTAACTGATGGTACTTGTCGCCTTAGAGCACCTTCAGTTCAGGCCCGTATGAAATGTAGAATATGCATAATGTATTGACTAGCTGCAAAACTGGATTTAAGTCATAATGGAGGAAATCTATGATGGCTGTTTCATAGCTGAGCTACGAAGGAGACTGTGAGAAAGAATGAAGTGAAATGAAAGCAACAGTATTGAATGAAAGTTCAAATGGATGGAACAAAACTAGATATGAAGAAAAAACACAGAAACTAACGTTTTGTTTTAGGCCTCCACTACCACAAAGAGATGATATATGTCAGAGGCTTACCTGAACGAGCCACCCTGGTACTCTTCAGGTAGAAGTTTCCCATCACGAGCCTTCTGGGCAAGTGCCTGAAGAAACAATCAGTATAAGTCAAACCATTTCACTTATTGGACATATACAGCAATAAGGAAGGAAAATTTACTCTGGACAATAGTGATAGGGCAAATAAAACTTATAGCAAAACTATGTAAAGAGCGGTCAGTGACTAATTTCAGTGATCGTGATCTACAATTCCACCTCCTAAAAACAATACATCCAAATTCTCTACATTATAATAATTTTTACCATTTGGAGTGAAGTCACTGGCTCATCACCACAATCAGAAGCTTAAAGACCCACTCTGATGAAAATGTTTTTCTTGTTTTTCACATGCTCGTATGGCATTTTTCTGATGCCACGGGACAAATCATGAGAAAAATAGGAGCAAAATTGCACTTCTGAGTATTTCTGCATTCAAATCGCTGTGAATCTCTTGCAGACTCAAACAGCAGGTTCAGACAAAGTGAGATTTCCTATGTCACATATCCAAGCTCCGCCCCCTGAGCCCTGCTATGCAGGCCACACTCAGAAAAATAGAGAAGACGATCATGGAACAAGCGTGTGCGTTAGCATACTGCATTGCTCGTAACAGAGCTAATTATGATATTAACTTTCATCATGTCCCCAAAGACATCAGTGTCTGAGAGCTGAATAGCTCAAATGTTACCTGCTTCCTCTACTACACCGGCAATGTTAGGCTGCAAGCTAGTGTGAAAAGTGTTCAGAGCAGCGCTGACTCCACCCATGACTCAGAGGCGAATTCTAATGAGCTACTGGAGCTTTGCAGAAGAAAAGCCCTTGAAAATGACACATGTAACGTGATTTTGCCTAAAAACTTTATAATCACAATTAAAAGACCACTGAGAACACCTGAGTAGTAAACAACAAACGATCGGAGTAGGACTTTAACAACATAGTAGTGAAACTTCACTACAATTACCCACAAACATGCTTCTTGAATTTAACATTTGAGATGGAGCAGAAAGCAGGGGCTGATGATGCCCAAATCCTGGTGCAAATAGCAGCCACAATCCATTCTTTGTGACCCCCTCAGTTTACATAGTCTCCTTGCGAGCACAGACACCACTTCCTATCCAAACCAGTTTGATATTGCAGCAATCCAGCTAAGATCCCAAACCTTGCCTTTTTACATGCCATTATTCAGACACATTTCACAGATTATTAATGTCCAGAACAATTCTTTACAAGTGTTTTAAGCCTTTAAGTCCCAGTTTTAAATCATTCTTATATATTCAGTGAAAGGCCACAGGGGCCATGTCTTAAAGATCTTGTTCTGGAAAATAATTAAGTGTCTGATAGCAAGACCTGAGATAAATGGAAACTACCAGAGGGTGCCTTGCTAAAATGAAGACAGGGAATTGAAAACACCCAGAAGGGAAGATGAGACATCTGTTGAGGAAAACCAACACATTACTGCAGCCAGGTTCAGTAAATTCATGTTCAGTCGGGGCAAGAATGAAAGTGACAACCTCAGAGAAAACACATTTCAGTCAGTTCAGACTCTTAAGTATGTTGACGGTACAATGTCTGCTGCAGAAGTGCAGAGGATTCAGAGAACAGTAAGCTGTGCAACACATTAGGCACATGTGCTTGATCTGTAAAGGCCATTTTCAGCTGCAAGTAAAGAGTGAAGAGTGGTCCCAGTAAAAAGCAATCATCAAATATGTCTTTTTTACAAGCGTTTTTCTCTCAGTTAAGTCCAAACTGCAGAACAGCCATAATAACCAACCTGAACTTTCTCAAATGGGAATGTTCTCAAAGGTTAAAGCAGGCGAACAACCAGCAGAGAGAGCGAAACACAGTGGGACATGGTGGGCACATTTGAGAGCTTTCAGTACAAAGCAGTCTCATGGAGCTCTCTATCACATCAATAGCCAGCAGCGAGCGACCTCTCTTCCCTTCATTCAAACCACATGTTGGTTTTAATTTGAGAATAATAAGCACTTGCAAATGTGGATTTGACTCAAGGCAGCAGCATAACTAAACCGAATAGTAGTGGGTGGCAAAGCACTTTCTGAAGGCTTAAGTGGACTGCTTATGGTGCCAATGGTTTGTGTGCTCAGGGATGATGTTTTTCCCAGTGATTTGAACAGTAAGCACCAACAACAGTGCATCATCTGACCAGGAGACACAGAGGCAACATTTTTTTAATGAAATCTTCCAAGCCAGTCACCTTCATCTCTGCCATAAAAAGGACAAACGTGTTTTATAAAAACAGCATTTTAAAAGTATGGCAGACAATTGGATAGTTTGGCAGTAAACTCATTGCACTCAGACTTACAAATACATATTTATTTCCTGCCATCACTTGTTGTAAAAAGCTGTTAAACATGGCTCTGGTTCTGATTATTAATGGAAGTTCTGCTTTGCCACTGTCACCTGCCAATTGAATTCCGATATTTGAAAACAATATTGAATTTCCCTTTGGGGATTAATGAAGTACTTCTCTCTCTCAAAAGTGTTTTGCTCATAGTGGATTAGAGTAAGACTAGGTAGAGGGACAGAAAGTGGGATAATTTGGTCAGGAGGTGGAAATGCAAATCAGAATCCTGACAGGGTAAGCAGGACCTTTTAAGAATGTAGAGGGGTCTGTCTCACATCACTGGAATTCTAATTTGCATAACCACCTGCTCACTATACCTCATTTCCTGCTTGTCTGATGCACAGTATAGCAGGACAAGTTTTTATAAACTAAAACATACAAGCTGTATTTTATCCTTCACTGTGCATTTACTGTGATGAAGTGAGGAGAGCTTCTTACATAGCACTTTGTAACCTTTATACTATATATAAGAAAATAAATTTATAGAACAATGCTGTTAAGAGGTGTTGATGAAAAACAAATTCGTACATTATAAATCGCTGAAATCAAATGCAACCAGTTGAGGTGTCACATAACTGCAATTATCCCTAAAGCACCATGTTCACACTAAGTTATACTGACATTTAAGATAAGATGTCTGTGCAGACATACACACAACACCGTAACAACTGCGATTACATCTTACATCTTTGCATGATTTGTTTGCACAAATTATACCATTACAGATTAGGCATAATTTCTATAATCTGACAAGATGTGTGCCTAAAACTTAATTACACACCCAATGACGAGTTAACTGTAAGACTTACTGTCATGTTTATGTTCAGTCCTGTTGTTTTCTTTGATTAGCACGACTCATGCTAATACTCCTTTAGCCACTGTGATTTCAGCTGCTAAATGAGCTGCACAGCTCTGATTTATGAACACAGACATGACTCTCTTATACAGTATACAGTACCAAACATATTTATATTTCTTTTGAATGAAATTAAAACTAGACTGTAAACGTCTAACAACGCCCTCAGAGTTTGTTTTCCCATACAGCTGGGTTGAGCTCAGGTCTCAACTTCCTTATCTATTCCCACCAAACAACTCAATAGCATGTCTTCACCTGATGTGACACACTGAAGGACCCCACAGCTTACAGTTATAATCTACCAAGTCAAAGAAAGCATGACTAATAGGACTGATATGCCTGAGGGCTTCAGAGGACAACTCCAACAAAAACTTTACCTCCAACAGACCCAAGCATATGAGAACAGTCTTTGAATGTTCTTGTCCATATACTCTCTTACCTTAGCGTTGGCTGCAATCTCCTGGACTCCTTTGTTTGCTGCATCCTTGATGATTGGGGTAATGAGGCCCTTGTCTGTGGCCACTGCAATTGAAATATGGACTGAATCAAGGGCCCGGGGTCCCTCACCAGACCAGGTGACATTCACCTCTGGCATCTCCTACGATAAAGAGCAGAGATCAGCCCAGGTTCTTACAGATACTATCAGTATGGTTAGTTCTGATGCTCTTGTTACAAAGTGCCTCTGTGCTGTTCTTAAGCGCATGACAGATGCTCAAAAGGTGATAAAGGACGAATACACCTCCTTTCTACACTATGACGTTTCCTGTAAAGCTATAGATCACGATTGCTGGGTAAATGACAGGAGCCACAACAGAAGGTATCTGTAATTTTTTATGTCATCATATATTTGTGAATCAATCCTGGAATATAAACACAGACACATTTCTTGTTTCTAAAAAAAATACATTACAAATTCAGGAACAGTAAAACAGAAGGTTGTAGAGAATACTTCCTCATGTACTTAAGTCATCTCAGGGTGAAGTTAAGTAAGCCTGTTTTTGTCAGTTTTCAGACGTTAATCTTACACAAGAGAATCACATTTCACCATTTTGTGCATGAGTCAGTCCAAACAAGTGTTTTAGCCATGTGAGGATTTGCACAGTCAAAAATAGCATCTAGACTACAAGAACGAAGAGCAGTTCTTTGGAATTTGAACTCACATTAACCGCGAAATGTACAGATTTTTGTTCCACATTCCTCTCATTTACTGTAACGTATGCACCAAACAGTTGGGTTACAGTCTGCATGGAGCAACGATGAGTTCTGAGATGTCAGGGAATATGTTAATTTGTGAGGCCAATGCTTTATAGTACTGCAGATAAAGTATTCTTTGATAAGTAATGAAGATAAGCCCATATTAGATGCTGCTGATGTGGTCTTTTCTTGAATAAATCAATTATGCAAATGCATTTATTTTTTAACGACCATTTCTAACAGTGCACTTATCAAATCAAAATCAATCTTTACTTCTTGCAAAATTAATCCAAAAAATCTGCTTTTGTTTATCTTTTTCCCTCAGCTTGTTTTCACCAAGAGCTGATGAAAATGGATAGTTTATGAGTTTCTTCAGAATTTTAATTAACTGACAAGAAAAAAGGGTAAAATAATTAGAGTCTGAGTCTGGACACATTTTTTATAATACTTGAGTTAGAGCCTGCATAAGTAAGGATATAAGAGACTTCTTTAAAGGTGGATGAATAACATTACTTTTGGTTATGCTGGATATCATGGAGTTCAGATTGCTGTTTGAACAGGTTTGTTAAGCATACACACAAGATGACCTTCTAATAACTTCAATAAGTGATTTAACCCTCCTCCTGTGTGAGGGTCTGCTGTAATCAACCAAAGAAACTAGGACTGAGGCCCCAACTACACGAATGTGGATATATTTCAAACCGCACATATTTATGTCCGATTAGGCCTCCCTACCACACCAAAACGTGAGTTTGGAACACTCAAACTGGATAAATCTGAATCCGAAAAACCAAGTGGAGAAATAAAAATATATCCGTATAAGTGGATTCGTGTGGTTGAACTTTTACGGATCGATGACGTCAAACTGCAGCTCGTGCATGCGAATTAAAAAGAAAAACAACAACAACGATGGCGGACATACAGGGTATCCTTTACGTTTGTTTTGCCCTTTTGGGGCTAATTTCAACCTTGCAAGTGAACCTTGTTTTATACAATTACATCCACCAGTCAGTCAGCTCACAGACGCTTCTGCTGCGCCCAATACTTTTATTGGTCACATGGTCCGTCACATGGACCCGACGCACTAGCGTAGCTTCCGCAAACAATGCATGACCCATCACGCTGTTACGATTCATCGGCCAATCAGGTAGCTATGTTCCTGAATTTTTTTTAAGCGGCACCAGATAAGATTGGGTTTGAAGGCTATGTGTGGACGCAGATATTTTTTTGAACTAACACTTGTGGACAGATATATTTATTTAGATGGGAGTACAAAAATATCCTGATAAATAAATATCTATATACGTGTAGTCCGGGCCTAAGACTAGGACTTCGCAGCCCTACTGCACATACCTGTTTTTGTCTTTGAATGCTTAAAAGAACCACATAAACTAGCTTTTTCGCATCACAACTTTTTGACTTTGTCAGGAACCTCTATTTCAACAAAATAAAAATTAAATTGACTAAATTATGAAATGCTCTTATGAAATTATGGCACTTGTCACGTTAGGGTCACTGTTGACCTGATTAGATTAAAAAGCAACAATTAGGGCAAAAACTGAAATCATAAGTACACTGTCAGGCACCACACTGACAGTCAGATCCTCTTCCAATCATGTGAGACTTAGGGGATTCCCCTGCACAAAAAACAACATCGGGCATGTCCAGACATGTGCAATCAATTCAGTATAGATGTCTGTATGAGGGGTATACTGACAAAGAAAGGGCAAGAGGCCCACACCAAAAAATATTAAAAGCAATATTTTCATGGATAATGAAGCGTAACAAGGTAACCTAGAGATGAGAACCAACTTGGGTGATAGAGAATTGTTTTTAGTGTAATTTACAGCTGATTTAAGACACGTCTCGAAACCGACCTGTTAACATAGTGGGTGCATAGTAAAAGCTAACACAGGAGGAAGGGTAAAGGATGGTTAGGGGAGGTGTAAAGAAAGACAAACAAGGTAAACTAATAAATGAAACAAAGGATCCACTTACTTTTAGTGTAGCAGCAGCAGCCTTGATAATAAAATCATTCACAGACACTTTGATTTGTTCTGAAAAGAGAAAGAGAAACTCAAGCTCAAATTAAAACCAAAACAACTGATGAAAGTGTATTAACATGATCAAAGCTGTGAATTAGTTATTTAGAGTCTTTTCACTTAACAACCAAACAAGAACTAGGCTGAAACATTATGGAGTTTCCCTTCAAGACCTATGCAGTGTGACAGGAGGACTAGTGATGCTCAGCTTTCCTTACTGATGAAAAATGTCCTATAACTTGTAAATCTTACTGTGACCAGCTGATTAGAAGCAGCACTTTCATACAGATTTGGTTTCAAGCATGTGCTCTGCTCCCCAGCTCTGTGTGACGTACTAGAAGGACAGAAGAGCTTGCCATTGCTGCCAACTTTTACCACTGTCTATTAGTGCAGCAGCAGACGGTTTATGAATGCTGCAAGCGGGATGATTAATGAGCTAACCGTGAAATCGCGTTGCTCCTGAACAATGAGGCCGCGCAAAAACAACCGGGGGAGAGAGAATCCCTCAATACACACACAAGCTTGCTAATAGGTCTGGAATGACCGCTCCATTTCCTCCATCACAGAGACGGGACCCAGAGAGATTTACAGTTAGTTTAGCAGCTAGGCAAAGCTAAATAGAGACAATCTTATGGAGTGGGCTGAATCAGATGTTTCAAAATAGAAAAACCTGCAAAGCGTCATTACTGTATCAAGATGTAAAATGGTCCAAAGTAAGCATTGCAGGATATCCACTGACAGCAGCCATTTACTTCAATTATTTTCTTGGCCAGATGCAGCAGCTGTGTCATAGACTAACTGTTGAGACGCGTGGCACTGTTCCCTTTCTCTGGTTGTGGCATCAGCCGCCTTTCACCTTCAAAACAAATAATGGACAGTTTATTGCAGGCAACTGCGGTTAGCTCAATAACAGTTGCTGGGGAAGTTTTGTGGCTGATGAGTAAAAAAGAAACTTGCCAAACAAGGGGGGGGGGGGGCTTTTTCAAGTCCTATTTGTGTCTTGTGCATTTTCAAGACTCACTTATGAGACCTATCAATGTTCTTTTACTGTAACATACACTGCCTGCCCACTTCTCCTTTCCTCTCAAGGCCAAAGTGCTTTTTTTATTACATAACATGCATCACAGAGAAAATACGAAAGTAATTCATTTGAACCAGAAAGTAGTGACAACTCTCGGAGAAAACTCTCCTAGAAAAAGGAAAAGCTATATGAAGGAAAGCGAAATGAATCCAATGAACGGCTATTTATTCAGAGAATTTGTGTCTATACAGATAATTCACTTGTGAACCATCTCACGTTGGCCATCCCATCAGTAAAAGGAAAGAAATAACAGATAAGAGCTGCATGCTATGTCTATGACGAACTGTGGGTGTCTTATCAAGATGTGATCAGCCTTGTGTTGTAATGTGTGGTAAGAAGAAAGCAGATCTGATTGGTGTCACACATGGATGTTTCCGAGATCCTGCAGCACACCATTCAGCCCTTAAGGGGTGTTTGACTTCTTAGCCATTTACATCCCATTGATTCCTGCTTTACAACCTGTGAGTTCCCACCAAACCATATCAATAGAGACAAAAGCGGAGACGGAGAAAACTGCAATGCGAGAATCTGTCCTCCCTGTCAAAGGCGCAGTCATGTGAAAAGCTTGAAATCTACATCTTCATGGAAAAATTCCCTCCGAATGTTACCATCAGACATTCACTAAGAGACAAGAGTACTGCTAATGCATACAAACTCAACTCTAGTCTTCTATTTTTACCTTTGGCCAAGTCTTTGCGGAGGTGCATGACAGCAGCCATGTCACAGTCAACAGAGGCGTACGCATGGGGGATGGTGGTCTTTGACTGCGTTAGTCTTTGAGCGATCACACGGCGGACATTTGTAGCTGGGATCTCTGTGAAAGTGCCCTGTACATGGGGACAATTGGAAAGAAAGGAAGTACGGAATTAAGAAAGGAGAAAAGGACTTTTCATGATGGATAACAGTGGCAGACAAGGTCTAACAAATCTTGGCAGCCATTGATTTGTCAAGAGTCAGTGGGTTAACAACATAGAGTTCAGGGGCAAGACGATGAGTTATGAGAGGTCAGAGTGGCTCTGCGATAAAGTTGACTGACATGAACCATACGTGAGAAGATAAGCAGTCAGCTGCAGCTGATGCTATCTTGCTCTCCTTTCAGTGTCACCACAAGACACAAACTGTGATGTGTAAACTCTGTGTTTGTGTGGGTGTGTGCCACTGTGTAAGAAGAGCTTACAGGTGCTCCTGGTTTCCCTGGTACAGAAAGAGGAGGTATGTTGGGTCTGCTGCCTGGTGGTGGAGGGGGTGCTGCTGGGGTTGGAACAGGACTCGGGGGAGGCGAGGCAGCTGTGACTGTGGCAGTTTTGGTAGGAGGAGACGTCTTCAGGAGATTCAACACATCTCTGTTAAAAAAAAAACAACGAAAAAACAATCACAATAAATGTAACTACCTTTTATCATTCAATCTAATCCAATCCAATCCGCTTAACTTAAAAAGCGCATTTTTAAAAAACATTTAAGTTTACCAAAGTGCTGCACAGTAAAATTAAAAGAACCCCCAATGCAGAAGTAAAGAAAAAAAACATTAAGAGGAAATAAATAAAAGCAGGTAAAATTTTTCTCCACTCTTCTCCCTCTTCCTGAGACCAACACTTTGCAGTAGCATTGTATGCATTTGGCAGGAGAATCGCAGTGATGACGCTCAGCTCAAACAGTGTTATCAAACACCGTATCCCCTGGGTGAACTAAGAAATCTTCGTAAGCCCATAGGCTGTATTAAGTATCAATCATAGAAAACATGAACCCCCTAATAACTTTAAAAAACTGAGCTTTACAGAAAAAAGAGGACTTGAGCACAAACCAGTCTTACAGTAACAACATGTCAACACTGCAATCAGGGGGGAGAAAAATTAATATTCTGTGTAATTAATTTCTAAAATTTGTCCACAGCTCCATAGGGATTGCTGGAGGAAGCGGGATTTATGACCTATACTGCAGCCCGTCACCAGAGGGCGCTGTTCTCAGGGTGGCTTCACCCAGCGAGGAGGCAGACAGCATCTATTCTATATACAGTCTATGATATAAACATTTAAGAGGTTAGAGATGTACTGTGGTGCTGACCTGTTTGAAGATTTAAAAACAAACAGTACAATTTTAAAATGAATTCTATAGTGAACGGGAAGCCAATGGAGGGACGCCAGAATTGGAGTGACGTGATCATGTTTTCATTAACCTGTTAAAAGACGAGTCGTTAACGTTATACATCAACTGCAGCATAGCTAACAAACACTTCAATCCCACTGTAAACAGAGGATTTATCATCAGGTCAGGTGATTTTTTTACCATTTAGCTAAAAAAGTAGAGTTGGACTGATGATTTTGTGAAGCTATCAGCATAAGTAAACCAATACAGCACGAAACACAGCTTTGCAACGTAATGGAAAAAAGGTTCAGAAAAGGACAAACATGCAAACTAGATAAGACAACATAAAGATAAGGTCGAGTGAGACCTCACAAAGCAACATTTCCTCGCACGAATGTTTCCTCCTGACTTCTTCAGAAATACTTTCCAAGCAGTGTTTCTGCTTTTTGTCAACTTTATTTGGGCCCTCTTATTCATACTGCATAGTCTGTTCAACAGATAAAGTAAGCTGAATCAAGCTGACCAAGAATTTGTTTCCCAGTGTTCTTGTTTTCTTCTTGAATTCATCAATGATAACCTAAATTTAACAGAGAAAATCTCATGAAAAGAGCCTTTTTTTATTCAGCTTTGACCGTTGTAGATGAAACAAGTGTAGAAAACAAACACTGAAGCTGCTTATGACAGCATTAATGCATTATTCACCCATTTGTGTCCAATTGGGAAGCTTATAAGTAGCTCTCTGCTAGCTTTGTCTGTTTTTTTATTTGTGTCAGACTTCCACGGAGAAAGAGAAAGAGAGAGAGAGAGGGGTAACTTTCGGCTGTTGACCAGCCGATTGGCTTCATGAGAATCATTTGCTAGTCACAAACAAACCCCAGCAGGGCAAGGCTGGGCAGGATCAGGTGTCAGCTGCAGCTTATTCAAAACCTTGGCTTTCTATTAACCCTCCTCCTGGCATGGACTTTCCGAATTTCCATGCTTCATCCATGTCCTCCAGCAAAACAACAACATCACAATGGCTTATTAGTTTTTGGTACAAATGCATGTCGTATAGTAAAAAAGACACCCTTACGTTATAGCTGAAGGGTAAAATCCCACAAATGGATCATCCAACAACTGAAAAGCTCACTGTGAAATGTAAAATGATTTGCCCCTGATTTCTTTTATCCATTAGTTTTAATCTTTGCAGTGAAAGAGGAAGGAGGGGCAGGTATCAGGTGTGCCTGCTTGAAGCTCTCTCGTTCCAGTTCAATGCACTGGGGTCCAACAAACCGTACACATCCAGTCTTTTGTCTGGACCAGCTGCATCTGACCTCACCATGTAGCCAGGAACTGTCTGGGCCCCCCAGCTATTCTCTCCTTCATGGGCTGCATCTTTTTATTTCCTCTGGCACATGTTTCTCTCGCTGATAGGGGTATTTGTTTGTGGAAGGACTGAGGCAACTTGGAAATCCCCCACCTAACCTGAGAGGACCACATTAAGTTTCCCATGATAACAGAGTCAGACCGCAGCATAAAAGTGAAAAAAGAAAAAAGAAAACGCAGCTCAGGTGTCGAAAAGGTCAGCACTAGGAAACACAAACAAATGAGTAAATTTTAATTAAGTACAGGGGGAGCAAGCCTAGGGGATCAAACTGTCTACATTATATAAAACCTAAAGAACTCCTTACTGAGTATATATCAAGAAAATAAAATAAAATCAAAAAGGAAACAGCCTACAGCGGCCATTCTCTGATGACACCATAGATACCTTTTGTGTAGCTGGCTCACATGTGCTATTCACACAAACCATTTACAGCCTCACTGACAACCAAAGCAACGAAGCCCCTGAAAGACTTGGGGAGGGTGAGCAGAATATTAAAAAGGGATCCTGCACACACACACACACACACACACACACACACACACACACACACACACACACACACACACACACACACACACTAGGCAAATGAGTGCAGGATGTGCATGACTACATAAATGTTGCCTTCTACTGCCATCTAGGACAAATGTAGGAAGGGTTGTAGGACTTTAGCATCTGTAACATTCACTGATTAGAAGTCATGAACAATTACAAAAAGACGGGCTATTCAATGATCTTACTTGGCCTGAAAATGGACAAAGGACTATGCTCTGGTATAACTGGAGATGCTAAACATACTACCTGAAAACAATCACCTACACAAACTAAATACATTTACATCTGCATCTGCATAGCAGCAAAGAAGGAACTTGCATTAACATAGAATAGTTTTAGCTTTGTACTTTAACGAGACATGACCAACTGTGTGTCCTTGACATGATTTTTAAGAGCAGCACCATTCTTTTTGTTTGTTTTTAGTCAAGGTCTTTTTATTTTATTTTTTAACAATTATACAACCACAAACATGTAAAAAATTTGAACTGTGAACCCCCCCCCCCCCCACTCCAAAGCTCCAACAGAGCCCTTTTCTTAATGTACTCCATTTAGTAAAGAGAAAAAGAAAAGAAAACAAAAAAATAATAAACACTAATTTTATAATATAATATAGAGGCAAAAATGCACATAATCATACGTATGCTCACATGTCAAATGATGAATAATTAATATAATTTATCCATGATTTAAAAGTTAGAGGATATTTTTCTTTCCATTTAAACAGTATCAGTGGATGTGTGAGAAGAGAGCTGAAAGCTATCATAATCTTTGATTGATGGCTGATATGTAGATCGGGTGGTACAACTCCAGAAATTGCTGTTATAGGAGAAGGTTTCAAGGATATCTTCAAAACATCTGTAAAAGTTGTAAATATTAATTTCCAAAACCTGTCTAGTTTAGGACAGAACCAAAACATATGTGAGAGCGGTACCATTTTAATCGAAGAAACCTTTTCTCTAAAGTTCTGTAATGTTGAAATGTTACACTTGACTTACTGTAAATGACCGCAAAATATATCCTGACTGGATTAACAATTGATACAGACTGAGACAAAGCTCTTCTACTGAATACTTCTGTCGGTCAAAACCAAGCATGTTATTAAAAATACTTTCTAAGCCGGACCTTTTTAATCACACACACTTGGGCCATGCAATAGGGAACAGAAAATGGATTAGATAGCAAGGTCATGATTCACTCACCACTCTTAGATATTTGGTCACTAAATTGTTATACAGAGGCCAGCCTGCTTAAATGGTCTAACTTGTTCTTGATCACAGCATGCATCCAGTCTAAACTCATCTTTACACATTTCATGGATTCTTGAAAGCCATTCACTCCACATAAATGGCAGCATTTCCTTTGTATTGACACAGTGATTCGTCATAAAGTTCTTTAGTCTAAAGCAAATGCTGGTGATGTTCTCGAACCAACAGACCACCAAAAAAAAGCAAAAATATAGATGGCTTTACTTGGACACAATCAGTATTTACACCTAGCTGTGGATTATGTAACAAGCTATGATCTCATTTCTGAATTGCGTGACCTTTTGTTATTCATGCCCACTATAGAGGGGCCTCAGCGGAGCGGAGGTTGGAATGGGAGGGGCACCTCTCCCTGGTCTTATCTGATGTGCCACAGGACAAAGAAAGGGAAATAGGGTCTATTCTGCCTTCTCTTAAAGGAGCTGAGAGCACAAGGCTCTAATGTCTGCATAGATTTGGTTTAGAAACAAGAACAGAACTGTTCAGCCTCTCCAATTACCTCAGACGCAGCTGTATACTAAGGTTTAACAGATCGCTGAACACAGCGAATCATGATATCTACATATCAAGGACAAGGGGGTGCAGAGAAATGGCAAGAATTGAAAATGTTAGCATCAGTTAGCATGTCCAAAATAAAATAAAAAGCCAATTAGCTGACCTAGAATCAGAATGTGGACAACAGAGCAGCAATATGACCAAAATATGTTAAGATGAACTTAGTGTTAGCTTACAAATACTATCTGGAGACCTGCTGTTCTTTTTCTAAAGATTTGTTATTCTTGGTCATTCTAATTAAAACCATTACCATTTCTAATTTCTCACCACAGGTCCACTGGTGCCCAGATTTTTATGCAGAACATCTTAATGTGGAGTTTTTCCAAACAGAAAATCCACATAAAAAGATTTTTTTAAAAGTCCATTACCGAGCAATGTACTGCCTCAAAAGTGAAGCTTTGAATAGTTCTTTCTGCCTGAGGCTTGGCCAACAAACTGTTTTGGAAAACGAACATCATTCAAGCACATTGATCCTCTTTGCTTCTCTGAAAGATGAACTCTTTTTTTCAACTTCTCTGCGTCAGGGGGGTTTTCAAACCCGGTGGAAACTTCCTCTGCTTTCTTTTAGCATCCTGTCTCCGTACGAGCTGGACTTATTAGCTAGTCTAGGTGTCAGGATGTGAACTGGCAAGCTGAGTCCAACACAGCCGAGGTAACTGAGTGATCAAACTTCCAGTCTGACAAAACGAACATTTAAGGTATAATTAAACTGGCTTTGCTGATTAAACCGTTTAGACTTCAAAACCCAGAGATCATGTTGACAAACCTGCAGAAAACAGCATGACATGCTCGTGTTTATCAACTCTGACAGATAATTACAGCTTTGCATCACGGGAACAAGAGAGATACAGAAACAGGCTCTTCTCCACAGTGTTCCCTCAGCGCTCTTCAAAATAATGTTGTAATATTCATATTCATGATTTGGTATTCTTCTGTTGAAAGCACCTTGGCTTCAGACTTCTGAGGAAAAAAAAAACTCATCTCAAATGGACTTAAAAAGAAACACTAATCAATGTTGAAACTTCATGTCCAGTTTTAGATCTGTTCAGTTCTCTGGGCTTTTGTTTTAGGATTTTTAGGTTTTGTTTAATCTCAAAGGTTAGTCGGGTTTTGGTTCAAGGAGTTTCATCTACATTTTTCTTGTACCTTTTAAGGTCTACGCTTTAGTGGTCACTTATGGATCCTGGAGACTGGGTTACCATGGCAACCAGAGTTGCCTAATTAGATTCCCCAGCAGGGTGTAAGGTGGGTAACAAGAGCATTTAATCAGGTCTCTCGCTGACAGCAGGTGGCTACAGGCGCTCTGTGTGAGAGTTTGTGCTCACAGTTTTGTGTCGTGTGAATCCAGTGTGTTCACAGGATTTAAGCCCCGGATATCTTCAACAACAGATTTTTTTCACTTATTCCCACTACCTACGCAGGAGCTGTAACCTGTGATGCTCTGGTCAACACCTCAGTCTCTCTAAAACACTGCAGTGTTAGAAGACTTCCCTCCCCCTCCTCCCTATCTCTGCACTTTGACCTATCCAATACTAAAGTGGCAGCAACAGCTTCTGCTGAGACATCACCTCCTGTGTAAACACATACAGTGGAACACGGACAGTCTGTTTGCGTCATTTCTACATCTGTGATTTTCAGTGCAATAATCTGTTCTGCATGGCCTTACATCATGTTATTAAAGCCCAATTACAGGTGATAATTACTGCATCACATTTTAATAACAAGAAGCTGTTGTTACTTTGACAGCAGATGACAGGTGTTTAAAATAAATCCATTTGTATAACAGGTTATAAAAAATACATAATTTAATTGTTCTTTAATTGTTCTGCTTCCTAAGATCAAGATGACAACTGAATAATAAAACACATATCAAACTTTGCATGACGTTGCTTTTTTTTTTTGAAAATATTGTTTGCGTTGATTAAAGGGTAGGGTACCCTGAATGAGACAAAAATGTGGAGACACAAAGGGGAAAAGAACATAGACCAAATCCTGCAGAGACTGGAGACTGATCCTAGAATTGGTGATATGATTGGGGCACATGCCCTTCTAAGTGGGCTGTCAAACCCCCTTCCCCAATATTTATACTTTCAATAACTTAGTAAAACAATTTCTGTTTTTTTTTAATACAAAAAAGGAGATGTAAATTGTACGTTCTTGCAAAATACCTGAAGTGGAGGGATTTTTTTTTTTGACATACTTACTCCTTGGTAATAAGTCCTCTTGGTCCAGTGGGTGTGGCTAGATTGTGCTCTATACCATGGGTGTCTAGGATGTGTCTGGCTGCTGGACTCAGGCGCAATCTGGACGAGAAAAAGAGTCAGGATCAATTTCAAAAATCCCAGTCTATACATGAGTAGGTTAAAACCAAAGTTCATCTGTTTGGAACTACTGTTCCCTGCAAGGTGCTTACACCCCACATAGATGTGATTATTAGGGGTGGGAATCACTAGTGGCCCCATGATAAAGTGTTATCACATTGCTTGGGCCACGATATGATATTGTTGTGATTTTTAACATTTTGCAATACAGTGAGTATTGCTATACCATATATTGTGTAACTGTATAGCTTATTTCGCATTTCTGGTCTTTCTTTTATGTTTGTCTTATTTACACTGTATTTCATTTTCATGTAGCACATCTTGCAAACCTCATCTATATTTGTTGTACTAACTTCCTCCTGCTCTATGATGTCTCCTCTGCCAACCTTACTGGACAAACAGCTGATTTTATTTTTCCATTATCATAGATTTGAATTTATATTAGCAATTAATTTGAAGATTCGATACTTGGTAAATGAGACGATACGATATATCACCAGACAAAATATCACAATACTATGCTGTATCGATTTTTTCTCCCACCCCTAGTGATCATACAGACCTATTTTAACTCTAGAGGTTTTAGTATCGGTGTAACTCATGTATATGATTTCAGCTGCCACAAAGACGGTAAGTGACACTCACGGTCCTGATGTGGCTGCTGGTGGGGGAGGAAGTGGAGAGGGGGCGGCAGTGGGGGCCACAACTGGGGCAGCAGCTGCCTGTGGAGCAGGTGGAGCAGGGGATGGAGCTGCAGCATCTGGAGGGGGGATCTCAACCTGCTTCCAGTCTTGCCCTTCCTCCACCATGAGGGCAATGAGAGTGCCAAGGGGCACGCTGCGACTGCCCTCCTCCATCTGTAAAGAGGGGGAGAGAGGCACTTATACAGCGAGTAGAGAAAATTAGAATGAGTGCAGTCGCTAGAGCTAGAATGAAAAGGTGAAATGGAAGCAGAGATAAAATACTTTGAGAGAAAGTGAATATGAGGTTAATCAGTTCACCGTTAAGCAGATTAACATTCTGTCAGCGCTTAATAAGGAAGCACTTCAAATGACTCAACCTGCACATTTAAATCAATTTGAATTATTTCAGTTTTATTTCCTATCAACTTTAAAAAAGCAGAAAAAACCCTCACTGTCCTGGAATAGGATCCTGTGGTGCAACTGATGTATTTCCCTGCTGTTAGAAACTGTCAACTATTGATTCACTATCTTGTTACAGAGTAATCCAAATCTATTGCTAGCCTCTTGCAACTCTCCCCAAGCTCAAAGGTGTTGTTCCTCAGTCAATATTGATCAGCGTAAATGAAAGGCCAGGCACAATCCACAGGGCTGAGCTACTGCACTTCATCTCTTTTCAAAAGGCATCCACTCAGTGAGCTACCTCCTAAGGGTGGCTACAAACAGAAAGGAATTACACAAGGAGCAGAAAAAAAAACATATTATCAAGCAGCATGTTTGGCACCATTGGCAGTCATCAACAAATAGCTGATAACCTTTGATTTATACCAGCTAACAGAGTAGAGAACAATAGGTGTTTGTATGTCACAATGAAATTGATTACATAAAAAATCAGTATATTCAGAAATATTCATGTACTCTGCCTCCCTGCCTACCTCTCGCATGCAAACAAAACAAAGCAGCACCGCAGTAATCATACCCACCTAACTGGAAGGAAGCGCAGAATATATGAACACCTGCGCTCATGTTTACATGCTTATTCTGGGCTTATTTGGTTCAGTGTACACCCTTTGTCCTGGAGCAAGGTCATTAAGATTAAGACGCAGAGATGAACGTGCAAATCACTGTGCAGCTCTACAATGAAACCTTTGGGGGGGATCGATGGAGTAGCTACTTGTGAGTAAGGCTGCACGATTTTGGCCAAATATAAAATCCCAATTTTTTCCTGAAAGCTCGATTTCTATTTTTTTCAGTGACAACTTCACCAAAGTTTACTTTAATAAGTTTTTCTATTATGTCCCAAAACTAAACCACTGAAAACGATTTTAGTGCATATTCCCGAGCCAATAAGTTGCACTGTATCACTGCCGAGGAAATGCCTTAGGACAGAAGAAGAGTACAGAGCATGCGTTTAAAGGTTGTTTTGGCCAGGCACTCACAGGCACCATTTAAGAGTTACACTGTGTGTCATATAAACCTGTTGGGGGAGATGAAATGGTTTACAGCCACCCAAAACGCTGTTTCCGTGGGGATGAAATGCCCATAAAAAAAAAAAAGTGACATCTGAATTTGTTTCCATGTGGACTGTTTGATACCGCCTTTAGACAGACTTTGCAGAGAGGAGTGGTTTGCTCTTTGTTCGAAACTGCGAAGCCGTGACAATTCCACACGACTGACTTGCTCTTGCCCTATTTAGCCACAAAATTATCGCCTTTTTTTGCAAACATCATGTTTTTTTACACTGGTGTGTCTGGGAACTGGGGAGCGCTCTTGCAGGAAGGGGAGCCTACGGTGCGAAGAGAGAAAAAAATCAATTTGACGATTTAAATTTTCTTAACATCTTCATAATCAAATCACCCGATTACAATTTAAAATTGAATTAATCGTGCAGCCCTACTTGTGAGAGGCTGAACCTTGAAGGCTTAACAACAGGTCTGATGTGTGATTAACACACGGCTGCTGTGGAAAATGGTGATTGTGTGTGAGTGTGCGGGCCGGTCATGGAAATCCCAACCCATGTTACTTTCCACAGAGATCCTTTGCTTAAGTGCCGGGGGAATTTTCCACATGTAGAGACCACAGGAGTGTGGACTGCAGTGTCATGACACAAGCAAGGCTGTGATATGTGATATGTTGTCAGACAACCATTGACATATCTCTGTGTAAGTGAGGAGAAAATTATATCTCTGGAGAATAAACGACCTAAAGACGTGCACCATGATATTCTCCATTTATTTAAAGCGCTATGACATGCTTACACACACACACTATCATGTGTGCATGTGTCATGGAATAGTCTTACTGACAGAAGCAGAACAGATCAAAATGTAGGTGCCAGAGAATGATTGTAGTTATAAATACACACAAAAATATAAAACATAGGAGACCTACTCACACAGATTTGCATGTTCTCAGAAAATGTTATTTGCCTCTTAGAGAAAAAAAAAGAGAGCAAAATACATATGAGAAAATGCAAAGAGTTACTAGAAATTCAAGAAAATAGTAGACTCATAAGTCAGCTGCAAAACAGAAAAAACACCAACTGAATCCTGATGTTTCTTTTTGTTTGCTGCCAATCCTTCCAGCACCTCTATGGTCCAACCACCACAAATCAAGGCTTATCGTGTTCGGATTGAAGTCAAACATTTATGCATCCTCATCATGTATTCTGGGATCTGTGCAAATTTACACAAGATGATGGGGTGTACATTAGGAGTGGGAGAAAAAAATTGATACAGCATAGTATTGTGATATTTTGTCTGGTGATATACTGTATTGTCTCAATTACAGAGTATCGAATTTTTCAAATTAATTGCAAATATGAAGTCAAATCTATGATAATGGAAAAATAAAATCAACTGTTTGTCAAGTGAGGTTGGCAGAGGTGACATCATAGAGCAGAAGAAAGTTAGTACAACAAAAATAGATGAGGTTTGCAAGATGTGCTACATGATAATAAAATGCAGCGTAAATAAGACAAACATAAAGGAAAGACAAATACTGATTAGCTTAACAGTTGAAAAAATGTATCAATTGCAATGTATGGTATTGCAATACTCACTGTATTGCAAAATGTTAAAAATCGCAATAATCTCGTATCATGGACCAAGTATTGTGATAAAATCGTCTTGATAAAATCGTCTTGATAAAATCGGCCACTAGTGATTCCCACCCTTAGTGTACAACAAGATTCATGTTCACTGACTGTTAAAGATATTGAGATGATACAGTTTTACAGTAATATTCGCCAACATTATGTGAAGGTTTGAAATTATAATCACGGCAATGACAGTGACTGCCAGATGAGGGCATTTCTTTAAAGTGAAGATGGTGAAAAACTATGAGACGGTTCACCACATATGTTAACACCAAATACGTAAATAATAAATAAAATGTAATCTTGTAGCTCACCACTTTGGAGGTAAACTCATACACTATCAACTCACTGGTACCAGGATTAAGGGAATTTTCATAGTTAATTCACATGCACGCCATACAGGATGCATGAATGTCTGGGACACAGTTGTGTAGGGCTCAACACTGCCATCAAATGGTTACTGAACACACTTTATGGCAAGTATAGATGGTACACTCAGCTTCAGCAATGGTTGAAATACACAGCTTATTTGTGCCCTGGGCTCATAACTGGAAAGAGACAATCTGCTTTCTTCAGCTTTCAGCTCTGTGGCAACAATCTCAGTGAAAAGTCTAACAGATCTCAAATACTGCTCTTCAGGGACCTCTCCAGAGCCCATCAGCTATGCTAACGACATTACAAAGTCAGACGAAACCATTTATGAGGTTTAACCTACTTATTGCGGAAACTGTTATCACACAGCCAAAAAAGCCCCCCGAGAATCTAACAGCTCAGCAACAATAAGCTTCGCCACAGCAGTTATTAACGTGTCTTTTAACTTGTTTTGTGGTGGATCCGCCTCTGATTGTGCATGAGTGGATTTTACAGCAAAGGGAAAATGATTTTCACCTATACGCCACTGTATAAACAGAAGAAGAGAAAGCTTTTGTTTACAGAGTGAGAAGAGGCTTGACACCAATCAATGAAGCATGACTGATGCCACACAAACAGGATTGTAGTCTCATCCTTCTTCCTGGAAATAATAGCCTCCATGCCCAATAAAATCTAGAAAGACACAAAGACACGATTCACTCTGCAGCCCTCAAGTCAGCTCTGTCCCTCTGAACAGGGATGGGTGATATGGGCTAAAAAATTTCTCACTTTAAGATTTGCCATTCTGGCGATAATGATAGAAGTCCTGATAAAAATATTATAATTCCATTTTGACTCATTTTGTCTTGAGAACACCTGTTGGAGTGGTCAAATAAGATACTTAATCACACGTTTAAGTGGTAGGTTATAGAGAAAACTAATGACATCAAACAAGTCTCAAATGTGAAAACATTTTCAACATTTGTTGAAAATTCTTATTGCACAGAGTGAACAGCAGCAGATCCACTGATCGAAGTCAGGCATACATGATTGCGCTCATCTAAACCCCAATCTTGAAGGAAATCCCTCATGCGGGGCCTCATTCAGTAACCAGCTGCTCAGAAACGTCTTCTTCATTACCTTCAGCCATGTTTGTTTGTTTCTGCTCTGTGTGGGCTTTGTGTGCTTACGTCATCAACTTGCATTTATCGTATTTATCACAGGATGGCAAATATTTATCATGGAGGATTTTTCTAATGATTTATCGTGAACACCATTTATTTTTTTATTTTTTTTAGCTTTCTACCCACTTAAAAACAGTTTCAACTGTCAAGAAAATCTCCATCAAATGCTGTTTCAACTGCATTCAACCTTGTTTCCTCCAAAGGCTCCATGCCATATAAATATTAAGCCCCCCCCCAACACACTCACTCCTGGACTAATAATATGGACTGCATACTGATTAAAATTCTATGGCTGTGTCTCATTTCAGAGACCGCATCGTGATAAGCGCGCTTAATGGCGCTTAGCTGAGTGCACTGCCGTTTTGCGCCGTTCTGTGCCCTTCCTGTGTCCCATTTCAGATACAGCAGCCATCGAACGGCTCATCTGACGCGTACGTGAGGTCACCACGCGGCACAAACGGTGTCCTGTTTGGCACAAAATACTAAGCGCGCTTCAAATTCGGTCTCAAAACCACACTACCCCCGCCTCTTTTTCAAGCGTGCATTTATGCACGCTTTCGTGCCGTCGGTATCCCAGAATTCTTTGCATGCCGCTGCACAGCTGTGCATTTCAGGTGAGAGGCTGGACTCGCTTGGAGACACAGCGCGTCTTCGAAGAAAATACAAGCAATCCAAAAACAGCAGACAGTCAGCTCAGGCTGTATGAGAGCATGATCTCTGAACTCACTAAAATCTGTAAACCAAACATTATAGATTTAGAGACGAACTGATCCGCTGTGTTACAACTATCAAAAACATTAGAAATGAGAAAGCTGACAAAACTACAGCAGAGTATCAGGACAACATTGAGTTTTTTTTTTTCTTTTAAGATTTAGAGATTAAAGTTGTAAATTTAGGAGAATAAACTCATATTAAAAGAAAAAAAACCTCAATGTTGTCCTGATACTCTGCTGTAGTTTTGTCAGCTTTCTTATTTCTAATGTTTTTGATTGTTGAAGCAGAGCGGATCAGTTCGTCTCTAAATCTTTAATGTTTGGTTAACAGATTTTAGTGAGTTCAGAGATCATGCTCTCATACAGCCTGAGCTGACTGTCTGCTGTTTTTGGATTGCTTGTAATTTCTTTGAAGATGCGCTGTGTCTCCAAGCGAGTCCAGCCTCTTACCTGAAATGCGCAGCTGTGCAGCGGCACGCAAAGCATTCTGGGATACCGACGGCACGAAAGCGTGCATAAATGCACGCTTGAAAACATGCTAAGCGTGCTTAGCATTTTTTAGCATCTCGTGCCAAATGGGACACCGTTCGCACCGTCGTGACGTCATGCACGCTTCAAATGCACCGTTCGACGGTGCAGAAGGGCACTGAGGTCGATGCGGTCTCTGAAATGAGACACAGCCTATGTGTTGTTTGCAGCCTGTGGGCTGATATTTTGAGATGATTTGGTTAGAAATTCTGCAGCGCTCATTACAGGCCTTTCACCTGCTTTGACCTGAGAACACAGCAAGGTCAGAGAGTGATTTATACCGGCAATTGATAAATTGATTTTCTGGGTGACAGTGTGTGGAGATGAAGAGGAGGGGAAAGGGAGTGACAAATGGGAAGCTGACAGGTAAGCACTGCGAAATGTGTCAGATATCTTCATCAATGTCCCCATACATCTTTCAGTCATTTTCTATCATGACATTCATTAAATTAATCACCACCCAGTCCATGCTCAACTACTTTCTGAAGCACCTATCAGTCCATTTTCAGATGGGTATCCTCTTTTTAAACTTGGCAGCATTCATCTTTAGACTCGTCTGAACACGATGAAACCACGGTATATAAGTATGAGCACACATGCCATTTGCTGCAGGCAATGATTGATTGTACTCTGGGCAGATTTTCTGATTGAAGCCTCCAGGTCAGGGTATAACAACACAATCCGAGTATGATGAGATACAGTAATCTGTGCTCATGGTGCTGGTGCTATCTACAACCCCAGCCTCCAAAGGATCTATCCCCTGTTCTCTAACCCCCAAGAGCAATGGATTGGAAATTGGTAGAGGGCCATAGCAGTAGTTGACCCCCATAAATAACCTCTGTGGAGCAGAGGAAGTCCCACGTCTCCAGCAGCATGTCAGAGCATTTGGCCACAGGAGGTAATTATGGTAGCCTCTAAATTAGAAACCTACTAGGCGCATAAAGAGACACATTTACACCACTGAGGGCGAATGCACTCTGACCCAGACAAAGTGGATGCAGCGCTGACCAAACCGTGTGAGGGGAGTGTGCAAATCTTCAACACACCGCCACTAGCTGCTGTTTTTCTTCTTAATGATGCGCACACTCTCCATCATAGAGAGAGTGAGCCGGGGGGCTTATCTAATGCAGACCATCTTTCTCTGCCAGATTCAGCTCTGAAGCCCCCTACCCCCAATTCTTGGGTGGTTGCTATGGAAACTACCTCATCCCCACAGTGGCAAAGGAAAGATGGAGTAAGGGAGTGTGGAGGAATGGATGCAAGGGAACGAGGGGCAGAAAAAAAAAAACAACTAAAGACGTTTGGTTTATTACAGACATCATTCCCCTGATGCTGTGTTGATTAATTATACTTTTTGAGCCTATGCACGTACGACAAGAATCTACTGTCTATGAAGAGTGTAGTTCCTCGTTTGTATATTTGTTTTTATCAAGGCTGCACAGACAGACACAGTATCTAATTAAACATGGCTCCTGAATGCAATCGTGTCCAAAGAGGCATGGCCTGGGAACATGGATTGTTGGAGAGTAGGTCTCGGTGGCATGGAGCAAGGGCATGTGCATTCATACAGGCACAGGAATACACATAGCAACAACTCACTATTACCTTTAAGTAAAGGAAAAAAAAAAAATAGTTGGGAAATAACGCCTTCTCCTCCCACTTCACATGCTGCACATCAGTCAAACATGCAAAAGGAGATCAAACATCGTCATCTCTGTTCAGGAGGAGGAACATGTGGTGGTGTTCTGATAAAAGACAAGTAATAGCTCGGTCTTTGGCAGCCTATTAAAAATTCAAAAGACAAACAGCCTGATGAGGGGGTTGGAAGGAGGGAAATATTTGTCACTGAAGACACCTTGTCAAAGCTTTGCTATCACTGTAGCGTAGCCAATTAGCACAGGAAAAGCAGGAGCTCTGCAACACTTAGGCATAAATTACACAAGACGAGATTCTATGTGACTAATACTATCCTACCATATTATAAGACCAGTGTGAATGCAAATTCCTGAATTTATATTATACATACATATTCAGTAAAAGAAGAATTGATAGTAAGTGAAATCAAAAGTTGGGTTTTAAAAATCACGGTAATATAAAAACTCGTCAAGCAAACACACGCACGCACGCACGCACGCACGCACGCACGCACGCACGCACGCACGCACGCACGCACGCACGCACGCACGCACACACACACACACACACACACACACACACACACACACACATCAAAGCGATAATCAAGGCTCAATTATACTAGCAATGTGTCAAACACTCCCTTCTCTAATTATGTCCTGTTAGAGAGGTTAATGTGTGTGTTTCCCTCACTCACCAGTATCTTTGCCAAGACACCGTCATCATTTGATTCCATGGTAACCACAGCCTTGTCTGTCTCAATCTCACAAAGGGCGTCACCTGCAGCTACAGCCTCACCTAAAAAAAAAAAAAAAAAAAAAAAGGAACAAGTCAAAACATTTTTAAAGCTATAAAACATTGTCCACATGTAAAGCTCGTACTTTCCGAAATTGTTATTTCGGAGAAGTTCCTGACCTCTGCTAATTTGAAAAATGTTTAATTTTAGCCCTGACTGGGTATGAATGAATGAGGATAAACTAGCATTATGCTCAAAACAACTGCTCTTTCACTGGGGAACACACACAGAGAACAAATTGGTCGCGAGAATTCCCACTGAAGAGACAAAAAGGTTACGCAAGAAAATAACTGCTCGGTCTCTGGCCTACATATCAAACGCAGAGCCTAATCAATGTTTCATGGGAAAGAATGTGAGATATGAAAATGCAGCGTGTCTGATGGAAGGCCGAGATCTTTGCCTATCCTTAGAATCTGAGAAGATTCCCACTGGTCCACCACAGGAGAGAGATGGAATATATTAGCATCTGCTTAGCAATGAAAGAGGATGGCAATTAGGGGCCAATAGTTCTCTTCTTCTATGTTTATATATCCACTTGAGCAACATCGTTGGTGTAACGGCTAAAAATCAGGTTTCAATGAAAATTACAGAGAAAAATTGACGTTCTTCTCCCACTGGTAGGAGAGCTGAGGATGCAGTTTAATGTCCAGGGTAAGCAATATTTTGGTTTAACCTTAGAGCACCGGTTGTTTTTACTGATTCATAAAAAAAGGAAAAAAAAGGTGACAAATGATGCAGCCTTTTTTTGTGAAATATGCCTGTGTGGTCAAATCTGAGCAGGAGGTAGGGAACATGAAAGAAAAGGTCAAGGGTCATTTATATCCAATTTCCGCTCACTGAAAAAAGGTGTCAGAAGCAGCATCACCTGGGCATGTAACACAGAGTTGAAAAACGACAAAGGCAAACAAGTAAAACCCAAAATTATCACCTATGTTAAAGATATGAAGTTTAAAGGTCCTGTTTGTGTTACAGAGCTGTGTGGGGAGGATAAAATAGAAACAGGATAAACAAGAAAGCAAATGTGGATGGGTGAGGGGAAGGTGGAAAGAGCAGAGGGAGTATTGACATGGGAAGCCCCTCTGAGAGCAGGCAGTAGTGGAGTCAAGATTGGATTTGTATGAGGCTTTAACACTGAATGACCCCAAGGGTTGGCTGTGATGTGCAATATTAAAGATTAAACAGGCGACCCCCAGCCTTCTTCACCTCTGCTCTAGTGGAAAGGCACTGGTCGAAACAAGCAAAGAGTCTATCGAGGTCCGCAGGTCAGGACTGTGTTAACTTACCGGCACAAAAGTCTGCAAAAACAAGACGCTTTTTTTTTAGTGAAAGTAAAAAAAAAAAAAAAAACCTTACACCAAGAGGATGGTTAGGATAACGCTTGATCAGTAAGATGGACTAAAAGTTCCTCAAACAAATTAAATCGTGGAATTACATAAAAACGAGTGTTTTATTACTTCCTCTCTTAATTCAACATGATGAATTTATGCATTAAAAAAAGAACAGCATCCGGGCGTGTTTTTCTTGTCACTGAGAATTTATCTTTCCTTTTCTCACTTTCACAGGCATGTACATATCTCACCCCGAGCCACAGAAGCACATGGCAACACAGTGCGGCAGCCAATCAGAATTCAGCGTGCCGCCTCCTGATAAATGAGTGTACGGCTGAGGCGCCTGGCTGAACAGAGTTGCTAAGCATTGATGAATAGTGACTGCACCGTTTCCCTGAGCCAATTACCTACCAGAGGAGGCCCTCAGGTGCTCCAGCGCTCAGGCGTTAGCTTTGCAGAGCAATGTGATGTCATTGAGCAAATGATTATTGCTAGAGTTGGTCCATCAGTGAGGAAAAAAGCAAATGCTGAGCTTTGAGATCCGATATTAGGGGCATTACTGTAAGAATTACATTTATCGGAATGAGCCTGCCTTAACTGTTAGCCTGCAATATAGTTGGTTTTAGCTGGTTAGTTCGAAGAAATCAAGCATTAAAGTGGAGTAAAAGCTAGCAAGTGATGTCTATTACCTTCTTTCTTCAGCCATTTGACAATATTCCCCTCCTCCATGGTCGGGGAGAGAGCAGGCATTTGCACCTTGAGTGCGCTGACACCTACAGGATGAAGAGAGAATTGCACATTGCACATCAGGGGTATTTCACTTAAAATCATATGCAGAACCTTTCAACCAGCATTAACTAGGCCGCATGAGTGTCAAAACAAATTATATCACACACCCACAAGTACACCCACAACAGTGTTGGGTTGTAAAAGACCCAAGGACATGAAACATGTTCAACTCAGGAGCAAATCATTGGGAGAGACGGGACTGCTTTGACAGACAAACGCTGGCAAGAATCCTGGCAGGGTCACTTATGTAATTGTGATCCGGTCTGACACTGCATCAGAGGCTGCACAAGCACTTGTGCTCTTTCAGGTTTTTGCGTTACCATCGCAGCCCCCCTCCCAGTCACCAGCTGCAGTCACTCAGAAGGTCAGAGCTCAACTGACACAATGAATGAAGGACAAAAAAGGAAACACCTCTTCATTTAGTGTTTCTCATACACCCTGTGAGCTTCTTGCATAATGCAGACATCTATAAGTGTACAGAAAAAACAATGGCGATATATGAAAGCCTTTTGTCAAGTGGTATTGAGTTCATTTCTGGATGTGACCTCAACAAGCCAACCAGAATACTAAACACATTTTCCTGGAGACAATATGCTACTCGGTGAGCAGAGACTGGAGAACTCATTTGAATCACTGCAAAACATGGACTTCAAAGCGATTCTGTGCTACATTTGGCCTACATTTATTATTTTCATACAGGTTCATCTGCTGATTAACTTTAAATCCCATAAACAAAGTACTGTAAAGGAATGAAGTTTCCAGAGTCCAAAGTGATGTTTTTAAACTTCCTTTTTCATTATTATTATTGTTATTAGTATTATTATTATCACCACACCTGCCTGAAACTCAAAGAACTCATCCCTTACATTCAACAGCAAGTCATCACATTTTAAGAGCCTGAACTGGTAGGTATTAAACATGGTTGCCTAAACAAACAACTAGAATCTTTAACAATTATCAGCACTTCAGACTTGAATTAATCCATAAAATCTTACACAGAATCAAAGGTTTTCACAAGGAACTGTTGATCTGACAGCTGTGTAATCGCATTGGAATTTAGCATCATTTATCAAAGTTCTTTTTTTTCTTTTTCTATTAAAAGATGGAAATTCAAAGTACAACATGTACAGGATGTAATCAAGAGTTTCCCTCTTTTTCCACAGACTGGACAATCATGAGGTCATTTTAAGTTTGCTGCCAATAAACCTTTCCTGTCAAACATGCAGAGCTTGTGTGGTGTCAAATGCATGTTGTGTGCTGCTGCCATCTGCTGGATATTTTGGAATAACACAAGCTTGCATACACGTAAAGGGAATTGTGTTTTTTGTTTTGATTCTGTCTGATTTTCATATATCAAAATACTGTTAAATCAGATGGCACCCAAGTTTTACATTGTCAAAAATGACTCTTCTAACATCTCTGTGTTGGTGTTGCTCTTTGTATCACTCATTCCTCTTACCAATATCAAGTCAAGCCATTTACCAAAAACTATTTACATATTTTATCTAATATGGCGGCAAAAAATCTATTTGATAAAGTTGACAAAACTGTAGGAGAAAGAAACTATAAGAGAAATTATCATATCATATCCTAAACCTAACCAACATTATAAAACATAAAAAAGTTATCCCTTGTTGTGTCAAGCACAGGGGTTCTCAAGTCCAGTCCTCAAGGCCCACTGTCCTTCATGTTTTGGGTGTTCCCCTGCTCCAACACACCTGATTCAAATGATCAGCTCGTTATCAAGCTCTGTAATGGCTTAATAACGAGCTGATCATTTGAATCAGGTGTGTTGGAGCAGGGAAACATCCACAACATGCAGGACAGTGGGCCTTGAGGACTGGACTTGAGAACCACTGGTCTAGCTTAATCTCACAAATGTAATACACATGGTTTTAGGACATTGTCGTTCAACCACTGGACATATTTGGCCTTTTAAAAATTAAGGACACATTGCAGTAGGAAAAACATGTTTTTGTTATAAATCTGAAAACTATTATAGTTTCTTTTGAATGTTATTTTACACGTTAGCTCACGGTCCTCGTTGGTGTCATTGGTACTGTTACTCAGGCTTTTCTTCAGTTTTTGTGTATTTGTATGCCCCAGGTTATGCCAGTTTTGTCAGTGGGAAATCTTCCTAGTTCTGAGATAAGGTCAAGATCTCTGGTTTCCCAAATTTGGGGTCTGGATCCTCTACGAAGTTGCAAGATACTGATGAGGGAGATTAAACTTGCATATTTTATCACTTTTTTTTTTAATTATTAAGAAATTAAGTGGTTGAATATAAAATAACACTCGATTAATAGTCGGGGTCTGGCACCATAGTACAGGAGGTCCTTGGTTTATAACCCAAATAAATCGCCGTAGTTATACTAACGAGATTAGAGAGATTTCTACATGCTGAATTACAGCGGTTGTAGTGGGAACGTTTAGGTCTTTCTGTCAGCTAAAATCCGTGTGTCTGTAAGCAATTTTAGAGGCTAGAAAGAAACAGAGGAAACTCGCACCTTCACAGATCGCCAAATGATCAAAGCATAGTTTAGATTTTTAATAATATACCTCAAGCACACCACCAACACACAACGTGTCTTCTGCAATCATCTAATAGAGCTTTTTTTTTTTTACCACGTTAACAGAGACTGAATGTGTCGAATCTTAAAATAAAGTAGATTTATGGTCGAGCTATCGCTTGGGATTGAATTAGACTAACAAAATGTCCATAATGTTTAAACTAGGCGATAATCTGTTCGTTATCATCTTCGGACCCCGCCTACCCGTAAAATTACGTACTAACACCCGCACTTTACAGACTGAAATGTAAAACAAATAGTCTTCCAACTCTACGAAATGTTATTTGATACTGTATCATAACAAAAAAAACATCTGAGTGACAGAATTACATGACATGTAAAGTAGAAAATCAGTGTCCGCGGCTGTCAGTGCACACAAGGACAAACGATAACTCAATATTGAGCTGTCAACACTCACCGAGGAAAAACGGTGACTGAAAGAAGTGTCTGACATGTTCCTGCCACGGTTGTTTATCCCATATACATTTATTAAAATTAGTTATTCTGAGCCCGAATAAAATCCCTTGACGACCGAGACGCAAGGAGGCCGCCATGTTGTCGTCCTCCGTCGGTGTGAGCGGCGTCCACACAAATGCCTGACGATAAAACGACAGGAGAGGGAAACAACGATATCATCTTTACTAGACCTGTGTATATTTACAAGTCTGTTGAAATTTCACCATTTTATAATATACCAGGGGATTCCCGACCCTATAACTGGCATCGGGAGTGTTTTATTAGTGTGTTAAGATGTAAAGAAGCAGGCAATGAAGACTGACGCTCGTGGGTCCCTCCAGGACTTGAATACGGTTGTTCTGCTGTTGTAAATGGTTGAAACTCCAATTACCTGGTCGTTTGTTGCCATCTGCTGGAGAAAATTTCAAACGCTTCGGTTCATGTTGTAAGTACAGTAAATAAAAATTAATTTCTGCCTCTCTAAAATGAACTCTGACACAAGCCTTGCGAGAACTGCCACCTGCAGTATCCTGGGTGGCAATGTCGACAAACGTAGGCCTATCAGACTCTGATCAACTCACTGTAGATAGTAAGTGTTTGAAAAGTGGTTATTTTAAATTTCTTGTACACGTCTTAAAATTCGAGGAATGCTGAAGCTTGTTTGGGGTGATGGGATGGCTCAGAGCATGCACTTGAAAATTTCCCTTAAATTTCCCAAGTTTTGAATTTAAAACTTGATTGTTGGTTTGGCGTGTTTTGATATTCATAGTGAGCTTAACAGTAAGAGAATATTATGACACACACACACACACACACACACACACACACACACACACACACACACACACACACACACACACACACAATACATATAAATTAATGTGTATCTATCTATCTCTTTCTCTCTCTCTCTATATATATATATATGTATATATATATATATATATATGTGTGTGTGTGTGTGTGTGTATATATATATATATATATATATATATATATATATATATATATATATATATAAATATATATGTATATATATGTAGACATGGAGAGAAAGAGAGAGAAAAATTAAATGAAGAAATGTCTCATGTTTTTAAGTGGTTTGAACTGAAAAGCTTTCACTTTGATAAATGCAATTCACGATCTTCTGCACTAAAAACACATTATTTCCCAAAGATACACTCATACTTTTTTATTAACAGGAATTAAATTCATCAAGTAAGGTAAACAACATTTCTAGAAGTAACCATTGATGAAAATTTTACTTGCAAGAAACATATAAACCTTGTCTGCAGAGGATTGATGAAAATGCTTGGTATTTTGTGAAAACTTTATAAATTTGATCATCCATCCTTCAGTCTAACAATACATTACTGTTTCATTTTTTTTTTTTATCTCAATTGCTGCAACATTGTCTGTGGTTCTACCTATTCTTCCAGTCTTTTTAATCAACTCTGTATACAGAAGAAGTTTTTTAAAATAGCTTCTTACTCCAACTCACAGGAACCTTCTGCCCCTCTATCCAAGAAGTAATCCATTTTATCTGAAGATAAACTGAATGCACTCCAAATCTTTATTTTTTTTTATCTTCAAATATCTCAAATTAAAAAATATCTTGTATCTTTCCATGACTTTTTTACCCTTTCTTCTGATGTTCACAATTATCCAACTAAGAAGAAATGATCTCTATCTCCCTTTTTGTCGTACATCCAAACACCAACACTACACCACCTTTACAGGTCCTAAACTTTGTAGTACTCTACCTTTGCCATTAAAGTCTCACTCCTCCTCAGCAGTCTTTAAAGTTGAGCTTAGGAAAAAAAAAAAAAATCTCATGAAGTCCTGAGCTCAGTCCTCCACTCTCACATTGTGATCTGTAACTTCTGTTGACTGTCTTATTTTTTTTTTCTTTTTATTATTATTCATGTTTCTCATGCTTGAAATTTGCAGTCCAGAAATATATTGTATTTTGTCATTGGATTTCCTGTTTTTATCCCCTACTTGGTTATTTACCATCAATGTTCATTTCAGACAAGAGATGACTTTAGATAAGCCCTTGGGCTTCCCTTCACTCCCTGTACTGTATTGTAAAATATAAAATGATTATGTTTTCTTTTATTTTTTATATATTTTTTTCAATCATTTTTCAATATTTGGTGCAAACAAATGAATTAAACTAAACTTAACAAAGAGTGAGTTGATAGGTTCTACTAGTATCTCCTGCAGGTGACAAACACATAGAATGTTAATTTATGGGGATGAAATTTAATTTATTTGTCTAAAGGCTTTTTGCCTTCATTCATCTTTTCATTTTATTCATTCACTCACTCATTTAAGAAAACTGTTTGGAACTTTTTTGAAGGATGAAATAATGTTGCATGCAATCATTAGTAAAGCCAATAACATTACACACCCAAAATACACATTTTACCAATGGTATCATGCACAAGATTTCTCCTGTATAAAGGGAAAAAAAGTACTGAAATGACACCAGGATTATTTTATTTTTTAGATTAATACAATATTTGTAATCCATTTAGTCTGATGTTTTTTTCAGGAGTTGTTAAATCCATATTTGTATTTTAAAATGGTGCGTGTGACAGTAAATCTGAATATGATCTGGGTTTAAATAAACAATGAGACAAACAGGGAAATTGGTCAAATAAATGCTGCTGAAGTCCATGGGAAATGATCTACGAACAATCCAAAAATCTTATCAGGAACACCCCGTAACCAGCTGGCACAACAACAAACCTTTGCAAGAAAACTTCCTCATGTGTTTGTCTCATTAAAATTGAAGAAAAGGCTATGAATCACTGTTTGCTATCAGTTGTTTATGTAGGTACAGCGACAAGCGCATGCAGATGAAGCTACCCATTCTGAACTCCTAATTCATCCACTGTGCATCATTTTCACAGTTTTTTTTTTTTAAATTCACATTTATGCCATTCCTTTCTTTGTGAAGTTGTGTCTTATTCAGGACTGTGTCACAGCTTCCCATGAAGTAAAGCTGCATTAGTGACACAGCTCTAATCTGTCCAACTCACAGTTGGGGCTGACTGCCTCACAGGTTCATTTGGGTGTGAAGAGAAAGTGATAAGGGGCTCTGATAAGCTGGAGCTGTGTACCTGCTGAAAGAGCACAATAGCCTCACTGAGCAGCTGGGGACACAGGCACAAAATCCCAGCTGGCTGTCTTTATGCCCACGATCAGACTATCTTTTATCACTTCCCTGTCCTTCCCCCAGCAACTATCTGATTGAATTAATGGCCTGGCTTTTAAATAATAAAACAGCTCTTGTGTGGCTCATTCAAATCTGAAAATAATTTTCTGACAATAAGAGATAAAGGGCAGATACTGCATATTCGTCCTTTTTCTTTTTTTTCTTTTATCAAAACAAAGGCAGCCATTGTTTTGTCTGCGCAACCTGGTGTAACACAAAACATTGTACATGTTCAGACGTTTTGTTTTTATCTTTGCAGGCAGTTGTCAGCACTATTCATGGCATAGTTTTGACGTGCAAAAGAAAAAGACAGACATGGATTAAATATCACCTCACAGCCGTGCGCGTGTGCATGCGTGTTTATTTGTTCCTAACTATATCTTTTACAACCGGTTTGGGTGCATATTTTAGGTGCTGTGTGCTATCATGCCAGCCTCTGGTGCCCTACAAGCAAGAGGTGTAAATTAACTCGTTTAACTGGTTAAAAGGTGACTTCCCAAATTACTGAGAACAATAAACCTCCAGTTGATTCTTAACAACTACAAGAGCAAGGCCTCTGCCAATCTCTCACAAAAGCTGTCATTTATGCATATTAAGAGCTGATGTAAATCAGATGTGAGTGACTGCCATGGTCCCTGACACACTGAAGGTATGTAAAGCCTGTGTTTGCATTTACAGGACGGCGGTCTGTTAGGAAAATCAAACCTTGGCTCCTTTGTGCCGTAGGGGATAGATCAGTTAGAATCATTTGCCTGAAACAGTGCACTTATCTTCTCTGAGTTACATCAAACATGTGCCCATATCTCAGCTCAGGGCAACATTAGCTTTAATCAGAGGGGAAACTTCTTTCACATTTCAAATTCTAATTTCATGTTGTCTCATTTTATGATGACTTCATGAATAAACAAATGGTACATGTGCCCTTACATCACCCTTGATGTCTCAGACATGAAGACAGATTTAAATAGATGAGCAGCAAGAGCCACATCATCACCTTCACAGTGTTGGTCAAGTAAAGTAAAACCTGTGTCTCCTTGGCTCTGGCATCCCAAACCATGCCTCATTCTTATAGCTCTGTTTCAGCAAGGGCTCACCTCAAAAGGTTAAGTTTATAGAGGAAAGGAAGGGAGAAAAAAAAACAGAAGATGTCTGTACAGGAAACAGACTGAAAGTCATAGGCATGGGTGCTAGGGTAAGAGGTCTTTTAAGGCAAGAGCTCACCTTGCAGGATAAGGCTATATGCCCCATTTACCCCCTACTTCCTCATTTTTTTGAGGGGAAAGAGAAGAGGCCTGACTGGATGTACAGCCTGACCCCTGCTACATGCTGTATCTCCCCCTGTGCCTTCATTTTCAGGGGGTACGCTCATGATGATTGATTTTTTTTGTAATTTATTTTTTATTGACATTCAGAATCAGACATTCACAATGTATACATCATGTAAGCAGACTACTTGCATCTGTTGTCTGCCCTGAAATATAATAATGATGACTGATTTAAAAGTATTACTATCATTAAGGTTCATATACAATGCAAAAAGATTTTTTTTAAAGTTCTAACTTTTTTAATATCATGTGAAGTGTGATATTTTGATTAATCACCAATCAGCAATGTTTAAATATGTTTTCCTTTTGAATGTAAAGTGGATATTATGAATCACAGCTTGTACTGCAAGAGGAACCACAAAGCATGATTATGCCATATGAATAATGATGCAAAACAGACTCTAAACAATGCAATATGATGAATATGCACTTCAATCTGAATTCATAGCTTGCTTGTCTCATGTTATAAAACAATATAGCAATCAGTAGGTATTAAATCGATCCAATCAGGAGCTGTCACTTGTCATATACTCTCACTGCATGCTATTTTCCTCTACTGCATGCAACAGTCTATGGAAAACAAAATCACAGGAGGGCACTCGTCTAATCAGAGACAGTTTCCAGCCAACAGGAAGAAACGCTCTGTTAGTCGCTTAGAAATGCCATCAGAGCTGATACAGGCCGATTGTTCTTGATGTAGTTCTTGATAGCAGCATGCGGTGTCATCTGCCTCAGTTAGCCTAATGACAGTGTTGGGTAGTGACAGCGATGTGTGTGAGAGCCGAGCATAAAATCTGACAGATAAATCAGAGAGAAGATTAGATACCAATTTGCTTGTGAGCCTGGCCAAAGAAAGGAGCCCTTCATTGACACTGCTCTTATCTGGTGAACTACCCCGGGGCCGATTTATTTGTCTGCTGCAACAGGAACAAGAATGGCACGAAGAGACCAGCACTTAACTGTGAGACATTTCATACAGCCATGATAAAACTGAAATTACATGTTCGAGGGCGCCCAGTCAAAGCTGAGCTCAGGTCTCCTCAAGTGGATTATTTTTTATCAAGTCTTCATATGAGGAGTTGCGACTTACTTATTAAAGAGCTGATTTGTGTAACTTTTTGGAAAATTTTCACTATTTGAGCGACAAGAAATGTCCTTTTCTTCCTTTGAATGATGACAGCATATTTTACTTGTGTGGTTTTCAAACATACTTCCATAAAATAAAATCAGGAGAATCATTGTTAACATTATAAAAACTTTATTTACACTGCTAAAGAAATAAAAAGTATAAAATGGACAGCAAACAAAGAACACATTCATGTTATTTTAATGCATATTTCTATCACGTTTATGCATATGTTCACTTCATTGCTCCATTCTGCATATTGAATGTTGAGTTTGTTTCTATGCAGTCTTCAAGCTTCATTCCCAAAGGACACTTGATAGTGTCAGTGCCATCTCACTCTTCATACATGTTTTTCACATGTTTGAATGCAATCATCATATGCTCCTTTGGGGATTTAAGTTAAGATACAGAAGGTGTAAAAAAAAACAGGATTGATGGTGTTTGTGTAAGCGTTTGACAGTCTTTTGTTGTCCTTGTCTCCAATCGCATCTCATGTAAACACACAGAAGCAATCAAATCCAACAGTGTTATAATAAGCTTGTCTGTAGGGAATGGATCAGTGCCGTGTCACAACAAAAGGACATATCAGACACAAATAATGAAGGAAACATACAATTATTGACAATATGTATAGAGTTCTTATCAAAAATAGACAAAACAACTGAAAACAGTACACTTGCAAACAAGATCAAGAAAATATAAATTACTAAAAGTGTCACTCTGATTCTCTCCATCCTCGAGCATTTCTTCCAAACTTGTAAACCAGTCTGCGTCCGTCTACTCGCTCCAGGATTTCTCGTTTGTAGTAATATCTAAAAGACAGGATAGATAAATTTATTGGAGTGTAAACAAACATTTCATTTCAGCTGAACAGAAAAGATGACAGGTATTGTTTGTTGAGGGTGAAAATAGATTCATTATTTGGTTTCCTTCCTCATTTGTTACTTTGTTCAATGTAATTATGCATGAATCCAATACATTTATATTAGAGTTCTTTTAGTTGAACAGCTGAAGTTTAAGCATGTGTGCAGTTTTCTCGTTTCTTTCATTGTCACGACTGTTTAAAACTAGTCCCTCTGTGGCATCTCTGATGATGCCTTTTTGCAAACATCACACCATGCAAAATAATTTGCTGCAGTTATAACTTTTACTAAAAAACATTGAAATTAGGTCTTTAGATGGAGAGGTTGTCAACCAGAGATGGAAAATACGTTTGTAAAAATATTTTCATGCTCTTATTATGTCACATATGTGACGTCGTATTGATATGTGACGACATCAGATTTTCACCTCATGATTGTTCTGGCCTTGGAATATCCCATATAACAATATTATTGCAGTATTTATGGAAAACTTAACAATTAAAAACAACACATTCAATCAGAAGACAAGAATGGAGCAACACATTTCTTAAAAAAACTTTTCTATTTAACACAATACATGTTACATGTCATCATTCAGTTCTAATAACATTTGAATTTTTGATTTATCACCAACCCAGTGATTCAGTGTCTTTGGAGAAGATACTGCCTCAATAAATCAGTGTTTGTCATGCCTTTATTTTGACTTTTTTTTAATCTAGGTTTTGGCTGCTTTATTTTCTGCAACGTCAGATTATCATTTATACTGATACAGTGAAAGAGAGCTGACTGAATATGTTTGGTTGATTAGTTGCCTTAAGAGCTCTTTTATTCTTTTGGATTCACTTTAAATCTCAAACATCAGTATACTAAAAGTGCTGAATCATCTCCCAGAAGACAACTTTAGCTAGCTTGTTAGCAATCTACTTCCTCTTCTTTGTATTCCTACATTTTATAACCTGTGGCAACCAGAGAACAAGGACGACTGACCCAAGGTTTTACTGTTTACTTATTTTGAACACAATATCAATATTTCATCTTTTAAAAGAGACAGCAACCCCCAATACCTTTTAAAGTAAAAAAAATACAAGAATATAAAAAGATATATATTTATGATTTTTACGTTAGAAGTTAAAGTAGATGATGTGATTAGTGGGGGAAACCCCCACTAGATTTGGGGTTAGTCCTTATGGTTCACCATGTCTGGCCACCCCTAAAAAGTCAGTGCTGCAGTCTGGTCACCTCAGTCAAAAAAGTTTCCACTGAACACAGAGTGGAACAGTTGTATTTATCCACACAAAGGACACTCCTGCTTGTCCTAATCTTCAGCTAAAATAGTCCCTAATATTTCTCGCGTCCTTAAGGGATATATAATTCTCAATTGTTTGTATGATGGGAGTTGTGTCTTGGCTGCTGCTGGGGGCACTGTTCCTGGGTCCCTTCGGCCCAGCTGGCTGTTGTCTGCCAGGGTCGGGGGGCCTGGGTGCTGGTGCCCACTGTGGCACAGCCTGCGACTCCTACCAGTGTGGATGGCCCCAAGGATGGTGCTTCCTCAAACCTCAGTGTCATGCCATGTCTCCCTATTGTCTGTAGTGAGAGTGTGCAAGTGCGTGTGTGTGTGCGTGCGTGCGCATGTGTATGTGTCTTTGTAGTATGGAGGGTGGGAGGGAAGGGCTTCTTTTGTAATTGTTTTTTCTATGAGTCTATTTTTCTATGTGTGTAAAGCACTTTGTGTTGCATGTCTATGCATGAAAAGTGCTCTATAAATAAAGTTTTGTTTGATTGATTGATTGATTGATTGATAATGTTGATTTTAATATATTGAAACAGTTTCTTTCTGAGTTCTTAGAAAATCTAATCTGTTTTGTTGGAATAAAAGAAACAGGCATCATGAAAAGTAGGCCAAAGTACTGCTGACTGCACTTCTTGACGATAACAGCCATTTCCTGATAATCAAATGTAAAATCATGTTTGCCTCCACCACTTCAAAATAAATCATTTGAATGTAATTTGAAATTTATATGTGATTTTCCGTTCAATGTTTTTCAACAAATAGATCAAAAGTAACTTTTCCGAGGAGCGGCAAGTTCCCTGAGGTGCTCTGCTCTTTGTTGAATTGATTTCCAAATATATTTTAAACTTTCTTCAAGTTAAATCTCATGAATCCAGATGAAAGAAAACTGAGTTAGCTTGCTTGTTTTTCCTTTTGCTTTTGTTATTCATAATAGAGCCCACCAATCTGTGTGCTGATGCCATCGAGCTGCAAATCCTTCTGCTGCACCACAGTAAAGAGAAAATCAGCTTTGTGGTCACAGTGACAATACCTGTGGGCACATTTTGTAGTTCTCAGTGGTTTGCACCACAATGAAATTAAGCTCATTAGATTAGCTCATCTGAATGTTAAACTGAGACTGTTGCAGGAGCCAGGAAGATTTTCTTAGGAGAGGCCACTTTAGTTCATTTGGGGAAAAAAGTGAGGACACGGTGCAGTTCTTAAATGAGTCTATGAGGTGATCAGTGATGGGGAAATGAGTTTGAAGTTGTTAAGTTTATTATTTTTATATGTGTAACTCTTACTGATATTACCTAGAAGCATCTCAAGTCATTAAAAGTAGATTTTGTTGCTGTTAAAGCATGTTTCTTTTACTGGCAAGCTGCTTCAGATAATTGGATTAGGACACGATGTAGGGTGAAATTAAGTCCTCAATGGCGATTTTCAAACCCTCTACTTAACTACAGAACCCCCACTGTGAACAAGAAGGGTGGCTTATTTTTGAAAGTGCAGGAATTAAACTGCATCGCAATCAAATCCAGAGGATTGGAAGTTGATTCTGCAGCATTGAGTCTTTCTTCTAACAACAGCCTACTGTATGTGTACCTCATTGCCCGACTGAGTTTCTCATAGGTCATGCTGCTGTTATTTTTCTTCTTGCCCCATAGCTGCGCCACAGCCTCTGACTTCAGGAAGCGGAAAACCCCCTCTGTCCGATCCTCCCACTTGATCAGCCCTGGGTTTCTTTCCGGGTTCAGCAGAATGTCCCTGATGAACTCCCACAAATGGGTCCCTCTTGGATCTGTGATGCAAAAGTAGGTTGAATTAAAGGAAAGATGTCTTTTAGTATATTTTGTAAAAAATAAATAATAATAATAAAAAAATTTCAGTCACTTTACTTACTGTGTTTTTTGACCTGATGAGGACGACTGAAGGACCTTTTGATATCTGAAAAAGGAAGTTGATTCCTAAGTTATTTTAGGTTTCCCCATAAAAGCATTTAGTGTCATGATATTCTTTGGTATTTATCCTCACCGGGGCTAGATGGGGTGGGAGAGGCCACAGGTGCGACGTGAATGGAGGGATCATAGATGTCTAAATTGACAGAGAAAAAGTCAGAAGAAACGAACATTCTTCTTAAAGTCAGACAAAGGATTAATTGCAGGATTTCAAAGGTCAATCATGACTACATGTATTTCCAATCATAGTTAAAATTCCATTATTGTGCATTTCAAAACTTTTTTCGAGTGAATATTAACAATGTAAAACAATTTTTTTCACTGTCCTGGTTTTGGAGTCAAGTAAATGCAATCAAATGTACTTTATGATCTTCTCAAATTAATGCTGTGCTGTTGGAGCAGTGTGTTTTGAAACCACAAGTTGGAGATTGCCTTCAAGGGTTAAACACATGATCAGCTACAGCCCCTTGCCATCTTCTTAGCAACTGAACTTAGGGATCGATGAAGTATCCAACTTCTTTCATTCAGTTCCATCTAGAGGTCTGTGGCGATTTACACTGTCCACAGTAGTACTCTGCTGGCATTTGTGATTGATTAACTACACCCTCATGCTGAGTTCATAGTTCACACTTGGCGGTATCGCGGACTTTCTGGGGTTTTTTTGTTAAAAAAATTAAAAAGCACAGTGATGCTGTCATTTGTTGCAGAGATGCTGCAGTGGCCTAACCATGGTGTACCATAAGGGACAGAAGTATAACAGTACATGTTTATGTTGAACCTTTACTATACTAAGGTTAAATAGCTAATGCTGACAGCCTTAGTTAGAAATTAAGCAGTGATATATTCAGTAAATGCACAATACCTCCAGAGGGATAGTTGACATCTGGGAATGGACAGGAGAAGTCATCTGCAATAGGAAAAAGGTCAAAAGATTGACTTAGGATGTGATTTATCTAAACTAATGTTGGGAAACGTTGTTTGTGAGATTCTTACACTCTGGTTTCAGGTCCAGTTGTCCGATGTCCACATGGTACTGGCCTGTGTAGGCATTGAGATGGAAAAGTAAAGTTAAATGTTAGTGTCTTGAAAATAATTAAGTCAATGCTGTATAATAATTTACATAAAAGGTCCACTTTCACTTTCACATACACTTATGATTAAGGAGTAAGTTGGGAAATCCATAACCTTTATTTGGATGACTAAAACTTTCAGAGGTCTAACTGATCTCTACAGAGGAGGAAAAGGGCCACTGAAAAAAAAAATTCTCAGGATTCTGACTTTAATCTCAGAATAATAATTAAAGATTTATATAAATTTGACCTTTTTTTTTCTAGTGGCCCTAATCCTATTCCGTAGATCTCTGTGGTAATTATATCTTGAAACGTCACAAGGTTCAACAAATATTTGTTGCGCAAAATGCAGCACCTTTACCCAGAAATTTCACTGAGCCTCTCAGCAAGAACAATAGCTGCCCTGTGCCCTATTTTTAGTTTACCTTGAATGTCTCTGGAGGTTAAACCTGTTGTGCCTGGTTCCCTGACATCTCCCTTGTTTTGAAATGTCAGAAAGACTGAGGTGCCATCACTTGCCCAATACTGTAACACAGGGTAGTTTTGTTATGCTGTTCTTCCCTCTCAGCAACGTTTCATAAATTAAAGTTACAGTGAACATGGGACGGTGAGGCCTTTGACCTTTGAACTCCAGTGCCTTCACAGTAAGCCTCAATCTAATTAAAAGACAAAGTTGAGTCAATTCTCAGCTCAGCTTCACATCTCCTCTGTGCTTTGTTAAGGGGCTCACTCCGGCACAAAGCAAACAACAAATCCATCATCTCCCTCACTTTATACAGTCTCTCTCCCTCCTGCAGGGTGACCCCTGACCGGCTCTCTGAATCTTTCCTAGAAACACTTGTGCGAGACATCTTTTGAGACCCAACTCAGCTTTTCATCAGAACTAATAATCTGACTTTCCTCCCCTTCCTCTGCCCCCTCCTGACTTTCATACCCACCGCCCCACTTGAGCTCTGTGATGCTGTGGAAGAGGATGTGTCCCGCGCTGCCCGCAGCTCGGATGAAGTCCTGGTAGCTCAGGCTGCAGAGCTGATGGCCATCAATGTCAAAGTTTTGGAAGGGGAAATTCGAGGCATCAATCTGGTGCATGTCCATGACCTGCTGCAGCCACTCCCACACCTGGAACTTAGTCCAGAACTGAGGCTGAGAGTCACGAGGCCACAGGCGACTTGTATAACCAGACATGACCATAGAAACTGTGGACAGACAGCAAGTTCAGGGAATGAAACCTTGCCTACTTTTGGAAACTCATTAAGCCTGAATGTTAATCGGCATCAGAGGAGGGAAACATGATTTCCTCTAGCTGAAGGTCTTTGCCAGTGATTAATTGCTGAAGCAGTTAGCTAAAAGGGATGTTGAGCTACTCCTCAGCTGGGAATCTATAATTTGTGCTGTTTGTTTCAGATCTCTGGGCTCACCAGGTGAACAATTCATCAGCTCTTAATTATTCAATAATTTCATCTCGTGTTGCAGTTTCATAACAAGAAGTGGATCACTGAATCGAGGGCAATCAGCATAATTCACTCGAAGAAATTATCAGATTTTCTCAAGGCATTTAAGGATATTATACGGATAATTTAGGGACTGATTTGCATCAGTAATGGGTGTACACAAATGGTTGGAAGGCACACAAATGGCGGCATGTTCATGTGGGTTGTAAGTCTCACCATCAGGGTAGGAGTTACTGGGTCCCCAGGAAGAGGTCAGCTGGCTGTCCAGGGTGGAGGATGAAGTGACGCTCATGATGTAACTGCTAATCTCTGATGTACCATGGCACAGAGGCTAAGGCAGAAAGGAAAGGAGGAATCAACAGGTTATGCATATATACTGTGTATATATAATCAATACATCAGTATTGATTATATATACTGTGTATATATAATCAATACATCGGTATTGATTATATATACTGTGTATATATAATCAATACATCAGTATTGATCAGTGATTAATAAAAAACAGCAGAATTAAACTCAGGCTTCTCTGGAACATGCAGAAGCCTAAAGCACAACTAGAGACAGCCACCCATCTCAACAGGTCGGGTTGATATTTGAAATGAAAATCCCATTATTGTTAGCATTTCCTCCTTTTGAAACGTGACTGGAACATGACTTACAAACTGCGTGTCACTGTAAATCTACCACACTGCCAGCAACTTTCACATTTGACCAGGAAAACAAATCAGAGTTTGTCCAACAGGTGAAATCATTCTCTTAAACAGCAGTAAGATTTTCATGCCAGCAGTAAACATAGGCTCTTGATATCAGTGTGTAGCACATTATTTGCAGATGGGTTGATGTATGTCAAAAGGCAACCACTGGTCCATAATGATATGGTGGTTCATTCCCAAATATAATGATATCCATTTTGTACAATATATTTTAATTCTCACATTACAGGCGCTGTGAGGAGTTTTCAATTGTTTAAAACAGAGACTGGGAATGATAGGGAAAAATTTCACTGTAGTAATTCTTATTGCTCAGAAATACTGTGAGGGGGTAGGTGGTAAACCAAATGATTGACAGCAGGCTGAAGGCTTTTTTTTTTTTCCTTTTTTTTTTTACACAGCAAATATTCACATACTGTTTAACACTGCTTTCATATGTGCTGGACAGGCATTACTTTGTCTCTAGGGGACTTCAATACCAACAAATACCAAAAGTTCTTTATAGCAGCTTTAGAGCTGCAATTCTTCAAGCCTCACAAAATCAAGCTTGGTTCCCTAAAACATTCAGAGTTGACATTGTATTTATAGATTTATTTACATAGCACAGCATTCATTTATATATTGGTACACTGTCCTCTCTGTGATAAAGTTTCTATAACTGTAGAGTCACACCACACTGCAATCCAGAATAACTTTATTGCAATAATATCATCCCTCGTGCTACCTGTTTATCATTCATGCTTCCTGATAATGTTGTAAAACCCTAGTGCAGATGCTTTTTGGTAAAGGCACAACACTGTGGTGGCTTTAAATGAAAAACATCCACAGGAATCGGGCCTAATATGACAACTGTTTAATTTAAACTCTATCTTTTTTCAGATCTAGTGATGTTAAATGTGCAAGATGATAAAGAACAATTACATACAGGAAATCTATGGATTTGATAAAGCTGGGCTATGTTACTCCTTAAACTCCAAGAAAAAAAATGGTTAAGTAAAATGTCATGTCTAAATGGAGGCTTATGCAATGTGAAGTCTGCACCCTCTCTCCTGCTCCAGGTTGCATATATGCTCATATAGAGGCAAATTGTGGCCTGTTTCTGACTTTACCACAAGCATATTTGCATCCCATGTAAATAACCTTGTCCAAATTTCTGCAGCCCCACTGTTTTGCTCAGCAGGAGGTGGAATAGTGTTTCACATCCACAATAACAGTTTTTTTTTTCCAATGCCAACAACAGGTTCTATTTTGCTCCATTCAGTAGGATGAAAATAGATTTAATATTGAGGGCATAATAAACAAAATACTACATTATCAGTTATTAATTAGCCAAAACAGTCACTGCTTTTCATTCTTTATTACTACTTAAAAAAATACTCTTAAAGACATTCAAAACTACACATAAGGCTTTTTTCATGAGCTCAGTCTGTTTAGAAATGTGACTGAGCCTGAAAATCATCCTAACATGGTGAATACAATGACATTATTTCAGTGACAGTCAATGCTTGTGTTGTAAAAGTTGGGTTTCATAAGCTATTCAAGCTGTTAAAGGTCAATAAAATTCCTGGCACCTGGTCTTGATGACTATTAAAACTTTACCTCAATGACCCACTTCTTCTGTTCTCTGGAAGATGTTGGTCACACCTTTATGATTGGTTATAAACCAAACAATACCAAGCCCTGCCACATATTTGAACTGCACACCAGTGTAGTGCCAGTGACACACATCACACAGCCAGGAAACACATTTTCCCGTAAGATTTGGCACATCAGTTTTATAACCACATAGAGTCAAGAGCCGCAAATGAAATTTCCTCAGGGGACAGGTGACACATGCCATTATGCCAAGGTAGATCAGCTCCTCGGCTGACAATCTGTCAAGTTTGCTCATACGCCATATGCTGAGTGTTAACCCTTGACACTGTCTCATACTGCTGGGCAGGTATCTTACCTACGAGGCAGCAGGTACTTTCTGTCAAAGCTGTTGGCTAAAGGAAAAAGACAAAGACAGATTTATGTCTTGAACACAGTTAGGGGTCAACATCCAGTGAGCTGAGTAAAAAGTTACTCTGCTGTATAATCCTTTGCACTTGAGTGCTTATCCAAAGACCTTTACACACAAGTAAAGCGATTAATTTCCTTTCACGTCTTATATCATCAAATGTGACTTAGATGTTTTTTCTTTTGTTTCATTCCCCTTTAATTGTTTTTTTTTCTCCACCAATCTACAGTAGCTGTTAGTTTATATGTACAGCCTGCCTATAACTTTGACAGAATGAGAATTAAGCAACACTGAATGGTTAAAGGTTTACTATGAGTTGAAAACGCAGAGAAATATTTTCAAGAGCATGTAATGTGCATCCCAAAATGCACAACTTTTGCCAAAAGTATTTTTTACCTAAAAAAAATTCAGACTTTTTTAATCAAGTGTGGATATGTGATTTCATATGTTAGTTAAAATGTCCACTTTTTCTTTTCTTTTTTGTTTTAAAGTCGATTAAACTGATTAAACAGTTAATCTTGTAACTACTTTGTCATCTGTGGCATCAGTAAACACTGACATGAGAGACACGTGATATAATTGGAGGTCTTAACTGATGGGCTCCCAAAACTTATGTTATGCATTCATGCAAAAATCTGTAAAACAATATATATATATATATATATATATATATATATATATATATATATATATATATCCTTTTTGTTAACAATGTACAGTATATTTTTCCCTTGGGATCACATTTTTAGCTGAGTGTTCACACTCTGTATGCACACTAAAAAGAGACAGTTCAAAGGCCAATGAAAGTCAGTTAAAAATGATGGTAAAAATTTCAGAATTTAATTTGCTGAGTGTGTTTTAATTCAATTACACAGTGTTCAGTAATTTTTTTTAAAGCAAAACCAGTAGCTTGGACCCAGTGTGACAACCTACCAGAACAGAAGAATGGACTCTGGCCAGGCCAGTAAGAAGCCTCCTGTAGATCCAATGTCAACACCACTTCAGAGAGACCGCTTGTGGAGGTCCGTTGAGTTTTACAGTAAGACCAGGTGAGTCCTTTTGCTTGGCAGTCTTAGAATGAACAAGTACACAGTCACACTAGGTGCTGCCTCACCACAATGACTGTTTTATTCTCTTAACTTCCTTATACCTACCGCACCAATTGGTCAACATACCTGTCCATGCTCAGACTAGGTAGATATTTGCATATTGCACACCCACACACAACCTTACTCTCTCCTCCCACACACACACACACACACACACACACACACACACACACACACACACACACACACACACACACACACACACACACACACACACACACACACACACACACACAGGTATGAAATCACCTCATCGTCACCACACACATACACATCTGAAATATCTTTGTCTTCCTTGTTGACTCTATTTCTATGTCTCACGTGCCCTCTCACATACTTTCTCACTCACTGGAGCAGGAGAGCATAGAGGACTTATGTAAACAGACATGGATCTAAACACAGAGATAGAATATTTAACGGTTAAAAGCCATTGTTCATACAGTTGCTTAAAATAGGGTTTAGCCTTCAGAGAAAATTCCCCTTGTGTTATTCCATTTCACAACATTTGTTTTACCTTATTTCATCATGATGAATAAGGTGCTGACAGTTTAGGTAAGAGGCCCTGAGAGACTTTCATTTTCCCTTTCCCTCTTTCAAAGTCGTTGGAACTGCACAGTAGAAAAACACTGGCTGTGTTCTTGAAAAGACGTCAGGAAAAATCTTTTATCTGTGTCCCACATTTATAAATGCCTCTAATGTGCTACTTTGCCTTTATTATGTCTGAAACACCAAACTAAAGCGTGTTTGAGGAATGATTTACTGATCATCACAAGGTTTCTTTTTTTCTTATCATGAGTTATGGATGACCTTGTCTCATCACAACTGCATTAAACTTTGATCCACTGTTAAAATAGCTTCTGCTAACATGCTGTGAACCTCAGGTGGCTGAGTGCAGACTGGCAGATGACAATTAACTTTCGTATGCGTCTTGAACAACCCCACTGGGAATCACACAATGGCAACAGGAGAGGAAAATCAAACCCAGCTTACTTATGCGTGTAATCAGTGTTCATATATGCTTAAGTAAACCCCAGTCAAACCCTATCCAAAAGATGTTTTGTATTTGAAGAGAAAATTAAAGTCCCTGTTAATGACAGGATTTCCTGAGCTGAGTCCATGCTGATACTGAAATAACTTCCACTCAGACCAGTCAGTACTCTGCAAAGCTCCATTAAATTTGTTGAAAGTGGAGGTGATCAAATTCCACAGAACATGCTTGTCCGGTTTTGTTGTTTTCCCAGCTTCACATCAGCCAAATGCAGTAAGCCAATGCAGAAGTAAGTGTGTCAAAAAAAAAACATTTAAATTGGACATACTTTATATACTCTATGGCCCCACATTGAATCAGGCAGAGCTCAAAGTTTCTATTTTTCCTGATGCCAATTAAATGTTTTGGGAAAAATATGTAACATCTTTGATCTGAGATCTGAATCTGGTTTCTAACCCTGTATTACTATGCTTCTTG